TTCTTACTCGCCACCATATAGACTAAACAAATACGTCACGTGAAAGGCGTAAAATAAATTTCTTCTGTTTAACGTAAGGTACACTGGGGGCTTTCAAATCGGTGGAGAGGAAGCGGAAAGACAACAGAAGAAGTATAAAGTATAAAATTGCTTTTCTCGATCCCTCCGCTATCCTGCTCTAAGGCAGGTGAAGTAAACCCCTTGTTATGTTGGCGAAACCTCCTTCCAAAACTGACCGAATAAAACGATCTTACACAAAATCTTTCGTCCTACGCAGAATTATCCATTATTTGCATAAGCAACAATATTTCGCTTCAGATAACAATATGGATACAAATTTCAAAACTAAAACATACCACAAGATTTTCCGTCCGTAAAATTCTGAAATCGATTCAGCTGCCTGTGCAAACGAAAGTTGCTTTCAGGTTTTCACTCTGCCTCTTTCATTACACCTTTTTCATTCTTTTGCATGGTCGATTTGTTTAAGACCCATTCTCTGTATGGTGATTTAGATTGACGATCTTGGAATTGTGGTTCTGCTGGTACACAGTAAATTATTGTATGAAAGTGCTACCGAACAAGAATGAAATTCCACCCATTCCTTAATATTCAATCTCGTGGTGAAGCTTTGCTATTCGTTTCGTTCTCAACCAAATCGACAGAGAGTAACGAAAGTTCTTGAACCCCAAATAAACCTGAAACGCGCCTGACTTTGAAGTATATCTATCCTAGTCATTCCATGTTTAGAAATATAAAGCTTTGAATGAAAATGTGTAATCAAATAAGCGACAAGTCCTTGCTTGCCCGGTCCCTCATGAGAGTGAGAACATGCAACCCTCAAGACACGTGAAGCACCGTTTTAAGTGATTTTCAAATTCTGTGGCCACGAAAGGCTTGTGGAATAGTTCAAATTAAAATACAAGAGTGTCGCACCACTGTAAGACATACCACTTTTCAGATTAATAAGAATTGTAACGTATTTTCATCTGTTATATCATTCTGGAGTTAAAATGATAATAAATGGTAGTTTGATTCAATTTACAATCAGGTATGTAATTCCTCCCTTAATATGAATTATCATCTCAAGTATTACCTTTCATGTAAGTCTGAGGGGTTATGAATAAGGAAAACTGGCTTTTATTTATTGTTAATGGACAGTCAACTTGAGTTGATCTCCCCCAACACAATTTTGAGATCCTCCGAGTATTATAACTCCATATAGTATAATAAGGAAGTTAAAATCAGGAAGGAAATCAGAAGCAATGGATGCTGTCAGGGACGTCAGATATAAACATTCTAGCATGGGGAACTTTTGAAACAGGTGCTTTTCTAAAAAAACTGGGAGCCAATTCGGATTTGATGTCTTTAGGGGTCTTTTATGACAGCCCAAATTTATTATTTACATGTCCTTTGTCAACTTCACTAAATTATTGATAAACATCAATCTTTGGGTAAAAACTTCATCAAACTAATCCACCACCCCCCCCCCACCCCCCATCCCTTCCTTGTTATTTTCCACACAGCATTTCAAAACAGCAGAAAATTGGGAAAAATTAATCGAGAAAGGATCAGCAAGAGGCAGAATTTGAACTTGAAAGTTCCTTCTTGAAACAAATTAAAAATTTCAAATAGAGTTCAATAGGTTCTTTTGGCAGAACAAATCAAGAAGCAAAGCCAGCAAAGATAATAACTTTAGGAAATTAGGAAAAAACTTGATGGCAGTTTGTAGAAGATTGGAGCAAAACATAGACAGAGGCACCATGGGGCAAAGGGATTTTGTGTCTCCAAATTTTCTGAAACAGAGGTAAAATTCCGAAATACTTAAATTCTTTCAGTGCTTTAATTCAATCATAACTAACTCTTATAAGTGATTCATAAATATCAAAACCTGACGAAGCTCATGTCTCTAAGGAACCATCAAATTGTTTGGCACGCAACTACATAGCATACATAATTTGAATTCATACACCATCCCTAATAGACCTGTGGTTAGACCTATACCCTATATTTGCTCAGAAAACTGCAAATGGCTTTCCCCACAAACATAAACCTCTTTGCACATGGAGAATTCTTTGCTTTATAATATGACTTAAGCATAAGGCACATTTGACCCCTGAAAATCCAGCTCCTATTTTAATGAAAAATGAGGCAAAATCAGGCTTGTTGCTATAATTGGATCATTTTCACTTTCAGCAGATGATCAATATAATACACATAACTTACCCATATTTACAAAAACCATGGCTGGTGTGCATAACAATGGTACAGTGATGGATCCTACTTGGAAAAGAGGGGCAGTATGGTAAAGTGAGTAGCTTTTGGCATGGACTTGCAAACATGAGTGAGTAGCTCAGACATCAAGGCAACAACGTACAGAGTCACTGTTCTTTAGTTTGATTCCCTGGTCATGTTACTCCCTCTTATCGTAACTCCTATCTTACTTTGTAAAAATCTGGTATTACAGAAACAAGTTTGCCTTTTTACAATAATACAGAAAACAAGTTTGCCTTTTCATCTCCTTCTCTTGAATTTCACACCAAATAAGAAAATTAATCTTAGTTATAATAAGGATAAAATAAGAAAAGCTTTCAAAGCTACAAATGATTTCCTATCAGATAAACAAGCATTCAGTTACAAGCTAAACTTTCATTCTGCTGATCATCTTTATACTCTTTATGTAAATCGGAGCATTTTATACATCGGAGCATGTGAGAGAGGTGGGAAGGGGCATCAGGGCACAAATGCTCATATTTTGCAATAATCTTTTTCAATTTCAGCTTGACTACCTTCAAATTGGTTTTTGTTTTCCTGTTACAGCAGAACAGTCTACAGAGGAATATTCTTAGTAGGATCTCTAATGTAAACAAACATTCCAGTGGTGTGTCCCATATACAAAACTGTTTTAACCAGTTATTTCAGGGTATGCAAAGAAATGTTTTCTGTAATATCAGCTGATTATTCAACGTGCAAATTTATATTTTGTGTGTTGTTCTTAAAAAGCCTAATGCCTGTATTTTTTGCATCATTCTGCAGATAGGTTAAAGGGCATTGCATTGCAATGGCACCAACATCTAAAGCCAAGTTAAAAAAGTAGTGGAATACTGACAAATGCTGTATAATTTTGGAAGAATTTGCATACTAAAACAAGCCTAATCTGAAGCAGGATTTGCAGTGCAAGATTGGGGCAGAAAGATTAAGTTGTTGAAGACAATCAGACTCATCTTTCACTTATCCTGTGACTACAGTACTGTTTTGTTCATTCTAGTGCCTGACTCGTAAATACACTTATGACTTATTCTTTTGACTTTTCCTGCAGACTTCAGCTCTGAGGACACTTACATTCCCCACAACAGGTAAAATGCACTTTCAAATCACCCCTTGAAAATATAGATAAAGAGCTTTTTTTCAACAATTGATTCAGGTGCCCCATCCACTGATATAAATCTTAAAAAATTCAAGATTTGTAAATCATTCTTAATTTCTTTACTGTATATAAAATCTTTAACTTACTACAAATCCTGATCCCTATTTGTTTATGAAAGCTGCATGGGTTACATTTTCAAAGTTCACTTTTGAACCATATGTGGAAATTTAGCTTTCTTTAGAAAATTCAAAGAATGGCATTAAAGTCAAAACTGGAAAATAATGCCAGTGTTTATGGATCTGTTATTTGTGGAAAAATTTATGTAGCAAGGAGATAGTCTTTTCTACATATTCAAAACACTGACAACATATATTTCGCTCCTCATGGTTTAAAATTTGAATCACAAACCGATGAAAATATATATGAACATCATCCACACATCCATGTCGCGAAACTTGCTTCGAACATCTGGATAAACAATTTGAGATTAACCTTTGACAAATTCATGATTAAATGTTTGTATTATATTATAATTCTAATTAAATGGGATTTCTATGAGGACCTGCTGAGAACCTGGTGTTCCTTGTAATGTAATCTTTGTTGTTATTTAGGATTGTATCTCAACAACTAACATGATGTATCTTGTAATTAATTGATTTGTTTCTGAAAAAAGGTTTGATTTGATTTGATTTGTTTTGATTTGAACATTCACGAATAAACAATGAGTAAAATATTCGTCTCATTTTGTGAAGCCTTTCCCCAAATAAAGACATGCTACGTCTTCGAATAAAATGAAAGAACATTCAACGTTTAAGGTAAAACAGATTATCAAAATATTGATTTAGAAGCAAAATGTCGAACGCAGACTCATCGACAAAAAAATTTCTGCAATGTGGTGACTAACATTTGCACGTGTAAGATTCAAAGACCGGGAGCACTTTCTCAACTCCATCTCTTTATCAAGTAATAGCTATGGCAATGCTCTAACGATCCAAGAAATTGGAGCAAGGAATTTTTAATTCTATGTCGATTAAAATTTCGTAATTCCGACCTTCCTAGTCGCTTTTAGAGCCTTGCAACAAAGCGGTGCTGCGTAAACCGGAAATACAGCTACGAACATAAACTATTACACCCAAAAAATTCACCCCTTCAGCTCACAAGTAAGTTTCGAGGACTAAAATTTACTAATAAATACATGAAAGAAACGACAGAATAAAGAGCTTTGTGGATGAATCTACATAAAGGAAATGAGCAAATCGTTCTGGAAAGCAGCTTCATTAGGCGGACCCGAGCAACCAAAATCTTGAATTTGGCAGCTCTTAATAACTCTTAAAGTACCATTATGGAAACTGAAATACGTTCAACGACTTACAGAATGGCTCTCAAACGCCAAGAAACCAGAATCACATAGTTGCAAGGCACAGATCTCGCAAATTCCATCGGCAAAAGAAATTTACAGTCTGCGGCCTAACCAAGCAGGTCAGTCAAGGTCAGGTACTGTGGAACACAAATGGCATATCTATCTATATGCAATGTTGTGCGACCACCATGAATAAAAAAAAATGTATAAAAACAAACGAAAATAAATAAAATTGTGCATAAAGGGTAAATTCGAACATAACAACTGATATCTTACCTTTATTTGTAAGCTATAGCGGTATCCCTGCCTGCTTCGACTTGCCCCGTTGACGTAATAAACCAAAATCACAAAATTTTTATTAATGCAATTCAATAATTTGGAAGGTGCGTAACAAGAAGAAATTGAGGGTTCTGGTAGCCGTCTATGGACAGGCACTCCTCTTTAGCCCCCGCACTTTTTTAGGCACCCCACTTTTTTCAACGCTCCACGGTGCTTGAGTGTGGGACAATAATGTAGCACTTTTAAAAGGACTATTCAAACTTTTTGAAAAAGATTTGCAAAGTATTTAGAGAGACTTAATTTTTCTAAAAAAACATGTTTTTTTGGGTAGTTGAAGCAGTAGTGTAGAGCCAAGAAATGTAGAGCTTTCTTTATATTGTATACAAAATTAATTTTTTAATTGTTTTCAAAACTAATTGTATGGCCCCCCAAAATCAATTTCTCTACCTTTCCATTTTTTCTAGGGCTAAATCATCTTTCACTGTCTACCTGCTACTTGAGTAGAAAATTCTTTAAAAATTGAATTAAAAGTGGAAAATTTTGCCAGCATTTATGGACTTTTCAGTTATGAAGAGGGCTATTGAGGTCACTCATGAATGTAAATGGCAAAAAGTACTATCGGTTCAATCAAAGATTTGATCCTGGGTGAAATTAGCCACGATATTTTAGAATTACCCAGATATAAGAGAAGAGGGCGCAGCCCCTTTGAAAAGTGGGCTGAGCCCCCTGAGCCCCCCTCTTGTACAGCCCTGAATTGAAGGCGTTAGTTTGAGATGTAACCCGGTCTACCTATTCATGGCATATCCGGCGTTTCTTTAGAAAGACAAACATTACCCATGAAAATGTAAGTTTGTTGGACGATGTCTTCGAGTATCGTTGCAGCACTATGGGAGGAAATTTTCTGGAGAATATACCCCCCAAATTTCAGCTACATTTTATCGGCGCTTGTGCCAACGAACCTACGGGAGAATTTGCCGTTACAGCAATACAGAGATATTTCGCATGTCTTGTAATGCGGGAATCATGCGACCATACTATGTTCTGACTGAGACGTGACAATTTGTGGTATGTTTCGGAGTATGTGGTCGATTGGCTGTCAATGTGGGAACTTGCGACATCAAAAACAAGTGACAACAACACAATCATTACGAAAAAAATTGCACAAAAAACTAGGGTTTAGGCCATATTAGGGAAAGGACAATCATCTGGGCAAAGCAACTTCAAAGGCTTCATAAATCATAACATATATGGCGAAGCAAAGAGAAAACACCATTCAGTAAGTTTGCAGGGCGATAGAGGGAAATCAAAGGGTATGGGACTAATGCTGTTGAATGATACCTGGGATCGGCCAGAAAAAACACTGTAGAAAAGGGGATCTTGAACCAGGACTGTGATTTACTTAGAAAAGAAAACAACCCAGCAATGAATAAGTAAAGTTTGGATTTCTCTACAAAAAACTGACAAGGGAAAGAGAAATATCCATCTTTGGGAGCCTCAAATTAAGATTTTTTAGCACCTATGCCTCAAATCATTTGAAACTGAAAATCAATAATCTTAATCATTAGTATAGCGAGCTGCTTAATTGATTAATACTCAGTTGAATCGATTTTCAAACCTCAGACAGAATACTTACTCCGGTCAACGAACACGAACGTGTCGTGAAAGGTTCGGAGAAAAGAAATCATCTTGGATAAGGGAGAGACGAGAACGCAGATATAGGAAAAACAATACAAGAAAAAGATAGAATGGACTTTTTAAATAGCTGGGTGAGTTGAAGATAACAGACTGATAATAATCAATTGAATAATTAGCAAGAATCATGATGCAGTGAATGAAGAAACTAGTGAATGAATTCATATACAAATGAATGAGATCGAAGAAATCATCACATGTTCGATCGTAGTTCTTCGTTGTCTCAGGTTCGATTCATAAAGCAACACAGTCGGAAAGAGGAAACTAAGAGAAACATGCCCGTACATATACGTTGTGATACATTGACAAGAGTATCGTATTGTAAATTTAACATTCCATTTTTAACTTACAAAGCTGTGTGGATTAAACTTTGTCTTTATCAATTATGATAATTCCAGTTAACATAGTTCTGTTTGAATTTGTGCCACGTTAAGAATCCGACTTTATTAAGTCGTCGACAAGTGCGTGGGGCAGCCACAACAAACTTCCTAAATTTTGCAAGTAAGTCCAATCGGAATGCAAAGGTGCTAAAGAAAAATAAACTTTCTTTTCAAACATATCCAGAGTAATTACACTTTAATCTGGCTAATTTCAAGCCATGTACGCTTTTAGGCCCGAAACAAAACACCAAACGCGAACAGAAACACCCTCTTGTAAAAACACCAATTGTTGTTTCGTTGATAGAGCCGCAACAAATAGACACTCCTCTGTAACTAGTTCGGTGAGCTTTTTATACCCGGGGGAAATCAGGTAAATATAGCAAGGGGCAGCAAAATTTGTCTTTGATTAGCAGGACAATGTCACATGGGTAACGTTTGCAAGCTTAAGGCAGCGCCCAGAATTAATTATAAAACTGGGTCAAATGGGGGTGGGGGGGGGGATTTATTCATTATTTTAAAATCTTCCCACTGTCGTGCCAAAATAGGGACAAAAAGCCAAGGTAATTTGCTGTTTCAAGCAAGGACTTCCAGGTCTGGAAATTTCTCAGAGGGGCGGTCTTTGCCGTGCTAATTTCACAGGTGAGTACAAAGAGAGGCTTTCGCCGTGATTGTGGGGAGGTATTGGATTTGAAAAAGTTACAGGAGTAATGGCCTGCTTTGGCACATCAACTATGGGCACAGCCAATGGAGTGAATATTCATAATTCCTTTGAAAAACTGAAAACAGCATCTAAATTCCCGTTCACTTCCTTTTCCAGTCGCACCCAAATGTAAAATTGAAATGTTGCGGATTTGTATGAAAGACTGACGAGAAGCTAGGATCATTTACAAATGCAGATAAATATTTGAAAAACCTACTTATCAAATAGCTGTTGCAAGGAAGAGGCAAAGCCTTGCCTGACTTGCAACCCCCACTAGAAAACTGAATAATAACAAACGCATAATAGCCAACTATAAGTCGTTCTGTAAGAGTATGAAAATTCGTTAGCTTTTGCAGTGATACGAAAGAAAAAGACAATTGATCTCATTTTACATTCACCTCAACAGCAAATGACAAAGTTCCCTTTAGCAACCAATCAAGTAGATTATTATCCTTTAGGCTAAGATATATAGTCACTAGGCTCTGTAATTCTGATCATAAATCCTGGGAATAAAGTCATTCAACTATTCATTCCATTTGGAAGATCGCCTCTGTCCTTAAGGTTTTTAAGGTAGTCTCTTTATCACATACAGATCACTGGATTTACTCTAGTTAGACATCACAATAGCAAATGATTATGCTGGCAAGCCAGGGTTTTCTACAAACGCAAGGGATTATGGTATCCCCATGACCACAAGCTAAGGAGAATCTCCATGACCACAAGCTAAGGACCTCTACAATCAATACGAAATTAAATGGTTATTGTATTATCATATCATTGAGCAAGAGCTGCAAAACTGAACAAATTCTTGCAAAGGCGGTGTACGTACAGTTGCTTTTGTAAAAACCCTTTTGTGCTCTCAAGAGCAGTTGAGATTAGTAAACATTTTTGGTAGATCAATCGATTTGCTTTTGAATATTTCATCTCCCCCCCCTCCCCCTCAAACATCGCGGAAACAAATACCGTATGCCAAATCCTTGGATGATGGTATGCAAATTTTAAGCCCACTACTCTATAAGCGAATCATTGGAGTTAGGGTACAATTATAAATCAATCTCGTTTTACTATAACTCTAGAACGGTGGTGATACATCGTTATTTTCAACATAAACTGATTTAACTTGTGAATAACCATCAAGAACAGCCAATCCATTTTCCCTGCCAAATCCAGACTGTTTGTAGCCTCCAAACGGTATCTGAACAGGGTACATATTGTATGTGTTGATGTAGCAAGACCCAGCTTGAAGGTTTGAAATGAAGCGATGTGCCCGTGGGAGATCCCTGATAAGAAAGAACAAAAAGGAAAATTTATCCAACGTTGGAAATAAGCCACTTCCCCTCTTCACGAAGAGAATATAAACTAATTATTAGAATGATAAATGAACTGAGGGATCCTGTAATCTAGATGAACCAAATTTGATACCTTCTGTCAGGGATACGCCAAGCCTTGAAGTGAAATGAAATCACTTGGCCTCGAAACACTGTGTAAACACTGTTAAATTGTGCGATAAACGCAAAACTTGCGGTAAATGGAAAACTCGTGGAAACTTTGAGAACGCGTTACTCGCGGTTACTTACAGAGCGCGGTAGTCGCGCAAGCTTACAGAGCACAGTACTCACGGAAGCTTACAGAACGCTTTACTCGTGGATACTTACTGAACGCGGTACTCGCGCAAGCTCACAGAACGCAATAATCGCGGTAACTTTTAGAACGCATCACTGGCGGTTAAATACAGTACGCGTTACTCGCGGTTACTTACAGAGCGCGGTAGTCGCGCAAGCTTACAGAGCACAGTACTCGCGGTAGCATACAGAACGCGATACTCGCGGTAGCTTACAGAGCGCTTTTTTTTCATTTTAAAATTAATTATGCGCGGTAGCCCCGTCAGTCATGACTGATTTTCAGGGGGCCGTGCCAAAAACTTTACAAATTAAAAAATCTACTAAAATTAATAACGGGAAAAAGAAAAAAAAATAACAATCATAAATAATTTATCTACAACTATTTACAATAAATTTACAACAAACCCTTTATCTTGTTCTTAAAAGAAGATAAAGAGGGAGCTTGCTTGGCCTCGCGGCTGAGATCATTCCAGATTTTTGCTCCACGAAATGCGAACGCTTTCTGTCCATTACTAGTTTTCATGAATGGCACTAGCAAGTCAGTTTCGGCATTTCTAAGGTTGATAATATTGCGATCAGAATTTCTAACAAATAAATGCGAGAGATAATCAGGCGCGAGACTATTAACAGATTTATATACAGTTGTTGCAGTCTCACTTCTGATCATATCCCTCACAGTTGGCCATTTTAACTCTGTAATCAAAGCTTCGGCAGGAGCATCGTAGCTGCTATTTGTAATAATTCTAGCGGCACGATTCTGCAATTTTTGAAGCTCAACCAGTCGGAACTCTGCACAGCTCCCCCATAAAGAACAGCAGTACCGAAAATGTGGCTCTACAATACCTCTATATAATTTGCAAAGTACAGTTTTTGGCAAAAATTTCTTTGCATATTTTAAAAAACCTAACGAGCGGGAGACTTTGGCTTGAACAGATTAAATTTGCTCGTCCCACACGAGGTATTGGTCAACTTGGACACCAAGATACTTAATACTTTAGACGAGTTCTACAGGGGAATCATCGATAACGAATGCAGGAGAATCCACAGTTTTTTCACCAATCTTTTTCAGATTTGGTCTAGATCCGACTACCATTGCCCGAGTCTTGATTACATTCAAAGACAATTTATTGCCCTGAAGCCATTCTTTCAAACATTTCAATTCGTTGTTGAGCGTTTCAGTTAGATCCTCAACGCTCTAAGAGGAATAGGATATGCTAGTATCGTCGGCGTACATCGTAACTTTACAGTTTTTCAAGGCGAATGGCAGATCATTTATATAGATTAAGAAGAATAGTGGACCTAGACAAGAGCCTTGTGGAACACCACAGTTGATGCTTCCGATGTCAGATTCCACTCCATTAAACTTAGTGAATTGCTGCCTACTGCTGAAATATGATTTGAACCATTGAAGCTCAAGACCCTGAATTCCGTACTTAGATAGCTTTTGAATAAGGATAGCCTTTTCCAAATCAATGAAAATATTTTCTGTAAATTTTCCACGCTCAATATTAATGTGCCAGTCACAGTACTCGCAGAAGCTTACAGAACGCTTTACTAGTGGATACTTACTGAACGCGGTACTCGCGCAAGCTCACAGAACGCAATAATCGCGGTAACTTTTAGAACGCATCACTGGCGGTTAAACACAGTACGCGTTACTCGCGGTTACTTACAGAGCGCGGTAGTCGCGCAAGCTTACAGAGCACAGTACTCGCGGTAGCTTACAGAACGCGATACTCGCGGTAGCTTACAGAGCACAGTACTCGCGGAAGCTTACAGAACGCTTTACTCGTGGATACTTACTGAACGCGGTACTCGCGCAAGCTCACAGAACGCAATAATCGCGGTAACTTTTAGAACGCATCACTGGCGGTTAAACACAGTACGCGTTACTCGCGGTTACTTACAGAGCGCGGTAGTCGCGCAAGCTTACAGAGCACAGTACTCGCGGTAGCTTACAGAACGCGATACTCGCGGTAGCTTACAGAGCACAGTACTCGCGGAAGCTTACAGAACGCTTTACTCGTGGATACTTACTGAACGCGGTACTCGCGCAAGCTCACAGAACGCAATAATCGCGGTAACTTTTAGAACGCATCACTGGCGGTTAAACACAGTACGCGTTACTCGCGGTTACTTACAGAGCGCGGTAGTCGCGCAAGCTTACAGAGCACAGTACTCGCGGTAGCTTACAGAACGCGATACTCGCGGTAGCTTACAGAGCACAGTACTCGCGGAAGCTTACAGAACGCTTTACTCGTGGATACTTACTGAACGCGGTACTCGCGCAAGCTCACAGAACGCAATAATCGCGGTAACTTTTAGAACGCATCACTGGCGGTTAAACACAGTACGCGTTACTCGCGGTTACTTACAGAGCGCGGTAGTCGCGCAAGCTTACAGAGCACAGTACTCGCGGTAGCTTACAGAACGCGATACTCGCGGTAGCTTACAGAGCACAGTACTCGCGGAAGCTTACAGAACGCTTTACTCGTGGATACTTACTGAACGCGGTACTCGCGCAAGCTCACAGAACGCAATAAACGCAGTAACTTTTAGAACGCATCACTGGCGGTTAAATATAGAACGCAGTACTCGCGGTTACTTGCAAAACTTGTTCTAGTAAGAAAACATTGTGAGCCAAAAAGAGTGAAATAAGATGCAGCTGCAAAAGCGAGAACAAACAAACGTTGTTTTTTTCCAACATGGACATCGAAAAAATAAAATAACAATGGGGGAGCATCTCGATAATTTGATTATGTCCCTGTTTTTGGGTCCTCGGGAGAATATTAGGGTTCCCTCACACAGATTTACTCTTTTTGTCTTGCTTTCGGAGAATTTAAAATTCTACTTGTAACAGGGATCAATAATAATTCTTTCCCGGGATCCTTAATAACGTGAATCGACAACTACGTCCTGGGAGGATCCACAGTCATATTTCCTTTTCGCAATTCGGACTCTCTTTTCGCAGTACGTATACTTAACATAATTATCACAAAAATATACTTTGGGAAAGTTTAGATAAGAAATAGAATCTAACAAAATTTTGAACCATATTTTGGACTTAAACCCCTTTTTCCCATTTTCAGCTTGTACAATAAATCTTGGTTTCTTGAGCTGCGTAAACTGTAGATCCGAGTTTACGATAAAATGAATCATAAGAAGAGTAAACGCAATTCTTCTTAAAAATTTTATTTCTTCTTTTTTGAAGATGGCTTGGCACTCAATTAGCACTCAACTGTTTCTAAGCAATACCTTCGTCGCAAAATTGCGTATCTGTGTTATGCTGCACGACAGGAAACAGTAAAGACCTTAAAATTTCAGCTGTAAACCGAAGGGTCATATATTCATTCTGGTAGGGTCATGTTAAAAGCTCCATATTTTTCATTCTTTGCACTCATGCCAAAAGCTGCTTAAGGCTAGGGTGTCACTCAGGACAGGTAGCCAAAGATAACCTAATATTAACCACGAAATCTTCCTCAGGTAATAATTGCCCTCTGAAATCATTTGCTCTGGACTAAAATATATAAACATTAGCACTATAGATAGAATCTCAATAATATTTGACCAACTAGCTGTTTTGTTTTGGGTGCTGAAGCTGCTACGCAGAGACATGAAAGCGTGTGCTGCGATTGTTTCAAAGCTTGGAAAAAATTCGTGCGGCAGTTGCTGCGCAGGGGCATAGCAAAAAAGGTTGGGAATGAACACATCATTTAAAAGCAATGGCAAAGTGAATCAACTTTCTTCAATATTTTTACTGGTTTATCGAAGGTACGAAAGAATTTGGAAGAGTATTGTAGTCTACAAGAAACTAAATTTCTGAGAAAAAAACTCCCTTGGATGCTTATTGAGATGCCTATGCCTTAGCATGTTGAAGCATGTGATCAATCGCTTTGTAAAATCAATGTCACTGGCACATAGTTTACAAATGATGATAAAAACACTTTAAACAGCGAGCTCTCTTTTTGGAATCTATCTATGTTTGAAATCATATATGTGGCTGGAAATACATGCAATTTCTTTTCAAAACTATGAAGGACAATTAACGTGCCGTGGCAATGCGTATCAATTTTTTTGCATGCATCCCCCAAAATGGGATTAACTCAAACATTATGGGATGCAGAAACAAAAATCTAATAAAAGACAACACCCCTGGATCACTTTCCATGTTATTGCTCCACAATAGCAGACAAAAGTAGTACCTATGCCTTTTTAGATGAAATGAGGTACAAACCGTCGGCATTTTCAACAACTGAAAGAGGGCCTTGAAACACTTATCTTAGTCTCTAGTTGAATTAGCTATAGTTGAATTTCTTGAGTTACTTTGATAAAAGGAGTTTAGAAATTGCTGTAAAATCACCAAAAACCAACGAAAAGAACCCTCACATTTCTTTAAACGTATAATCTCGCCTTTATCTGGCTCGATCTCTTAAAATTGAAATTATAATGAAATTCAAGGTGTGCGTTAATTTAGAGGTGCCATTTCAATTCTAAAAAAAATTTTCTTGTATGGGCCATTATGGCCAAGAGCAACGAGCAATCATTTTTAACTTACTTGGTGAAAACCCCTCCCGCCAAACCATATTTTGTGTCATTCGAGCGTGCAATTGCCTCTTCTTCTGTGTCAAACGCCAGAACCGACATGACAGGGCCGAAATGCTCTTCCTTGACAATGGTCATCTGGTCATTACAATTATCCATGACGCATGGTGACATATAGAAGCCATTTTGTAACTCTGGGTCGTCAAGCCGCATCCGCTCGCCACCGCATAGTATTCTTGCACCCTAGAACATTAACAAAGAAAAGTGAAACAAAGCAAAATGGAACAATTTTTTGCGGTAAAGAACTTGAAAATGGCTTTGAAAAAAGCAAAAATTTCACAACATACTAATAAAAACGTCAGAACGAGGGTCCAAAAAAACACAATGAAAAATATATACACAGTTGTGGATCGCATATAAAGCCAAATGGGTGAAACACAAAGTTAAAACATAGACCTGTTCGTCTGTATACAAAAGTGTGTACAGCTCCGCCTAGCATCGGTTGGAACACAACATGACAGGTCAGCAATACAGTAATTTTCATTCAACATTTATACATTAGTACGTTTTGCCGCGCTTATTTCCATTTATAATACTTAAGTAGAATAAAAACGGTACTACTCTTTCCAATATACTCTGCTGAAGTTTAACAAAAAGGAAATATAAACTTCCCTAAATATTGAAAATAAAATATACAGTTTTAACGAACAATCAAAAGTAGAGAGGAGAGGAGACAAAAGAAAGTGTTTACTATATCATGAGGTTAACCACCTTTTTTTAAGTATTCGATGTTAGGGATACCTCATATCTAAGCTGAGTCAAATTTCACATGCTCGCGCTTCTCAATGTTCATTATTTACTTATTCAATTATCCGTTGTTTTCTCGATTAGTTGCTGCTAGTTACTGAGGTTGGGCATCGGAATCCAAATGCACCCAAGACCAAGAAAAAGCCCCGGGGGCTTATTTCGCAAAAAATATTTTGGGACGGGGGCTTATTCGTGGGTGGAGGGCCTTTTTCGATGGTGGGAGCTTATAAAGCAGCATTTAAAAATTTATCAGAGTAAATTCTCTTCCTCTATTTTAGGCTGGTCAGTATGCTTAAAAACGCAGAGATATTGGGATAAACCTATTGCTGTCGCGGCAGTACTTCAGCCCATGGGGTTTAATTGCGGGTGGGGGGCTTACTTCATACAAAACTAATCTAGGGTAGGGCTTATTCGAAGGTAGGGGCTTTTTCAAGGATTTACGGTATCTAGTTTTTTGCATCGAATTTTCTAAACCAATTTTAGCATAGTTTAATCCTCTCTAGCATCTATGTCTAGAATAGCAGTAGAGCACTGCTAGACTGATGTAGCACAATTTAAGTTTTAAAGTGTGATTATCTTTAATTGTATGCCAACCAGCTCACCTAATGTTAGATACCACCGCAGAATAATTTGATTGACAGTAACTTTACCTTAGGTGTGATTTTTAGATTTGTTAGCTGCTACAAAATCACAGGTTTTAAATGCAATCAACAGTTCAAAAATACAGCTCCATTTAATTTGAACATGATGATTTGTTGTGGGTAAAGGGAGATATAATTTGAGGCACTGTAATATTCTTTTATATCAAGCAAAATTGATGAACGGAATTGAATTTGATAGGCTTTGGTCATCAGCGCACTTAGAGATTCAAACTGAAGTGGAATTAATTACATTTTAGTCGTAGAGGGCTTCTTTGAGGTAGGAAGGCTTATATAATAGGGGTTTATCTTCATATCTACGGTGGATAAGTATGATAAAATTCAATCAACTTCATTTTTAAGTGATTGGGTATTGTCGTTCTGAAAAAAATAGATAAAATTAAGTATGGTTTTCTTACTTCTTTCTTTGCAACATCAACGTAGCCAAGAACTTTTTGCAAATGCTCCTCAGAAATTAAAGCTCCCATCTGTGAACTTGGCTTGAGTGGGTCACCAACTGTGATATTATTCACTTTTTTTACTATTTTCTCCAAGAATTCATCAAATATTGGTCGTTGTACATAAACTCGTGCAGCATTTGAACAAACCTGCAATCAAATGCGCAGAACAATGGCAAAATTGAATTCAAAGGCAAAATTTAGGTAAATTTGCAATACAACATACGACTCACTTCATGATCAGAGCATACAAGCTAAGTATCAAAGCACCGTTTGAACGTTTCTTTTTGGATAAAACAGAGTTTCTTGATTTTAACGGATCTGCTACCGCCTTCAAAGATGCTTCTCCCATGCAAGGCCATAAAACCCCTATTTGCAGCATCAATGGTCAACATAAACAATCTTCTGAGATGATGAAAAAATTTGACATTCAATGTCATTTTAATATGATTCTGAAGCATTTAATATAAATATCTTCTTAATAAAAACTTTTTCGAGCATCATTGAACTCTTTAACTACATTTATTAAAAAAAGTTCTTTACTTAGAAAATAGTGTACATTGGAATAGGATAAAGATGGTTTTCTTAGGGCTTAAAATGCCATTTGTTTAGGTAAAAGTATATTTAGGGTTCAAATACTCATTCTATCGATTGCCTGGGCGGTTTGGACTAAACGAGAGTTAGCAACGGAAGTGTATTCATTTAGTTTTTCAATTTTAATGACTGAATTGAAAACATATTGTACCCTTCTTGACATGTAAAAAATCTATAGAACCCAGGAATATTAATGTTCATAGAATTGAAGAATACGAGAGTGGCCTTTGGAAATAAAAAATTTTAGTTACCACACGCCTTTCTTTGGTTCCTATTTGTGGGAAACTTTTAATGCAGCGGACGGAAGAAGGTAAAAAACATAGAATAGAAACTGGTAAAACCGATATTTGTGCCATATTTGAATACACTTCAGACGTACTTTCTAGGTAAAATTCGCAAGCACGATGGCAAAGGCTTTCAAAGCAATTTCGGGCTCAAGCATCAATGAGTCTTTTCTGAAGTTCATTTTCGAACCATAAAAAATTACGAAGACTGGTGTTTCTTTCATTTCGATGTCCTTTAGGGTTCAAGTAACCACGAAAAGCCTTACAAAATTACATCATTAGAGTAACTGATCATAAAAGTAGATCTCTTAAGTACAAGTTCTTCAGCTGCAATAGAAACAAAATAAAATAAGCACAAATACAATGAATTAGGGTTTACTAGCGATGATTACAAACTCTAATTTTGAAAGAAATTTGTGCAATGCCATTTTCAAGTTTTACAGAATATCTAATGCTGCAAGACGTTGTTGACCTTTTTATTCCATACAAGGTATTTATAAATGCAGTATCTGGTCCGTTGCCCTGCTCTTTTAGCCTGGCTTATTTAATCTTGAATTCATCATCTAGATTATAGAATCTATCAGCTATTCTTTTATCTACGAGTTTTGTATCTCATCTGACATCGTTTTCTTCCTTGCAATGCTGTGAAATAGCTTCTTTTGCTGCCAAATTGAATTTTGTTTTTACGTTATCGCATTTTGTTGTGTCTTAATATCTCGAACCCTCTCTAACGCTTTTAATTGAATCTTCACTGACATGGTGTTTTATGCTCTGATGTTCGTATCAGTCTGTAGAAAAAAGCTTTTACTATATTCTTTCTTCGTTTCAGCTTTACCTTGGTACCATGAACCGTTGGCTCATTGCAGCTGTTAGACGATATTGAATGAGGGTTACCTGCCATCCGATAGTCCCTTCTGAAAAAAAATTGTCTTAAAAAGCCCAAATAAACGTCACTCACTTTTTCTCGTAAGTTTAATTACAATATGAAATTCTAACCGGGGTGGCTTCATGCTTCCAGCTTATCCACGAACTTGTCACTTGCATCCATTCTAAGACCTAGCACGCAGAGGGTCTGTTGATAGCTATAAATGATATCTCTATTAATGACACTCCACATTCGACAGGTCTCACTTTCTAACCCCCTGACTTTATGAGGGAGTATCGTCACTCCCTCTCACCACGTAAACTACCCTGGGTACCATCCTTTTACATTACTTAGTCTCAGAAATATAGCTAGAAACTAGTCACAGAATGCCACCACAGCTGTCTAAAATACTTGACCCCGGGAAACAAGATTGGAAAGCTAGCTTATTTCTTGTGACAACAACAGAAGATACAAAGCTTCCAGTTTACTAATCACTAAGGAACGTTATCATATTACATAAGACTTCTATATCATGATAGCTATACATGTTAATCACAAAAAACTAAAATCTTCATAATAAAGCCATACCTGTCCTTGGGTAAGGTAATTGGCAAGCAATGCTCCATTTAAAGCATTTTCCAATTCTGCATCAGCAAATATTACCAAAGGAGACTTTCCACCAAGCTCTAGGGTGACACGTTTTATGCCTTCTGCGCATGCTTGCATAATCTAAAATCATAAATTATCAAAATTTTGTATTCTCTGTCTTGAGAATCAGAAATAGCTGTCAACTGCCCTATTCCTAAATGAGGCTTTCCTAAATAAGATACATTCATACATTAGTAGCTTTTTTGTAGCTCCAGCAATGTGAAAAACGAAGTGATTTAAAGCCCAAATTAAGTTTTCCTTGCCTTTGAGTTGTCTTAAATAGTATGCAAAAAATTGTCAAATATAGTACCTTTATGTCATTGGAAAGATTCAACAAATCCAAAACTCTTACTCTAATATGTACATTAAAATCTGGAGAACACCAACCTTTTCCATCAGTAAATTTTATTTGAGACCAGAAAGATGAAATGAGCACCCATTCAAGCGAGAAGTGCAGTGCTTTCCTAAATGGTAGCAATCTGACTTGAACAGGTTCCAACCTTAATGCACAAGTGTATCTGTAATTCCCCAAATGGTACAAATCATGTGCCATTCATCAACAATATTTCCTATCTAGCAACAAAAGAGCTGAATATGGTTTCCCTGTCTAGCAACAAAATGAGGGTAGTTTTTTGGAACCCAAAGAGGCCTGTGCTTTTTGAACAGTGTTCTGGTCCTTTCTTTCAATGTGACCATACATAATGATTCCTATGACTGGGATTGTAGTGAGCTGGCAACCCTCATCACTCTAATTCAAGTTTAACCATGTCAGTGACCCTTGGACCTGCAGTTTCTATCCTCACAACAAAGCCACATTTGCACCTTTAATCAAAGTTAGATGCATAGGTGAGAGCTACTCTTCTCGCTTGACATGTTCTTCTGGAAACCTTAAAATTGCACCTTGTGGTCGGGTTTTAAAAATTGCCCAGGATTTTCAGATGCTTCAAAATTTGTCACATCATGGGCATCTCTCATAAACTACAACCTCAGCATGACTAAAACAAGCTTTAATCAGGAGTTAACCTTTTCTCCAGTTTTCTGGATTTTTACTCAAATCTTTGGCATTGTATCAAATATGTATTTGTTCACCAAAGACAACGCTGGCAAAAGAAATCTTCTAAAAGATTTTCTGAAAGAGTTCAAAATGTTCAGTTGAAGTTTGATCTTTGGGGCCACAATTTTCATTAGGGCAAAAAAAGCTCATCTACCTGACCACCCTGCTGTACTGATGCATTTGCCCCCAAACCACCAAACTGCCACCCCAACCTTAATGTTCCTAGCCACCCTGACCCCTTCATGCATCTATGCAAAGGTGTCCTCTTTTTCTGAAACACAACTTTGGTCACCCTACATAGGTAAACAGAAAATACAGACAAAAATACAATACCTTAGTGCCTGTGGTTCCACTGCCAGTGAATGAAACTTTTGCAACATGCTCATGCCTGCACAACAAAGAACCAGTTTCAGCACCTCCTTGGATGACATTAAGGACACCTGGAGGTAGGCCAGCTTCATGAAGAACCTCAGCAAATATTACACTTGACACTGGTGTAAAAGGCGATGGCTTATAAACAACAGCATTTCCACATGAAATAGCAGGGGCAACTTTCCAAGCAATGTTTAGAAATGGGAAGTTCCAAGCCCCGATACCTAGAAAATAACCAGAAAGAGATAGTATTAGATTGATTAAATCATGAGGCTTATCCTCCAGTAATATGAAAACAGGTTCTTCTGAGATGACAAAGGTTGCTTTTACAGTTTGCTAAAATGGCATTATTCAAAACAGTAGTATGTGTCTTCACCTAGGAAATAAGCAAAACTGTGTTGTAATTCACTGCAACAATCATAATTGCACTTATCTAAATAGGGCATCAGTTTCTTAGGCTTGCAATAAGAAGGTCCTCTTATAAAAATCACATAGATGAAATGAGAGATAGCCATGAGAGACCATGCCTAGACAAGACTCTGTGAAAAAATAACAGATCTTGATAGAAAAAAAGCATCTTAAAAAGGTAGTAGTATGATTTTACTTCAATTAAGCTGTCATAAACCAACTCATCATCACACCAATTCGCTAACTATTTAATTTAAACCTGAATTAAGGAGAAACTCAAGGGATTGATCTTGGAATCATGGTTCATTCATCATATCAATGTTATATTTTCAGTCCAACATCAGTCATTTACAAGCAAAAACATTCACTTGTACAGGTCTGGCTTTTTAAAGTCAAAGGGGGACCAAACCCCTCAATTTTGGGCTTGTCATGTAAAAAAATATATTTATTTTCAGATTATCATCTATTGCTCCAATGTTTTAAACATCTAATACATTTGAATAGTAAACAAATTCATCCATATTATGTAAAAAATTGTCTGTGTATTCTCAAATTGCTCAAGATTTCAATGCAAGGATTTTGCACTGTGTCACTGCTAACAGACACACATATGGGGTGCCAAAACACCTTTTGACCTCTTGAAGTATGGGGGCTCTAGACAAATTGGGAAACTTTTTTGGCAGTTTTTCCCCATCATCCTTGATGCCACTACCTGGATATCAAAGTTCAGCAAAAAATGTTAAAGGAATATATAGCCCCCAAGGCCATTTTATACCAAAGTAGAATAAAACTTTGTTCCAATTCAAGCCTAAAATTCAAGCCTATTCACCACAAGGGCTTTTGAAGAAACTTTTCATATGTCTGTGCAAGGAAACTTCTAATTTGTGTGAAAGCACTTTTTTAAAATAGTACCTGTCTTTGAATTAATCTAAAGAATAGGCCATTCTAAGAAATGTAGGACTGAAATCCTGAAAAAATTACAAATACATAAAAAGGGATTGGGAATATGTGTGTGGAAAAAAATTTGCCTTCTTAAAATACCTAATAATAATAATTAAATATTATCATTAAAGAGTCAATTTCTGAGTTAGGCTGCCTAGTCATTATCTATGTAAGGCATCTGAAATTATCTATGTTGAGCAACCAGACTCTACAAGTTTCCATACTTTGAATGAAAGATATTTGAATTTAACATTTTGCTTTTTACCTAAAGCACACCTGTAAGCATTAGCAAGCATTCAAGCCTGTGAGGCAATTTTTTTTAAAGAAATGAAAGTTTTAAGTTACCAACACAGATACCAAGAGGCTCTCTTCTTGTATATGCAAATGATCCATCTTGAAATGGAATATGCTGGCCGAAAGGCACATGCAATAATGAAGAATAAAATTCTAAACTTTCTATGGCAGCGTCAACATCCATTTCACATTCTGAAATCACACGCCCTAGAAGAATGAGATGATTATTTCGAGGTGACTATTTCTGTATACAATTATGTAATGCTCTATTATTCTGCTTAGTTTGTAGGTTTGCATTTGATGTTATTAATTCAGTAAAGAATCTATTTGTAAAAATATTTTTTTTATGAGAAACTAAGGTCCGGTGCTGGCCGGTCTGCAGAGTATGGCACTTTTCGACGAGATCTCTTGTGTGCACAAGCAAAAAGCCTGGTGTGCCGGTGTACACCAACTATTTTCCCCTGTTGTGGTTTAAATTTGTGAATTTGCATTTCACCGTAGAAATGCGTGTGAAGTATACTGCTGAAGATAGTGCAAGTTTTTATTTGTATATTTGTCAAGTAAGATTCATGATATCTCAAATTGTTCATACACAATTGTGCTTGTTTTTATCAGCTGACATTTTCTATGAGACCACACCTAGACACACCCATGTTAGTTGCCACACCCAAAAATATGGGTGTGCAACAGGTTTTGCACAAAAATATCTCCGGTGTGCACATGCCATACTCTGCAGACTGGGGTGCTGGTAGGCAGTTTCTTGAATTTTCTGGCCATTTTGCTATCAAAAGTTTCTTTCATGTTTCTTAAATTTCTTAGGTAATGAATTTTTAAACATGCTTCCATGTAAATTAAATAGTTCACTCACATTCAGAGATAAACTAATAAAGTGATCAAGGAATTTTGTTTATCTAGAATGACTAACTCTGTTGAGTTCTGTAAACAGTTAAGCTCATTGAACTTCATCAATGTCAAGTTGAAGTCACATTATATTTTTAAATGGAAACTTCTTGTGTGTGCAATTTACTGAGAATGAAGTCAAACTGCATGTCAAGTGTAGTGTTGCAATATACAGTGATGTTCAATGTCAAAACTGTTTCGAGTGTCAACTCAGAAAATTAAAACTGCAAATGAAAAAAGTTTCTTAGAATTTTTCAATTTGGGTAGGGTTGATTCTTAACTTTCGAAAAATTGAGCCTAACGTTTCTTATAACCTGTTTCTCACAAAAAAATGAGTGTATGTAGTATGGACTATTGATAATAAATGAGCTTGAACTTAAAACTTGAAACATAACTGCATAGCCAATTGTTGAAACTAAATGCTAATGGTGATTTACTAAAAATACGGAATGGCAAATAAAACTGCATAGCCAATTGTTGAAACTAAATGCTAATGGTGATTTACTAAAAATACGGAATGGCAAATAAAATCCGCCTTTTGTCGGTTTGTTAACCTGTATCAATGGCATCAAGATATACAATGTCTGCCTTTCTTTCTCGCAAAATCCCTGCAGCATTTTGCATAATTCTTGATTTGTCAAAATCTGAAATTTTTCTCCAAATATCAAGTCCAATTTTTGCACTGTCAATAGCTCTGCTAACTTCTTCCCTTCCCGAAAGGTAGAACTGTCCAAGAGTTTTTCCGCTTCTTGGCTCGATAGAATCAATAACTTCACAGTTCCCGGCATCATTTGGCTTCGACCTTCGTCCGTTTACAAAATTCAATTCCGCAAGCTGAGCTTGAAATGACGCTGCCCTTACAAAGGTATTTACAAAAGAAGCTGAAGACAAGCACAAATTACTTGGTGTCCTAAGCATTCTAAAATTATATGAAAGCATGTTTATTAACAGTTTATACTCCAATTTGTGTGGGCCAGCGAGCTCAAGGATCAATGTGTTGCCTTTCTATGCGATGGAACTTGATATGTGCAGTGAGTGCAAATTTTCTCGTGCAACCTCCTTCTGAACAGTATATTGATTTTTATTACGAGATTCCTGCTTGGCCTGCCAAAATGTCAGCTGATAACAGAACGTGAATTGCAAAAAACCTCCATGGTTCTGTGGGGCTAAGGCCGAACAGTGGATCGGATCTAAAAGAGTGCGATTGTGTCTGGCGTTTACACGGGGACTGTTGGATCCGTATGCTTAAGGAGCTGCTATCCGACCGAACATTTTTTGGGTCACTTTCAAAGGAGGTCTCGTTTTGAGTACATCTTGCATCGATCATTTTTTGTTACCCCAATACTGGTGACAACATAGAATTCAATAGACTAAGATAAGTTCTGAAGTTTAATTTTTATCTAAAACTCTCTTTTCCCATACACATAATCGTAAAACTGGACCCAAATTGTCTTTTGCCTGCTAAAATTTTGACAAACTTTTAGGTACATTTCCAGCTAGCATTTTTTATTGGATAGATTTAACATATATTGCTTCATGGACCATCAAGATCATCGTAATAAAATACGTTAAGAAGATCTTTTTTCGTTTTAAAACAATGTGAATGGCTACAGAAGATTGGATTGAATTCATTTTTGTTCCTTGCACGATAATCTCAAATTTTAAAACATAAGCAACTTGCTTAAAAAATCTTGTAGACAAAACAACTATCTTCTGCTCTTACTGAACAGGGTTGTTCAATGTATAGATGCCTGAGACTGTCTGACGGAACCACGTCGATAATAAGAAAAATATAGGGAATGACATAAAGCAGAAAGGCTGCCATAATAAACCGACTGCGTAGGTGAAAAAAGAGAAAAGTATGCGCAAATTAGTCATTTGCTGATGAAACATTCTGCGATGCATTGAAATACTATAAAAAATGCTTTACTGTTGTCCAAGGTCAAGGAAAGACTGGACAGAGATAACTGCATACCTGTTCCCAAGATCAAATTCCCTTGAAAAAAATGTTTACTTTCTACTCCTTTCGATAGATAGGTCTATGTGATAGTTTTCTACAAATTTTTTTTTAAGAAAAAAATCCCTTTTAAAAATAAATATACAATAACCAAATTAGTTTTTAGCACTGCAAAATTTGAAGATGGCACAAAATTGTGAAATAGCTATTTTTCCGCTGTTTTGTGCCAAATGTACAATACCAAAACAAAAAACCTTGCTTTAAATTAAAGCCTTAAATACAAATAAGTCACTTAACTAAAATGCAGTCTCGATTGTCTAAAATATTCTTTTTAGGCAAAGATGTTGGTATTTAGATAATTACCAGTTTAGTCAATTCTAGGAAGTTTAGTTTATTTTCAGATTGCGAAAACTGAAGTTCCTCCAGCGTTTTGAAGCTAGCAGGTGTTAGCTATTTCTCTAGCAACTTGTTCATCTGCACGTGACTTTTACGCGACCTGCACGTTAGCATTCATGTTTTATGTACAATTACCCTTTGCTTACAACAGACCCTATACTAATATCTTCTTCTTAAACTATTTATAAGTATATTTGCGCACACTAATTTAACTTACACTAAATGGAGGAGCCATGAAAATGCCCACAATAATACTTTATTATATTCAACTTTGACATGGCTAGGTCTCAAACATCATCCTCGTCTGTGTGCAGTTTCATTTTTTTAAAGGCCAGTAATGCGTCTTCAACTGTAGTCTTGTGCTCGTTGGAGGCATTTTTCCTCGCTTTGTTTCGAACGAGTCTGTTTCTTCGAGCACTTGGTCGACGCGCTCTGAATTCACTGCAAGCATCAACATGTACCCCTCCGTTGTTTGAAAATTGAAAGGTAGGAATACCCGTCGCTAGACCACTGTTGCAAAAAGTCGAGAAACTGCTGTAAAAAGCTGACAAACTTTTGTTCGGTGTAGTTGCAAAGTTGCAAAACCCGAGCATTTGTTCCTGGCTTAATCCCCTTGTTTGGTCTTCGTAATCCTCTCGCTTCTCGCTATTTTCGCGGTTTCCCTGTACGAATGGGTCATCATTTGACCAGTATTTGCACAGCCCGGCTTCGACTTCAGCTGGCGTTTGAATAACAATCAACGGCAACCTGCTTGATGTAGTGTTTATACCCATTTCCAAGCAAAACTCTCTTGGACCGAGGGAAAGATTGTCATTCATTTTTAGTCGGGTACCTGCTGCCACATCAAGTTCTTTATTTCATATATCAAGTAACGAGAGCGTTATAAACAGTCCACTGACGTGCGTAGACGGCTAGATCAATACTTAAATCAATGTTATTATAATTAGGAAAGGTTTGAATAATTTTCCGTCTTTTTATCTAATGTTACCTGTAACTCTTTGTGTCGAAAAGAGCATGTGTCGAACAGGTAACGAGGGAACTCTCAACATTTGAGCAGCTTCGGTGATCTTCTCTAATGGCGTTGGCATATTAGCAGGCTCTGTGGATGAGAAGCTCGTGTCAAGGCCGTTCAGACAGCAATTTCTTGGCTATAAATGAGCGAGTATGTTTGCTCCGGCGTTCTACGAAAATCTTGAACATAAATAATTCAGAAACACTGCGTTGATATCATCAATCAAATTTTCTTATGCTTTCTTCTATTTCCTCACCAGACGAAAGCATATTTGCATGGCAGAACAACAAGAAGCCATTGCCGATTGTAAGAAAAACGCTGGAAAACAAAAGAAAGATGAGCAAGATAGAAGGAAAAATTAATAAAACATTATTCGCTTGAAATTTCATTCATATTTAAAAACTGTTCTGTTGCTAATATACAAGATCTATTTCCACGCGAAAGACAATGCGTGCAGAAAGGTTGTCATCAAAAGGAAAATCTTACTATAAAATGTTCTCATTTAAATAGGTTTTAAATGGGCATGGTCAGGAAATTGGGGGTGCTCGAATCATTAAAAATCGTAGCTTGTTTTAAATTATAGATATTTTCGAGACAGATAGAAAATTCAATGCTTGAGTCAATTAAAAACAAAAGCGTATCCATAATTAAAATATACAAGTTTTAAAAAGTTAATGCTTAAATTTTCCAGTGCAAAGCAGTTCTGCAAACACATTTATATTAAAAACAGGAGGTTTATAAATATTATTTGATTTTGTTTTTAATTTTTCTCCTGCAATAGGATTTCTTCACATCCGCAGGTTTCCAAATTTTTGGTCACCTTCCTCGACTTTTTTTTGCTTCTACAACCTTCTTCCGACCTAAATATATCTGTCGAAACTATTTACAAAATACTCAATTCAAAATATACTGAGGCTATAAAACACTAAAACTGAACTGCCTGTTTCTCTTCTCAAAACATCGAATAGGCAGAAGTCTATTTAATTTTCTAAGCCTAAGCTATGGAACGAATTGAGCACAGATGTCAAACATGCTTTTTCCCTTTTATTTTAAATTTGGCATGGACATTCCTTTCTGGTTGTTTTAATAACTTGTAATTAGTTGTTTAGTAGCATTTTTAGATGCCCTCTGCTCTGTAAAGCAGTCTCGACAGAAATTACCGTAGTAAAATTATACAAAAATAAAGTGAAAATGATGCAGCTTTGCAACGCAAGAGCCTGGGGACAATTATCCCAAAGTTCGTTAGAAAGAATACCACTTCACTAGAATTCAAAAACGGGAAACGAGTATGCAGGGAATTGAAGAAAATTACAATGGCGTAATAGAATGCTTTTTATCGCTGGTAGAATCTTCTGTTAGACGAAGCGAGCGAATGCTTGCAGATTTTTTTTGTCATCATACATCATAATACAATTTGTTATGCACGATTGCCCATTCAGTAGGCCCAGTTCTGGTTTACAACGAGCAATGCATCCTAATTACTAGAAAGAGTAAGTAGAATAGAAACATACAATAAGTCTGACATTATGTACCCTGCCTTGCTCTACCATACCATGTTAATTTTAATATATTGTAATATTGTAACATTTCCTCTATTAATTCCCTTTGTATGTCAAGTTTTATTTATAATATTTACAATCTTTTGCGTTCGGATGATCTGATTTTTGTGCATTTGCTTTCTGGGCAATCTTTAAAGGCCTCTTGAAAAATCCCAGAAAACTGTAAAAATGTGCAAGTAGATTCTTAACAACAAGTTAGCCCATACAAAGTAAAGTAACCTACATTGCTGACCCCTAACTATTTTCACATATTTTTTAACTGTTCATCTCTTTACATTGGCCATCATATTTTAATTACACCTACTTGGAGAAAAATTTTCGATCGAGATAAACATCCACTGAGCAAGATAGCTATTGATAAATCATACAAGCAAACTCTCCTATGGCTGCATTACATAGCACAGACGGGACGTTCATCTTTATGGATGTGCTAGTGGTCTGTGCATGCCTGTATCAGCGACAATAACCATTCAGAACGCAAAATGTCTATCTTATATATTTATTTGTCCTTAGAAGTAAAACACAGAGTTTTTAACTTTATTGTTCTTTTTCAAGTTTTTTCTTCAAGAGTTGATAGATCCCTCTCCAATCTTACTCAGTTAATGTTGGTGTTCCACAAGGTGATATCATCTCTCCTATTTTTTTCATCCTCTTCACCAATAGCCTCTTTTCTTTTATCGCAATAAGGTAGTCAATCTTTTGGTGATAAAGCTCATCTGAGCTTTTCTTTCATTTACAGCATTATCCTTTTGTGGACACTCCGGTTGAAAAATACAGCTCCGTCTCGATTTTCATTGATGATCTGTCAATTGGCGGTAGAGACAATCTGTTTAGGCTCAATCAAAGTAAAACAAGCCAGGTTGCAATATTTGGGATGGATGTTTCTGACTTTCTTCATGTTTCCGTGACTGGTACCGATTTACTTCTACTCTGCTTCAACATTTTGTTTTTTCTGTTTCATCCAATCTTACCTTTCACACTTCTTCTATTGCTGAATAAACAGCACAAAATCTTTGTTTCGGTTATTTTCATACTCTCTTATTTTCATACTTCAATAACATGTAGCTATTTAAAATTTTTAATCTCCTTATTTGTTTATAGCATGTCACTTATAAAAAAGAAAATTCAACAACCTCACCGCTTTTTTTCTCTTTTGCCTTTGGGTTTTGCTCCACATGCCTTTAAGTCTGTGTACCTTTAAATCCAGCAACTTCAAGAAAGTATTTCAATCTTGTATTTCAATTGGTCTGGGAAAAGCTACTTTTACGTTGATTCGTTTAGACCAGGCTCCTCTTACTTGAAAGCATGCTAACAGTACTGACACCCTGGCTTCGAGAAAACCTTCTTCTCGGATGATCAAAACCGGAGCAAGATATTCAAACTATTATGTAAACGCAAAAATGGATTAAGCCTAGTTCTTTTCTGCCACGAATGGGCGCTCCCGATGAGGCAGAAATAAGCTGCCACATCTGTGGACTGTGCAATGTTGATAAATATCCTGTCGAGATGTAGAGATTTCAATATTATAAAATGCACTCTTTTTTATAAGAACAATTTTATAAGAACATGAGCCTCAAAATTGGTCAAAAGTTAAAAACAAATTAAGAACAAGCTGAGGCCGAGATTCTGCAAAATGCAATTTTGAACAACGTTTTTTCTCAAAATCGAGGATTTTTAGCAATGTGTGGGTTTTTTCGGTGAATATTCAAATTTGTCTCACTCACTTTGTTGGCAAATGAGGCCTGAACACCACCCTAGAGTTGAAAAGCTAGCCATCGCACTGCGTACACCCTATCAATTTGAGAACAAATTAAGAACAATCCAGGCTCAGATTTTTGAAAAAATGTAGAACAGTCAGCCTGAACTTAAATTTTCTGGTTCTTATAAAAAAAGAGTGTAGACCATATTCCTACTCCTCATCGACCATGCCTTCACCATGACACCCACTTACATCATTTACGGCATCACCTACCACAGGGCATTCCCTTCACTATTGTATGAATGTTAATTTGTATAAAGTCAGTCAGGTCAGTTCAGATCAGATCAGAGTTATATATCAACACAATGTCTCTCTCACTGGCTCCGTGTTATCTGCACGTTAATAAAGACTGGAACAAACATCAACGATGGAAAGTCAAAGGAATCATATAGGAACCAATCAACACCAAAAGTCGTTCTTATACAGACAGTCCACGCAGAGGCCTGGGTCTTATCACCAGATTCTGGTGGAAACTGTGAACAAGATATTTATCAATATTGCACAGTCCATTAATGAAGCAGCATTTGTGGACTGGGGCACAGGTTTTCTCGTTAAGGCTAATTAGTTTTAATAAAATTCACCACATAGACCTAAGTAGTTCTATTTTTATTGCAATTCCAGTAAAAAATGACCCACACAACATCATCATTAAATTGTGGATAAAAAATTGAGTATAAGGCTTAAGGTCTAAATTTATGAAATGCCTTTAAAATCGAAAGGCTGCGTTTTGTGTTTTGTTCCTCGCAAGCAAATATGGGGTCTAGTACCAATTTTCGTAAGCTTTATAATCAGCTTTTTTATATTCAATGGACTTTCAAAAGGGTTTCGATAGGAAACAAGTTGGCACAATACGTAGCGGATAAATCATTCACAGTAGGTGATTATCATAAAACGTTTTTAGCCAATTACAATGAACTTGACCGTAAAATCGAGTTGTGCAGAACGTCACGACTTTGATGAGACAATAGAAAAGACTTTCGCTCTATCGAAAAGATCTTAATCTCCACATCACCAATATAAAACAACAACTAGACCATGATCAACAGTGTGAACTGATGTCGACAAGCAAAAGTCTATGTTTCGATGGAAAACGATGCCATTTCAAGCTTGTTTACCAGTCTCTACTTCTGACTCAAATTTCATGTGGTATATGTGGATGCTCTCATTGATTTTCACTTTAAAGATGTTCTCATTGTTCCTACATTGATGCCAAGGTTCAGTAAACCCAGCGTTTAGATATATTTTCTATTTCGCATGCATTGAAGGGACATTTTAAAGTTGTCTATACGCAAAAAGATAATCATGGAAAGAATAAAAGAAAACAAGGATAAGCTCAAGGGCAGTAAGAGGCATAGAAAGCTAAGCATAGTGGAAATAATTGAAGGCCCTAGAAGGTACAAAAGAGAAATGCTCAGGGCATTGAGAAAAGATGCATTGAAAGGAAAAACGGAGAGTAGCCTTGATGTCAAAAACACAGAGAAGAAAATGGCTGAAGCTGACAAAGAAACAGGCCAAAATAAGAAAGAAGGGCAATTAAAGGACAAAGCTGAAAAGAAACTAGTTAGCAAAGGATGCGAGTTGGTTGAAGAAACTGGCAGTACTGAAGAAAACAAGCTTTTATCATCAGCAGCCATGACGGGTAAAAGTCATGCTGAAATGGTCAGTTTATATACGAAAAAGCAGATTCCTCATGCAGAGAACCCAGAGTTTCTCAAAGAAGAAGATACATGTGAAAAATCCAGTCAACAGGTTGACTATAGTGTTGAACTTAAAGAAGAAAGGGAGGGAGGCTTGCAGACCAGGTCCCGAACTTTAAGAGAGAATCGCAGAAGACGTTGGTCACATTCTTTAAAACAACTCTTACAGGAAGATGATGAACGGAAAGCAAACTTAGAAGCTCGTTTTTTAAGTCGTAAATTATCAAGCTCAGAGACAAGTAATATCCTTTACGGAAATGTAGATTTAAGGAACACACATTCGTTGGATGATCTCGAAATTGAGCTGGGAAAGCTACAAGCGAACATTTTCAAGTTTAATGATGAGATTCTTGAAATTAAGGCAAGGCTAGAAGGGTTTATATTACATACGAATGAAATTGCAACACAGGATAATGCGTGAACTGATCTAGACGCAAACAAAACAGTCTGTGTTTTATATCAAGGAATAATATATACAGAAGGTTCAACATTTTCCTTTAATTGCATCTTTGAGAACCCAATTAAACAGATTTGTATAATATCATAAGCATTAGTGCTTAAAATTATGAACTAATGTATATTTAGATCATACACTGTCATATCTACCTAAATAGCTCAGAGTATTTTTTCCATTGAAAGTTGCCTATAGGAAATCACTTCCATCAGAGCTGATTATTGAAGAGCTTCTAGGCCTAGCGAACGGTGTGCTAATCTTTGGACCCAGTTTACTTCCAGATTGAATGTGGGAGCGATGAAAGTATAAAGAGTCATTAAGTGTTGAAAAAAATTCATCATCTTCATCGACTGAGCTCGATTTTCTAAATCGTACCCTTCTTATTTTAGCTTTATTGCTAGGTTTTGCATATTTGGATAATGAGAAATCACGTAGCATTGTTTCATAGCTTGGCTTAGAGTCCAACTCTCGTTTGCTATTGTCCAACTTGATTCCTGCTCCAACTTGATTGTCTGTTCTAGTGGGGCCTGTGTGCAACATTGGTTCGGACTCTTCGGACCATTTATTACATGTTTTACTGGCATCAGCACCACTCAATGCAAATGCTTTTTCCTTCTGCTGCATTCCCATTATTTTTCCAACGCAATCAGCTGTAACTTCGCCTACGATCTCTTTGAAAATCGAAAACGACAAATCGTCCATTGACAGTCCTTCTTGCTTTCCTTTGCTTGCTTTTTTGCCGTCTGCTTCCACATTCCCATTTAGTTTATCCTCCATAGCCTCCTTGAATGTCAAAAACTTTGGCTTTTTCAAGCTTTTGGCACGAGTGTATTTATCATGAATTTTATGGCTATCTCGAAAGATGTGTTCTTCAGATTTTTCTGCACAAGGATGAAGTTCGCTCTTCCCAGAATCCATTTCCCTAGAGTTATTTTCTCTATGATGCTTTTCAACACAATTTCTTTCCCCAGAATTTCTCTCTTCAATATTATCTCCCTCAGAATTGTTTTCTCTGGAATTCTCCTTTCCAGAGCTCTTTCCCTCGGAATTCCTTTTCCCAGACGTTTTTTCCAATGAGATAACCTTACTTGCCAAATTGTCAACATCCATTTGCAAGTGCGCCATCTCAGATGTCAAGTCGTATACTTTCCATGCCACATCCAGTAATTTTCTGTGATTCTGTGAGACCTCTTGCTTCCCTTTATTCCTCCCAGCCACTGTAGGTAACTTTTCTCCAACAATCTGCTCTTTTGCAAGCGTAATAGTTTCTAAAAACATTTCCATGGCCTGGAATATAACAGGAAGGGTTAACATTTTCCATACAATTTAAAGTCAGATTGCCAATCAGAAAGCCAATCCAGTGGTCATCACTAATAGGACACATTATTATGTCAAAAAATTAAGTTCAATGAACCTGCAACAAAGGATTGGATCTGACTATTTTCCTACTGTAATGTTTGAAGCTCCTAAAATGTTTTTCAACTGACATTTTAGAAAATTCAGCAAGTTGCTGAGACAAAAGCGTGCTCAAAATCGACGAAATTTTTCAGTAAATAAGAATCAGCAGAAATTTCGAGTCCTCAACTTACTTCGTTATTTGCACCGCTGTTTAAATTTTTGCATTGTGCATCGAACATGAAAATCGATAAAAATTTACCATTTATTGAATTACAACTGAAGAATGTACTTCAGCGATTCCACTTTAGTCCTTTAGCGAATCAAACAAAACTTAGTCAGGCCTTAATTGGAGTAGCCCCCTCCCCCCTTGGGGGTACTGTGCACACATATTTCGAAGGTGGTGTTGATCCTGCAGACAAATGCATTTCAACTTGCAATGAACATTGATGGCAAATAGTTAAATCACTGATATTTGATTTTTACAGTAAAGCAAAGATCGCTGCTAAAAGATGTTTTATATCTCAAGACAAGGTAATTCACTGACTGACGGCTTGGTTTGACAGGTTTTCGTACAATAAGCCGACTACAAATAGATGCTATGCACGAATATAATTGCCAGCGATACATACCTTGTTACGAAAGTTTCCACAATCTTCAGTGCAAAGTTGTCATTGAAAGATCACATAAAACGTTCATAAAAATCGTAAGGAAGCAACGACTTGCATGTTATTATAAAAACTAGAAGCACCCGGACATCAAACAATGTTAGGACAACCAATGCTTTGCTTCTATTCATAAATACGCTGCAGATCAATCCGAACACCATGTTCACTACCTGCTATAATAGCCTGATGAGTTATAGCATTCAAGAGAAATGATGTATCCCGAGGGCGTCCCGAGGGCATCCCGAGGGCGTCCCGAGGGCCAAGCTCGCCAACGCTTCTGAGAGGAGGAAGCAGAGATACCATGTTACTCCTAGCCTGCGTGCAGACTCTGTTGACAAAATTGAAAATAGGAGAAAAAGTAGAGTCTGCGAAGCCGAGTCGATTTTCTTGTTCACAGGTTCCTCAAAATCAAGGAACCGAATTTGATTGGCTGGGGAAATTTCAATTGTTTTTTTTCAGTTTTCAAAGTGGCGCCTCCAAAAGTAACTATAAAATGAATTGTATCAGGATAATAGAGTAGGTCTGTTTGTTCTTTTGAACAACTAAAATTACAGAAAAACATTGCACGCTAATTGAGTTGTTGTTCTAGTGCTCAGAATAAAATGTTGATGTCAGCGAACAAGAAAAGCGGCTCTGTTGCGCAGACTCTACTTTCTCTCCTCTTTTAAATTTCAGAGTCTGCAAGCAGGCTATGTTACCCCAGGATATTAAAAAGATGCTTTATTTTTAGAAATAGACTGCTAGTATACGAAAAATGCTAGGTGCTTGGCAAATGGTTGTTCTAGAGGCAGGATATTTAAGAACGAAGAACTTTAGAATGTTCATTCAGCAAGTTTGCCCTAATTGGCTAATTGAGAACAGTATGACTCCCCCCCCCCTACACGAGGGGCTTCAAAGTAAACTTGTCAATGAAGAAAAAATGATAGAAAATGATTAGATTACATTAAATGAAAAAAAAATTTGACAAACAAAAAAAGACAAACTATGGACTATACTGTTAGTTTAAAAATACAACGTGAAAAATACGAAATTGAATGTAAATGGTATAGTATATTTATCAAGAATAGAATAATGATATAAAAGAACTGATTTTCAGGTAATATTAGCTTAAGATAATGTTGGCCTTTGCACCAAATCAAATCCATAGTCTATCAAAAATGCTTTGGTAAAGCCGGCATTTTTCTTTTTCGTTCTGTTAGTATTAGTGCCTTCCTAGAATTTGCTCTTATTTGAAGCTTTCACAATTGTTTGTCTTTTCATGAAAAAAGTAGCGTTTTAAATTCCAGAGAAAAGCTAGAATTATACGGTGCATTTTTATTCTAGAAAGCAAATCAAAAAGACTTCAGCCTAGATGAAATTTTTAAATGGACATGAACATCTAATGTGTTTGTAAAGCCATTCACTCAATCGTTTGTATGACGCAGAGTATAGAAAAGAAGTCCCGAAGAGAGCCAGAAACCTTTTTCTATTTAACTATAAGTATAATTGTATCCTAGGAAAATAGGTAAGCGCCATAGGAAAGCATGTCAGTGTAAAAGGAAATCAGGTCAGCATAAAAGGAAATCAGGTCAGCATAAAAGGAAAGCAAGTCAGTATCCTAAAAAAGAAAGTCAGCGTTTTAGCAAGTAACTTTGTATCCTAGGAAATTAAGTCAGTGTCATAAGAAGATAGGTCAGCCTACAAGAAATGTAAATCTGTATCGTATGAAAGTAAGTCAGTATCGTAGGAAATATTTCTCTTTCCAAGGAAAGTTACTCTGTGTCAAAGGAAGGCAAATCAGTATACCAGAAAAGTTATTCAGTATCCTAGGAATAAAGTATCCTAGAAAAGTCAGTAATTTTACTAGAAAGGCAAGTCACTATAATACAAAAGTAAGTGAGCACCCTCAGAATTAGCACTGTATCTTCGAAAAGAAAGTTTTGTTATTAGAAGGTACGTCTGAGCAATAGGAAGTAAGTCAGCATCCTAGGAATTATCACTGTATCCTTGAGCTGTAATTCGTGTCATAGAAAGGCAAGTCTGTATCGTAGGAAAGTAAGTTAGTATATAACTTACAAAAAACAAAGTGAGCACTCTGAAGCCGTGTATGTCATACTCAGAAGAGGGAAGGGGGGGGGATATCTTCCATTTTAAAGCTGCCCCTTTTCTATTGCTCAAGTCTAAAAAATAGCTTATTGTTTGTTTCCTCGTGAGAAAGAAATGTCTCGCTAGTCAAGTTTTTGTTTTTAAATAAGGGTTGAAATGACAAAATTGCTTTTCTACTTAGAAGCAGAAAACTTACTAGAAAAATTTGCGCGCTTCACCTTCTAATGTTCGTGCTATGATGTTAGTGAAGCACAAGAGGGCCGACTGGACATGCGGTAACCGGGTCAGGTTCCATTTCAGGCCGCCATGTATGGAGAATTGCATAAACCAGTCCAGAGAGGGTTTACCTTTCTGCCAAAATAAAGAGACTTCTGGTTAGCATGTAGCTACACTCCTAGGTCATTCTACATTGCTGAGTATGGATTTTTAATTTGCAGAAAAAAAAGCAAAAAAACACTTATGGGATTGAATTGTTTTATGTGTCTTGGATATATTGTATAGAGTTATTATGGGAAGTTGGGTAAGGTTCAGAGCATCTTAGTCACGTGCACTCGGTTCTCGGTAGTAAAGAAGTTACACACAGGATAACATCGTATCCAAAGAATATTCCGAAAATTAGGGCACCCGCTATCACAGATTGGCTTTTTGTTATTGCTAGTTCGACAGAGGAAGGAATGGGAGTTATCTTGCTGAAAAGAGTATATTAGAAACAGCATAAACATTTAAAGAGCTAATCTCTAGGTTAAAAGTTTACCTTCTCAATTGCAGTGTGTCCCTCGCTACGTGTCGTGGATCGCAGAGTATGGGCCTACCACATACGACGAACTGTATGTTCACCAGAGCGCTCATAATTTGTAAAAAACCCTCCGTTATTACAAGACCTTGAATAGCTGTAAAGAAGGGACCCATGAGTACGACACCAGCGAGTAAAACGAAATTTCCAAAATGTGGCTTGCAGGAACAAAAGAATTCTATGCAGATGTGGAAGAAACGAGAGTGTGATCACACCTCAGGCAATCATATCACAATGCAGAACGCTGCTCTATACTACTGCAATCATTCGCAACATTTTAACTTCGAAATTCAGCAAATAGAATGCAAAGACAGTTATTTTAGAAAACCAGGGTACAAGTGTATGCTAGAAACTATGCAAAGATATTCAGATCATACAATGCTGTCTAGCACTGCTTAACTCTCCTGCGACTGCCACGTGTAGAAAGTTCGACTGGTACAAAAACGTGCCTGGGTTGCAAGAGAGCTAGTGTGGCCTGTTGAGTTGGTTAGAAGTTGCCCGAAAGATGGACGGTATTACTGACAGTATACAATACAAAGCAAGATACCAGGATAGCAGCTCTCGAGACTACCACAATGCCCTTGAAAGAAGAAGACGAAAGCTAATCTCAGGGAAATTTGAACTTCTGCGGCAGTCGATCCCGCGATACGTCTACGGAGAACGCGCGGATAAGGTTCCACGATGCCTGGTCTTGAAATCAGCATGCCATTACATTGACAACCTGGAGAAGACCAATTCGCGACACAAGAGTGAAATTGAAAAACTGAGACAGGAGAATGAAATTCTGGAAAATGAAATCGCTCGTCTAGAATACGTATCTGCATTTGGAGAGGAACAAGAAGATACGAAGGTGCCATAGCGCGTGACAGTAAAAGCTAGAAGAACTTTAATCATGACATTGACCTTGTTCACTTCAAAATTTTTCAATTCTTTCGAAATATTGAAATTAAGCAGAATTCCAATTGAAGTTGATTTATGTTTTATGTAAGCACTATTAAGTTTTCGCTCGTTTGCTATAGAAGACGCGCGAGAAACATTATCAGACGAAAAATGTTTGAAAGGTAGAACGACTTCCATTATTCGTGTACTAGACTACTCGGGTTACAATTTGCAATACTAAATTTGCAATGAAATTTGTTTCACAACAGCTAAATGTGAGCCAAAAATAAGGTTTGTTCCATATTATCGTAAATACAAAAAATTAGCTCATGTAAAATGCCATTTTGCTGATCAATATCGAAGCAACTGCAATGTGATTGCTACTTTAATCATAGACATACCCTCTGGCTGCATTTGTATACCTCCCTCTAAACACATTCTATGTTACATATATTCCGATACAGTTGTACCGAGTGCTACCCTTTTTTCACCTGTCTGAAGATTTCCCCGTTGCAGTTTTAGAAATACATTGTTTGAGTAATACGTTGCATAAAATAGAATACATAGTTTTATTAAATAAGCGTCCTTACTTGAACGATTTGCTAAAATTACAAAGTTGACAAGCTCAAAATCTAATTCAAATAATCTAAATGGAAGTTATAGATATTTTCGTCCCACTATGCTTACGCTTTAACAAAAGTATAAAAAAATTATTTCATAAAAAAATAAAAAAACTGTTCTTAATCCATTCTAAATGAAATTTAAAAATATTTAAAGCAATGAAGTATTAGTTATATAACAAGTTAAAAGTGTTTGCATCGAACAACCCTGGAAAGGTAAAAAAGGAACCGTGTCAAGTCTTTTAAAATTACCAGCGAAAACATGCCTCATACATTGTACAGAAAGTAGCAAGGTGAAGGGCATACTGGTATACCAGAAATGTAACCCTCTCTTTTAATAAAAAACCATTTGTGTCATAATAATTGTTTTATTGTCAAACCTTGAGATTTGGAAGCATAACTGAGAAAGATTTTCAAATTTACAGAGTGTAATGCAGCTGCTGTAATCAAACATTATTATGTAGTCTCATGATTGGTATATAAGTAAAAAAACCTACTTTGGGTTGTTTAGTGATTTGCATTACCACCTTTTTAGAGGTTTGACACAATCTTTCAGGTAATATTACTGTTTAATGACAAAAAGTTTCTTGTTTTGATAATTCAGTTCTTAATACTACTTTTTGGAATTTCGTTTGAAACACTCTTAATTGGCAAATGGAGACGGAAAGTTTAGTGGGATGAATACATCGTTTTGCATAAAAAATTTGAAGAAATACCAAATCGATTTCTGAATACTAGCGAATTCTCTGCTTGCTTTAAAAACGTAGATAGCATAAACAAAAACTGCAGACCCTTATTCAAACTACTTGCAAAATCCTCTAATGATTTAAGCGATATGCGAATCCCCTCTAATGACCAAAATCTAGGTTTTTCAAACGCGAAATGTTTCATTTGCTCCATTTCATAGGAAGCTTCGGATCCTTCAGTAGGTCTTGGTCATAGGCCCTGTGCCTGAAAAACCAGCATTACGAAAAACAGATTGCTCCAGTTCGAAAACCAGAAATTTCAGTTTTGTGAGCATTGGTACTGGGGAACTTTGCAGTCGCAACGACATCAGAGCTTGAATGAGTTAGGTCAGGACTGAAGTCCACAATCGGAAGGTTGTCGGGTTCGTTAGAAGAAAACTCCATTATAGACTCGCATTTGCCTGATTTTGTATTCTAAAAGAGATCAAAACGATTAAAAGAATCGGCCATGTTAAGCCTACAAGTAAAAATAATCAAATAGTACTAACATTGTTGAAATCATAAACAATGGGTTATAGCTGTTAGATAAAAATTGCTGAACAACATGGTTTTCAAAGGTCATGAGGAACCATTATCATATATTATATATAATATATATTATTATATTATATTATAATATATTATATTATCATATCATATCATATCATATCATATCATATCATATCTATCATATCATATCATATCATATCATATCATATCATATCATATCATATCATATCATATCATATCATATCATATCATATCATGTCATATAAATTATATTTATTAATTATATTATATTATATTATATTATATTATTTTAAATATTAATATTATATTATATATTTTAAATATTAATATTATATTATATTATATTTAATTATATTATATTATATTATATTAATTATATTATATTATATTATATATATTTATATATATTATTATATTATTATACTTATATTCATTATTTATATTAATATTAGTATTATATTTATTATATTATATTATATTATATTATATCTATATTATATTTATATTATATAATATTTATATTATATTATATTATATTATATTATATTTATATATATTAATATTATATTATATTATATTATATTCTTTGACTCTGACAGGTGCTCTGTGAAAACAAAAAGCATCAAAGAAAGAGAAAGCTTTGTAAGAAGATGGAGGTGCAAAACCTCTAAGAAGATGCTTCAGGTTATCCTTAAAAACTGATATTACCTTGCATTTAATGGAAAGAATTTGAACTTTTCTTTTCGGATACTCATTTCCGTTATTTGCCCATTCCAAGAACCGAAACTTCGGCGGCTCCTGAACAGGCTTTTGCGAAATCAATGTGAAGTTCTGCCTCACGCGATCTGATAACAGTCTCAGAAAGGTAAGCTGAACTCGGCCTACTGAGCTGTACGAAATCTTAAACGCAAAGAGAAATACATTAAGTCAAGTGAAATAATACGAGCAAGAAGATACTCGTTATAATACGAGCAAGGAGATAGCGAGTGTTAAAGGCAATAAGAAGTCTAGATGAGTTAGCAAACTTTCTTCAATATGATCTGCTATAATGCAGAAGCGCTTCAAAGTGCTTAAAAGCCTTCTTTCTAATCAAGAGACACTTAGCTTAAACTTTATCAGCGACGTGAGAACCATGCTTCATAAACATACTACACGAGGTGAATGATATCAAATTTTGAGAATATCATGCGCAACTTTTTACAAATAAAGGAGTTTTAACCGAAAACTGCATTGATTACTGTTTTCAGGCTGCCTGCCAATAGAGTACCGAAGTGTGACGTCATAAAAAATTTAGGGGTATTTCACGATGCTTTTTTAGGTTCTGGAATCAAAATTTTAAAATTCTAAAAATAGATTTTAATGACGTCATCACTTCGGTACTCTATTAGCTTTATCGCTACAATGTTCAAAGGCATTGATAGAAAATCCTGATCTAGCGATTAGGATTTCAATCGGTGTAGTGAGGGGCATTGAATAGATTTTGGTTGCCAATCATTGATAATATACCTTAATGATAAGGATAAGTCTGTATATTCCTTCCTAACCCGCCAATGGGGTAGCAACTGTAATGTAATCACCTGGCGGTAGTTATATTTTGAGTATAAGTGTCTCATCAACCGGTGGTTAGTGCCTCTAAAAGCTTTGTAACAAAATTTGCGATACGGATTTATTTTAAAAGTATCTACCTTTGATCCATTTCTTGTTTGACTGAGCCATCTTGGAGAGCTAGCTTGTGGCCATTCAATTTTGGAAATCTAAAATAAACGAATCTTTTCAATAAGGAAAGCGTTGATATGTTTTCCAGCTGGCAGATACCCACACAGGCATATGTGAAATTTCACTACTGTTTTAATCAGTTTCGCCATGCCATTGTCACGAGATACTGACCTCTCAAGACTCCACCGATTGACTTTCAAATTGCAGATATATCAGCAAAGCGCTGAGGAAAGGGGGGAGGTGGGAGGGGTGTAATAGGACTGGACGCTAATCTATAAAATATTACGATGTTACTTCATGTTGCTTTTGTTTAGTGTATTTTTTTGTAATTATCTTATGATCATGAGTCAGTTTCGAGTCTTTGCTTTTTGTCGAATACGACTACTCATAAGTTACAGCTAACCCTAACCTGTAACAGTAGGAGGGGGAGAGGGTGATAAAAATCTCAACACCAACTATCCAAGGTTGTTTGTTTGGAGCGTTACGACACCTGATGCTTCACAGAACAATTTCGTTTCCACAAGTTTCCACATATGTTCAGCAAATCGAAAAGTAACTTAGACCAAATTAATCAGAGCATGCGCGCGTGAAAGGAATTGGGAACTGCTCACGTAAAACTGTGTACAGGAAAACTCGGACCATTGCCGAAGACATTAAGTGCGAAAAGGGATGTTCGAATATTCCAGATAACCTATATCAATGATTTCGAACCAATAGATCGATTCGTTGTCTTTGACGGAGACTAAGACATAACTTCAACCTCCAACTTCAATCTCCATTTTGAGCCATTGGGCGCTGCGCTGGGATTTCGCCGCTTTACAGAAAGGCAGAAACTGTTCATATGACATTCTCCCTGCGCAATTTGATTGGTCAACCGTTTGTGGTAGATTGAATGTAAGCAACTTTTATTTAGCTACTGCAAGACTTGTAGGAAAATCCATTCATCCAATGTATTGGAATTGATACGTGTTATACTCAAGGTCTGATATACCCTAACAGATTGGGGTTTGTGGTAGAAAGGCCTAGAAAGAGACTGTGGAGAAATCGTGTTTGTTTTACACATTGAGTAAAACAGAAGATTAATTCTACCTCGCTGTGAGTTTCGTCTGCCTTGACGCAGGTTTCCCCTCCACCAGTAAAATTACAGAAAGCGAGGATGGCATCACGTGGGCTTCCTTGGTTAGGGTCGATCCAGTAATACCCTAAAACAAATTCAAAATTGTTAAGCGAATAAATTTCACCTTTAACAATTTATCGTTAAAACTCTTTCAAACGTTTCTGTAACACACGTTGGTCAAAATGCTAGGGCAATACGTTTACAAAGACAAAAAGCTCATATTTACAAATCAGGTATGCCAGGGTGAAATATAAGTTGACCTTATTGCATTTAAATATCATATTGCCAGATTGGAGCCTTTATTTATGTATTTTCGTCAAAGCTTCTAAGAATCTAAAGAATGGTCTGACTAGAGCCTGCCTTACTTCTGACAATAACCTTACAAAGGCTCCAAGAGTACACTTAGATAGTTTTTATCAACTGTTTTTTTAGAGGATGAGCGGGATATACTGTGGCTCTTTTAAAAAATTCCTAGTTTTCAAACATGGAGGAGCTCCAAAGAATCAAGATATTGTTTCAGGAATGAAATACGTAAATCATTCATAAACAACAAAGGTAGCATCAACCTAAAGCACATCAATCGCCCAGCATGTTGCTGTTCACCTGATCTTTAAAAGTTCTGTTACAGTTTAGGATCAAATACAGGAAATTCAAATTTTCCGACAAAAATCTAATAAGCATATATTCATTTTTCATGCATTTAAACATAACATAACGACCTCTAAACTGAAATAAAATATTTCTATGTTATAATCAGCTTTAAAATCTTTCCTCTCAAAATGTAATACTAAGATAAAGAATAAAAAGCCAGGTTATGATTCCGACAAAATCAGAAGTTTTCCGACAAGATAGCAGTTTAGCTTTAAAGAGAGTTTTTAGGCCCCCTCTGACCGCTCTCTATCCACGCCACTAATATATATGTCAATATCTAAGCACCAACCATCTTCAACTTTCTTTCCACAATGAAACAAATCCAAACAGCTTCTTGCTGGGTTTTCCTTATTTCCCAAAGGACTCTTCAACTCGCGGACATGTCTGGCAAGTATTTTCACCTTCTCCTTCAATGTGCTGATATCATCATCTTCTTTCAAAATCGACCTTCGTCGTCTGCCATTGCTAGACTTGTAATAAGCCGAGCCGTGTGCAAATCCGTCTCCTCCCGGAAAGCGATACGCAGATGACATTCCATGCTGCAAGTAAAAACAAAGGCCTTGCTACTTTTGTGAAACAGAGCCAAAAAATAATCAAAATCAAAGCGTCGTAAGCATTACTAAGTTATTGTGTGTTGTCAACAATAATAATGATAAATTATTGTTTAGGGTGATGGGCGCGATAATGATTGATGATCCTTGATCACGATGATCGATGATTGTTGATAACAACGATCTGTAGTTGTTCCTCCAGGAGAGTAGATTTAAACCAGAAGCCATATTTTGTCTTACATTTTGCGGGTAATTGGCGAAAAGCGTAAATGCAGCTACGGTTTCCCGAGGATGGCTGAATCAGTTTTTATATATTTTGCTACTGTGAAATGCAATGAAATCTTATTGCATGTGTTTTTTCAATCCTGATTTTCGTTAATTGTATGTCGTATGAAGTAGCTTTTTGTTAGATGTCTAAAACACTGCTGTAGCGAATTGCTGCAAAGGCATTCCCACATCGCAGCGAGTTAAAAACGCCAGGCCCATTCGTATATACTCCACATACGGTACGCGAATGCAAACACATTTGAAAATGAATACTAATACAATGTTCGAATACTAATACAATCTTAAGCTACTACACGATAAACACGATGCTAAACTGTAAAAATTTGGAAGGAAAAATCGCTACTCAAAGATCTGCAAATCAACTTACCCATGGACCTGGGGGTCCCTGAAAAATGAAAAAACATAAAATCAAAATCATGTGAAAGTGCATCTGAAGCTCACCATTTATAACAAATGATAATAGGAAATGCTAACTGTTTTGTACAATTAGTTCAAACAATTAAGCCTACTGTTGAGTCTGTGATTAAGGTATACGGGTATTGCACGCAAAATACCACGTAATGTAATGTAATTTGCTACGTCGGTATTTTAGATTTCTTTACAAATTTCGGCGCTAGATCATTTTAACAAACAGATTGCCAGTGCAAAAAGTTGCCATTTGTCAGGACAATTTGTTTTCTGATTGCTTGAAATTGTATTGCGCATAGGCTTCAACTTTTCCTGAAGCGAAAAGTTTCGCTGCGAAAGGACTAAACTGCGGATGCTTACAAATATGAAGCTGCAAAATCGCTTGCCAGTTTGGATCTTGTTCACCAGAGATGAAGTATCTTTTAGAAATTCAAAACAAATTTAGACGTTGTCTAGGTATGTGTTTTTTAGGAAATCAGTACCACGTGCATTGATGTTGAAATCGCATCACATTTTCCCATACGGGGCATTGAATCGACATCATAAAAGAAATAATTTGAGGATTTTCATGCCTTCAAATCTGGCGCAGCTTTAGAAATGGTAGACTGAAGAGGTTAAAGAGGGTAGATAATGCAGAATAAATACTCACAGGTGGACCAGGTGGGCCCTGGAACAATGAAAATAAAATTTTATTGAACGTTGTGTCAACGATACATAAGAACGTGAATAAAGCAAGCAACAAATAAGTTGGATATTCAAATAAGAAAGGTGTTGGACAAAAATTTGATCAAGATTTACGAATTCGCAAGAACTCGTTTTCTAGATAGCATTAAGCAAAGATTTGAATATACAAATCGAGTTAGTGAAAATAAAATAATTGAAACAATAATAATAATGCTATGACGATTCCTCTCACAGTCAATGAGTAGAATAGGACTGGAAATGCTTAACAAGAAATTTGGCAGAGAAAGTATGTTCAATGGAATATTGTTAGTATTACATTCGGATCCATTTCATCAAAGAAAGTTTAACTAACCGGTCTTCCACGATTGCCCTGACGAGAAAGAATAAATTTCGATGAGTGGAGTTTATAAAAGGTACCAAAAAAGTAAAGGTACCAGTGGCTAATTTTAGGTACCAAAAACGAGAAAAAACAAAGATCATTAGCATATTTAAGTCTTTCGCAGCTTACAATCGACTCCATGGATTGCTCACGAATTCATGGATGCTCATGAATAAATGGAAGAACTGTACTTTTTTTAAAATTGTTAATTTTTTCATATTTGCTCCATATATGTTGCTGTTAGTTATAATCAGGATAATAACTTTCTTAGTTGTAACTGGAACTAGCACTGAATGTATATCGCGGATAAATTAAAAATGAATGAATAAGTTTGAGGTATTCGAAACAATACAGCCTATGACACCAAAGTGAACATCTAAAGCATTTTTTTTTCGAAATTATTCGAAATGCGCAGTTTTCGATCATAGTTTTGCGCGTCAAACGTAGAAAACATTCGATGCTAGGTTTTTCTCATTGTGAGAACACGTCTGGCAGTTTTTTATGATAATCTAACATTTCCAAGATTTTCGAGACAGTGCATGCTTCTGGAGGAGGCATTTTATATTTTGAAATATTCTTCTATAAAGTAGTTCCCAATAGAAAACGAATAGCTGACATCCAGCAAAAAATACAAAATAGTTGAACTCGCTTTTTTTATAAGAATATCCTGAATTTTGCGTTTTGTGCATGAATAAGTACATTCTTAAAGCATTTTCTATCATTTTCAAACATCTTATGGTTTTAGGGGAACATCGCCCGCCCACGAACAGAAACCATTTTCAAATCTTTTGCTGAGCAATATCCTTATAATAATCTTGAAAATGGGATTATTCTGAGTTTTTATTAAAATTATTCTTATAAAAGCGAAAGTTTAGAGTCTTCAAAATTCCCTGATTTACATTAATGTGATTAGCTGGTTGTCCAAGAAGCTGGAATACTAAAGTATCGAATGCAGACTCTGGCCACTTTTAAAAAAGAGGATATTTACTTCCATTGTCATTTTGATCATCACAAAGCGTATATTGTCCGAGGGCAAAGCTTATTAACAACAAGGAAAAAGATAAAGAGATATTGACGACACTCGAGTGACTTCAAATAGATTATCAAGTCAAAAATAGCATACCTGGCTCCCACGGTATCCCTGTAGATCAAGATAAGCAGTGGATTAGAATAGAGTTTATAGTTGTCACTACAGTATAACATGATAAAGTGACAAAGCTGATAATGCTATTTTAATCACAAGATGAGAAAAACTCCAGTCTTGTCTGTAAATGAGATAGAAAGTGGTTTACTGAAACGGAAACCGCAGATCTGCGGGACTGATGACTTATGAATTTTTTTAATTTGATTTTATTAGGGACAAAATTTAAAAAAATAATGTAAAAGACATTTTTCGTTGCTGTACAAGTATCTTTTTTGGTCAAATTGACTTTGTTGTCGCAACAAAGTAGGTGGTACCAAGTTAAAGAAAGTTGTACGTTATTCGAAAAATATAAATAACACGGTATGACAGGTCCCTTCAGCTTTTTAATCTGAGGGATCATCGTGTGCTTCAGCAAGCACCAAGAAAACCATTGCTAGACAAACCTTCTTACAAGTGACGTATGCGAATCAAAATTACAGTTAGTTCTGGCAATGGTGATTACACTATAAGAAGACCAGAGACTTCATGAGAATGAGGGCCAATGGTTAGAGTAAGGTTTAAGCTAAGGTGTAAAAAGGTTTGTTAAACCTCCAAACCTATGATAATAAGATTAAAGTGTAGTAACACAGAACCGGAAATATAATCCTGTCTTAGCTTTTAGACCGTATATCTCTTCAGTTGCTGCAGATGTGAAAACTTTCACACGCACTTGCAGGTACAGCCGACTCTACTTAAAGTCACTCCGTATAAAGTCACGCTTATGGTTACAGTTGCATAAAAAATATAACCAAAGATGCAAAACTCTTCAATTTAGCTTAGCTCACAGCCACATTTCGTTTACATTCACAAGTTTTCAAGCCACATTTGGTGTGACTACAACCCGAGTACAAGTATCTGTACTGTACTGTACAATCAATAAGCTAAATTAGCCAACTCGATGTTGTGGTATTCAATACTTACCACTTTCCCTGGTGGTCCCTAAAGACAAAAACGAACAGATAATAGAAGAAAAGTTTACAACATCATTATTATGAAACTGTTTTCTGCCTAACAAGAAGAGACCTAACAAGTTTTCTTTGCGTTTTGATGATGAGCCCCTCCATCTTACGATTGAGCTTAAGGCTGTTATGGATTGTGAAATAGGGCAAAAACATTTTTATAAACTGTGATAACAAGTGCCCTTACCAAACATTTTCTACAAATCCATTTACCATTAGTTGCAATTACTTGCCTAAATCATTCCACAAAAAATATTTCAAAGAGCCAGGAATAAAAATTTCAAAAAGGTGATGAACAATGCTCAACATTTTCTCCATGTTGGTAAAACATTAATTACAAGCATGGTTTTAAAACGAACTTTAAAAGAACACATCCTACAATTTTTGACAGACAGTGTTGAGATCTTATACCCCCTTTCCCAGTTCAATGTAGATATGTCTGCTACTGAGGACCAAACACTCAAACTTTGGATGGGGGGAGGGGATACAATAGAAGTTGGATGCTGCCGGGTATACATGTATGCTGCCGGGCACATATTTAGGGATGTGTCTCAACAGCTCTGTCCAAGATTGTAGATACCAAGATTGTCACGAGAAATTGCGATGTACCCCTGGGATACTAGTTGTAATCCTAATTTTATAGCCCCGCTTCTAATGTTTTTACATGATATGCAAGTATGTTTGAGGTAAAAATTAAAGCAGGACTTACCTTAGGTCCAGTATCACCCTAAAGCAAAAAAATAGAGCACTGTCAATAAGTGTACGTAAAAAAAGACATTTTCTGCCGCTTATGGCAGACCTACGCTTATTGGATGATAAAAACACAAATAAAAATGAGTAATACCAGCATGCACGATCATAAAACTGAGATTCTCGATAAAAATGGATTTGCAAAAATATAGTTTAATGTCAACATTTAGAGAAAAGCAAAATGCCAAGAGCAACGCATCCCCAAGGGCAGCATAAGAACAGAAGTTCCTCCTTTATAAGATGTAGCAAATTAATCGACATTATCATCTCTGCTTGGGAACGAGGCAAAAAATAACTATTTAGGTCGATATCAGAAAATCCTGGATAAAATTGTCGAGGCAATTTTTATGAAATTTCTACTTTAAGTTGTCCCAAGAAAATTGAATGCTCCAAATCAATGTAAGTTTAGTATTTCTGGCATTTGTTCTTTAAAAGCATGCATTCAACATTGAATGGAAGGAGGGATGGGGGACTATAGTTATTTTTGTCCAGGATTGTAGTTCATGAAAATTCTCTTTGCCAAACACAAATTTACAGCGACTCTTGGTCAATCTGATCACAATAATGTTTCTTGCACTTGCATGGGCTCCTTGGTGGAATATGGTCATCATCAAGCTTGGAATATGGAATATGGAGTATGGTCATCATCATATAAATATGTTTCGAAGTATAAAGAACACACCAAATGGATATTATAACTTTTTTAGAAAGGTTCAATTCAGCCTTAAATTGGAATATCAATGAGCGATGTACAATATGCAGCAAAGTTACAACGACACAAAGCCAAAAGTTATAAAATAGAAGTTTTATTATTTTATAATAAGATCAATTAAGCTACCTTTTCTCCATTCTCTCCTGGGTATCCTCTTGGCCCGGGACTTCCATTGGCTCCCTGAAATAATAATTGCTGTCAATGTTGTTTGTTCACCATTCGAAAGAGAATCATTCTTAATAAAGGATAGAGAAAGTATTTATAGGTATTCGCTCATTTAAAACTTGACAGCATCATATTTAACAGCAGTATTGACTCTGCTTCTCGTTTTATCTCGTAATAAGTAAAAATGACCCTTTTCACTCATTATGTTGGACTTTCTCTGAATATATTTTAAGGCATTATCAAACTGTAGTTTTCAAGTAAGGTCGGACAATTTAAAAAGAATACCGTTTCTCCTTCAAGACCCACTGGCCCTGCTTGGCCTGTTGATCCAGCATCACCCTGCAATACGAATCCAGGTTTTTATCCCATAGGACATAAAAAGTTTACAAAAAAATCGAGCTAGAAATTTTCTGGTCGCGAAAAATTATAAATGGCTTTGAAGAAAATTTCTAGACATGCTGTAGCTTATTATCTGAAACTCTTCATAGTATGAAGCATCAAAAGAAGGATCCAAAGTGCGACGTGAAGAAGTATACTCAGCTTTGGATCGAAAATGGCCAGTCAGAAACGCAAGTACAAGGAAAGTTACCGTTACCCAATTAAAACCAATTTCTGTGCATCAAAGGTATGAAAATAATAGATAGTATATAATACATAAAGAATAAAAGACTGCAACAAGTATTCGATTGCTTTCAATACGATAATTTCTAGCATTGAATCTTAAACCTTATGATGGTCTTTCAGCTGAATGTCAATGAAAACTGATCAATAAAAAACACTGACCATAGATAAATCGCAAGTATAAGTCAGAAAATTCACTCCTCGTTTTGAGCTGTTCTGATTTACGCTCTTTTGGTAAACTTTCTTGAAAAACTCGCCAAATAAATCAGTTAAAGATGTCATATCACCTTTGGTCCAGGCGGGCCAAATTTCCCTGGCTCTCCCTTTGTTCCCGTATCACCCTGAAATGAAAGAGCATGTACCTTGTTAAAGAAGTCAAGGTATATATACGTTCACGTTGCTCCCAACACCAAATTCTCGGTCTGAAATAATTAACCAACGAAGGATTGCAGTTTTAAAAAGGGACGTACATACTGCATTTCAAAAAAAAATCAAAAAATGAACCTTTTCTCCCTTTTGGCCATGCAATCCTTGGGGACCAGTAGAGCCTTTCAATCCCTGTATTTTAAGGAATTGAGCGTTTAAACAAGATGAGTTGAAATAAAATAGCAAATTAGATAAATAACTTAAAGAGAAGGTAACAGTAAATCAAAGCTGCATAAATCGTTAAAATGTGTTATATTCATTCTCCTTACAAGGCTTGTCGAAAATCTTCGAACACCAAAACCATTTTTGTCATTCGTATTAGCAGTTTCTCTTCCTCCTTATAAACACTGTTGAATTTATACTGCATAAAATTAAACTATTTAAACGAGACTTGTAATTTTGAAGCTAGAATAGCTGTGGTTAAATTCCAGCATTGCTTTGGGGGAGAGTGGACAAAAAAGCTGATTCTGCAAATATGAATTTAAATAGATCGATAATTTTTACTGCTTAGGTTTTCCATGTACTTTCTGCAAGTATTATAGCAAAGAGAGGATAACATAACCGAACTAAATGCTTATGTAACCATGCTTAAAAATACCCTAAAACGGAAATCATTCAAAAACTAAGAGGCAAAATCTAAAAATAATGAATCAACCCACAATGATGCCAGGGATTCCAGTTGCACCAGGAGTTCCAGCTGGACCACGTGGACCCTAACAAGAGAAGCACAGGGCATAATGCGACAGTTTTAATAACAAGCATGATACCTTCATAAAAAATCACAGAAAAATATGGTATGAAGTTATAGAAAATTTGTAGCTACAGTTATGGTCAGAAATCTTTGCAAACTACAACCACAAGGAAGCTTTTGAAATAAAGAATCAGCACCAAAGGTTAAGAATCAGCACATGTCAAATACTTGAAAAAAGGAGGTGGAATAAAGATGTCTGCATCAAGGGGTTGGAACATACTTCTAAACTACGCTCCTGCATTGTTTAGAAAAATATGTAGCTCGACCAAATTTTTCAATGATAGCAAGAAACAAGTTTGGTACAAGCCGAGAACTATGAATGAAAAGCATCCAATTCCAGTAGTTGAACAGGTAGGTATAAATAAAACATAAGAGGAAAAGATTTTGCATACGTCATTTCCTTTTTGGCCTGGATTGCCAGGTCTTCCAGTTTCACCAGGGGGTCCCTAAAAACAAAACTAAAGTTATCAGCTAATGGTCTATTCAATAGAAAATTGAAGTATGTATCTTGGAAGGATGTGCGGTAGCTGTTTTATTCCAACACATTTCAAAAGCCAACAAAAGCTTCTGATTGCCTAACCTTTTAATGGTCCTTAAACCATAAAATTCACATTGGAGCAAAATAAAGATCGGAGAATGCTTTGAAACGCCATTTCTATTAACAAATAATAATATGCAAAACTTTTGCATATTCGTTGTATATTTGGAAGTTCTAAATACCCAAAACTGGTTCGGAATTGAACACTCAAAAAACAGAGAATTCAAAAAATTTTCTAAACATTGCAACCAGAGTAGAAAATATGTTTAATTTTCAGAAGATTGAATTTCGTGGGGTTTTAAATAAAACATTTTTTAAAAAAATGATTTACTTTCTAGTATGAAAGGGTAAAGAGTAAGCTGACGAGGAAAATATAACAATTCTGCGCTGAATCAGCAACAAATACTTAATCATGGTTTTATGGCTTTGAAAAGTTGGCTGACTATTAATTAATTTTATTAATTAATTAGTTAAATTAATTAATTATTATTAATTGATTAATTTATTAATTAATTAATTTAGAAGTTATCAAGCTAATAAGTATTGGATTTTAATGTATTCGATTCTGCCATTTCTTCTCAAGCTGGTAAGAAATAATGCCTGTTACATAATGCCGATTCTGCCATTGCAGAAATAATGCCCCCCCCCCTACCAGAAATATTACTAACTGGCAGCATGATTTAAAAACAAAAAAAGTCCTATAACTTTTAGGATAGTTGTGATTGGAAAAAGCCATAGCATAGGTTAAAGCAAGAAATGGTTTTTAAGGGTTGCAAGTGTGAATATATCTGCTTCTATAGATCTGAATCAATAAGAAATCAAATAAATTGAGCCATCTTGCAGATTGATTGAAAAGAAATGTTTATTAAATGAAGAAAGAGACAAAACTACATGGACAAGATTTAACCTGAGCACCTGGTGGTCCAGGAGGTCCTGCCTCACCACTAAATCCACGTGGTCCCTGGAAATAAACGGAAGTAAACCTTCTCAATTAGAATATCAATTGATTATCTGTTCGACGAAAATTACGTCTTCGTGCAGCTAACGCCTTAGCTAAATTGGACAAGAACTTCATAATTCCATCAATAATATGAAAAATTGATATATTTGTGTGCTGCAAATAAAAGACCAATGCCTTAAACATAAGCTTATTACATTCTTCTAATTTGAACATAAAAATAATTTATAAAGGTGGGGTAAAGTTGCAATAAGTACTCATATTTAAGTGTTTATGATTGGTAGAAGATAGTAAACGAAGGATGGTCTGGGAGAAAAGACCACTTATTAAATGATAACAGCGACATTTTTAAGCAAGACAAGAAATTGTTAAGCAATTTTTTAGCTAGAGCGAGGTCGGGTAAAGGGTAAATGGCGATTTAATATGAAGCAGTGTAAACACAACCCTAACAAGAAGAAATACTTTGAAAGTCATACCACATCTCCTTTGCTACAGGGAGCCCCATCAGCACCAGGATCGCCTGGCAGCCCCTAAAAAAGTAAAGGGTGAAATCAGCTGCCCAGTTATCAAACAGAGCAAGCTAAAAACAATGTCGTAGAATATTTTCCTAAGCAGTTTCTAAAAAGAGCAAAGAAGATTCTAGAATTCTAGCTGAAATATAGGGGATGGAAAAATTATCATTTTCAAATGCTCAGAACATATCTATGGCCCTGAACGCACTGATTTCTGACATAAAATTCATTATCTTTGTCAAAGTGAAAAATTGAGAAAACTTTTTCAAGTTTGACAAAGAGAATCCGCTTTTCGCTTGGAAATTCGAGCGCGCTGCAGTTGGTGTGTAAAATGGTTGTTTGCTGTTTGGTTAATGTAAAGTGGTTTAAAACATAGAACGCTTTGACTTGGGTATTCTGTGGCGCCAGAAAAATGCGTTGATTGCTAATAATTTCCGTATTCCAGAGTTCGTTCTGCTCTGGGCAGGACGACAGAACCTTTGAGGGGTTAGTGAATTTGTTTCAGTGACAATTTGGGTGGCTGCACTGGAAAATCAGCATTTGTTTACTAACAAGCTTAATCCCTTTTCTCTACGAACAATAGAGATTTAGTGTGTCAGAAGTTTTTCTTGAAATCTTCTTCGATGCGTCTAGGGCCTATGAACAAAACAGTAAGGTTTTGCCATTTTAGCTTCTAAAACACGGTGCAAAAGTCTGTTTGATTTTTCAATAGCGTCAAAATGAAATAACGCTCAGTGCAGGTAGCCTGCGTTCAATCTGTACTTTTAAGTACTCAGTATAAACGACATGGAGGCTGCCGGCCTCTTTTCAAGTAAAGTCTATGTTACACATATACTTGCAATTTCTGTAACCTAAATCAAATTGGACATGACTACTAATTGAACTTTGCATAGACAATCCTTTTTATAGTTCATTATACCTTCACCTCAACAGTCATTTAGAATTTTGAAAGCTCATCGCAAAACGCATTCTCACTCGAAGTGGGCTTGATTGCTACTTACTCTTTCACCTCTTTCTCCTCTCGGGCCATCTTCGCCGGGTCTTCCATCCAAGCCCTGCAGCAATAATCAACTTTCATAACAGAAATACCATTCTTTATAGATATCAAGGTGACGTATTCAAAACAAATTATCTGTCATGAGATTGGTTAGTGGAATACCCTGAGATGATTAGCATATTGAAAAACATTGACCCAGAGTAGTCATGTACTTATCTGGAGACATCATCCACAGCTGTACATGATTTTCAGCACTTGAGAAATAATAAATGTTTTTGGAAAATTTAAGCTAACCCGGAGGAGGGGGGGTATATATACACTGCATAAAAACCCGTACACTTTTGGTGAAGATTTGTTGTCTTCGTTTAAATCTTGTACGTCATGTGCAAGAGTGAATTGCACCTCGAGCTAACCATTAGACGTTAATTTGAAATGGAGCAACCATCATTTATTCTTTCCCAAAACAAGCACTTGACGTACAAAGTCAGGGGTTGTGGGTTCGAGTCTCGCTCGGGTCGGTTATTTTCCCACACTCGCTATTAATTATTTATTCTTTCCCAAAACAAGGGCTGTGAAAAAGATGTGGCCATTTTGGTGTCGCAATCTTATCTAAATTTTTCTGTATAAACAATGTGTATAATTGACTAAATTGTTAAGCAGATTTTTGTTGTCGCATAAATGTAGCAGTACATAATTTGTGCAAAACCAGCATTATTTTCAAAAATACAATCTTTAGCAGTGAAGAAACAGGACACTGCAAAGGTCTTCCATTTCTAAATACTCTTAGCAAAGAAGCAAAAGTATAGTAAGGATTTTTATAGGAATTGTACATTAACCTGGGTTCCTTATAGCTATTCACATTCAATGCTTTATTTTCGTTTTCAAAGACGGTGTCACTATCTGACTACCTGATGGTTGCCAACAGAGCGAGCAACAAATATTTAAGAAATACAATTTCACGAATCATATATGAACTCACAGGGAATCCCATGCTACCTTTTGTTCCATGTTGACCAGGTTTTCCATCAACACCCTATAAAACAATATGATTTGATTTAAATGCCGAGAGTAGCGGGTTCTAATCTGTAGCAAAGAAATACCGTAAAAGCTATGTTAAGCCACCTCTGTTTTTAGCACCCCTCTCTATTAAGCCCCTTTTACCAAGCAATTTTCTAAAATAAGCCCCCTCTCTATTAAGCCCCTCTTCTTGGCTCCAAAGTTCAAAGAGGAAAACATGCGCATTTAGTGAGTCTCTTGACGGGTGTGATGACAATAAGATCATGTATCTTAAATACGGCCAACAAAAACTGCCAAACTGTGTATTGTTAAAGAATAAAGTTGACACATATATGAAATGTTTTTCAAAATCAAATACCTAAAGAATGGTGAATATTGCTTTGAATGTTGAATAAACAGACTGAATATACATACGTCACGCCCTTTTGGGCCAGAAGGACCTGGCAGCCCATCTTTGCCGGGAAGACCCTGGAATAAAAATTACTTTATTACTTCTAAAGTCCATACGAAAATGATCTCCGAAAAAATTGAAGAATATTATCAATAATTGGAAATAAAGAAAGCATTGAAGAAACAATGGCAGCTTTGTTCATATGTAGAGATATCAGACTTTGAAATAGGTAGCTAGATTAGACTGAGTGGCCATTCCGAAAAAAAATGCTGTTTAATTGCATACCAAATTCCCATTCTTCCCAGCAGGTCCTGGGGGTCCTTTTGGGCCTACTGTTCCCTAGATAAAAGAAAATGGAGCATTAGGAGTTATATGCAAGAGAAAGCATCGAATAATGATGTCACGGGTCATTGTGAAAATATACTATAGACTAAAAAAAGTCACTTTGAGAGAAAAATTCTTGTCGTTTCGAAAAATAGCAAAGGAAATTTCAAATGTACTATGAATATGGAAAAAGTATATCAATTTAGCCACATCTTCCATATAATAACATGAAGAAGCATCTAAATTCTCTTCATATTTAAGGATGAAAAATAATTAGGCATGGTATAAATTCATTTGGAAATGTTGCTTAATCCAAATAAGTTAACGAGAAGCGTTGCCTTGTAACCATTAGAAATACATGTAGGTGTAGCGACTATTCTGTAATGAATTGTCTATTAGGAACATACCTTGTCACCTCGAAGGCCAATTTCACCCTTTTTGCCTTTCTCCCCTCTTTTCCCCTGGCAGAAAGAACAGAGATTGAATCAGCAAAAAACAACGCGGAAATGCCATTTCATAGATAAATCATCTCAAGGTGAAATCCTTTAACGTTAATACGCGAAATAAACATATCATGGCCTACACCTAAATTGAAACTAGTATTTCCCTGCCTTTTTAGAGATCAAAGCTAGATTAGAAGGCAGCAATGATCGATTTGATCGCATTGAACGTCAGAGTTTCGCATCAATCACACTCAACCAAAGCCAAGCACAGACTTCACAAAACTCCTAAATTTCTTCCCGGATGTAATTTTGCCTTATTTATCTGTCTCGGAGTTTTTTTTGAACCTTTTCAATTAAGACTCTTAGAAATACGATTCAAGTAAAATTATCTATGGTTTAGTCTATGCGCATTGTTAGGAAAAAGCAAAAGTTTGAACTGAAAAACTCTCACACTATCTACTCTTGTCAAGTTATGAAATGGTCTTCCTTAAAAATTACTGCATCGTTGGATTACCTTCCCCTGGCTCCAGCCGTGGAACCTTAATGTCTTCTGGGCTCCGGCCCGGCAAAGAATGCCTTTTCTTGGGAAGTTTCGTTGGCAGGAGGAAGAAAGTACACGGTATTCAGAATTTTCTAAAAAGGAAATTTCCTATTTACCTGTTGCCCTGGCATTCCAGCTATTCCATCTTTTCCGTCTGCACCATTCTTTCCCTTAGCAATGTTTAGGCAAGAAATATCAAAGAAAGTTGAACACAAAAAACAGCAGAAAAAAATTAGCAGAAGTGCATATGTAGCAGAAATTGTTACACTGACTACGTCACGGTTAATAAATTATTTTCGTATTAAATAAGGCAAATAAACAAAAATGACCAAAAGAAAGGTAAATAAATGCAAGCAAGATATGATCTGTGTTTTCTCTAAGACATGAACACAAGAAAATAATACTGAAGAGAAGATCATGGGTTTAGGTTAAACATGGTTTAATGGATTTGAAAAAATGAATAGTATATTTGAGACAAGGCAGTGATTTTAAAATAGCTCTTACAGCTTCTCCTTTTGGACCGGGAATTCCAGGTTTCCCTTCGCTGCCCTGCTCACCCTGTAAATGAAAAAATGAGCCAAAATATAAAAAGAGGGATTAAAACATTAACGACACATACATATAGGCATGATTCATAGTGCTTCTCAAATGGCTCCTCTTGCAAAAACTCGCAACCCCTATTGACTAGCTAATGCTAGAGAATTTAACCTGCTGGCAATGAACTTCCTATTTGGTTTTGATTTCTATTTAAAGTTTTCTCAGCTAGAAGTGCTTGCATTTGAAATTCCAATTAAAATAACGAAATAAGTGATTGGAATTTTTCACTCTAGAAGGTTATGAGTTGCGGTGCGGTGGTTGTCATTTGAAGTTACTGCACGTTCTTTAAGCATAAAAAGGTTAATGAACCCGTAAGCTGTTCACAGGAGTGAGACCTCAACATTATGATGAATCGCTTCTTCTATGTTCCAGTTAAATTTGGAAAAGAGTAAATTTTTGACCTAATGGCTTGAAGAATAATCGTAATTTTGCAATGAAAATAGTATTATAGAGAATAGTTCATGCAAAAGTAGTTTTTAGGTAAATAAGCATGAATAAAACGTTTTAGCTGGAAAGGGGCCCTTTAACATGACTCAAAGAGAAAAAATTGGCAAAGTTACAACGCTAAGACAGCTATTTCTAGACATTTTGACTGTAAAATCTAACAACATAATCAAATAGTTTTTAATTTGCAAGAAACAAACTGAATCTAACCATAACGTGCTAAATCCTTGAATTTATTTTACTTTTTATGATGGAAACACAAACGCCAGTAAATTGTGTGTGAAGTTCAGGTACTTAACTTTTTATCTCGGGAAATTTGCACATTTTAATCTGATTTTGGAAATTAGGGTGATTCTTTAATGGCTGCTCAAATTATAAGTTCCAAATGGAAATTCATTAAACAGATTTTTGGTGTGCCATCACTATAACCAATTCTTTTCTTTATTAAACGAGTTTAGCATGATCATAGTTCGTTGATGAAATCTATACCACAAATGATCCTTAGACTCTTAACACTCTCTACTTTACATGCACCCATTGATTAATCAAACAAACTGTTAAAGAGAAAAACACATTTATAAACCTATTACCAGCAATACAGTTTAATCTACAATCCCACATCATCTTCAACCAAACTATTTCCTACTAAGGCTTACATAACATGTCTACTTTAACATCAAAAATACATCTTGTGTCTTGTGTCCTTCCCCCAATAGCAAATGCATGCAAACAGTCCTCTTCAAAAATTCGTGTGCATTGTACAAAGTAAAGATTGCAAGGCACAATAGACAAACCTGCAAACCATCATGTCCTCTTGGTCCTTTGTCTCCCGGGTGACCTATGGCGCCCTGAAGAGAAAGAATGCTAGTAGACTCAACAATAAGCAGGGCATTTACAAAAATTAAAAGTTATAGACCTCTGTGACAAAAAATGTTTAACAAATTGTTTGCTCCAGTTATCATGTTTACCAATGGTTAAATTTTGACGCGTTCTTATCCCTATTCGTGTTCTCAGAACTGGCGCTCCAATAAATAAAATGCTCGAGATGATAAATAAAACCTGATGACAACGCAAAAGTTCTTACTATCTTTTTTACCCATAGTAGCTCCTCATTAAAAATAACTGATGTACAAGAGGTAATGCTAAATACACACAATGATTTAAGATTCAGAATACATACAAAATTCACAATAAAACCTAATCTAATTACAACCTATCATATATAAACAAAAAGTTGAAGAATTCCTGACTTCAGTACTAAGGCTGTTTCAAAGTTTGGCACCTTGACAATTTTAGTGAGGCAACATCAAATTGATTTAAAAGTTTCTTAGAAAACGGAGCAGTGTTGGTAACTCTTGTGGTCACGTCTCTCATGCAAAAAATACGTGCACATTAAGGGATCTGAACACCATTTTCTGAGCTTGAAAATAAAAAACAACCCTGACAGTGGGTCACTCAAGCGCCCGAATAAGGTTCAAGCGCATCTCATGAGCTGTTGGTGACATAGGGATACCTTCTTAGAAACTTCGAGTTTGGACCACATGTTTTACTTGTTTACTTGCTTTTAGCTTGTTCCATAAAACTACTTTGAGGCCGGAAATAAAATGCTATTTTCGTGTGTTTTTGAAGACTCCTCGATCCTTATTTCAACCCTGTTTCATCAACCAAAAATTTCAAAAATCAAAATTTCCTTACCATAACTTCGGACAATAAATTAAATAAAAGATCAGCCCTGGTTAAATGACCTTTATTTCAACACTCTTCACCTTTCGCTTTTTCCCGATAACTGGTTAAAAGCAAATTATAGTGAATTGTTAAGGAAATTGAAGACGTTCCTTGAGCACAGCCAATTTGGTTTAGATTCGACTGTTACACAATCTCTATTAAAAGTAGAATTCTTGTCTTTTGGCTGAAAGAATTTTTCATGATAAAATGATTAATCAATGGCAACGGTATATGAATCAAAGTATCTTATAATCAGAATACCTTTTGGCCTTGTTCTCCCCGGTCACCTTTTCTTCCAGCCTCACCTTGCACACCCTAAAGAATGACGTTTTTCATCTAGCTACAAGGATATTGGCAAACCTAAAAATCATTTGATGATAAACCTAAACTGTACGCTTGAACTGTAACAAAAAACTAAGACTGTTCAAGCAGAAACATTAGCAGATCACGAGGATTTACACATAAGTATTTTAATGTGAATATCATAGTTTCACCCCACAGAAATGAATTTGATGATCCTAAATGGAATTATTTTCTAAATCAAAACAAAAGGAATGCTTAGGAAATCAAGAGGGAAATACCATGGGTATAGATTAAAAGGCTAGAGCCAAGTCCGTTGACTCAAAGGCTTTAACTACTATTGGTAAGCCTTTTTTTAAATAAACGTTTCATTACAGAAAATTTACATAATACAAGAAAAATAGAACAGCTAAAAACGTTCCTTTGAAATAAGGTTTTGTAAGAAACCTTTGGAATCAGTGTAATGAAAGTTAAAACGTCAATGGAAATTTCATCCTGATGTGGACCAAAAGTGACTTGACTTAATGATTCATTACACATCGAGAAAATCCGAACCCTGTTTTAAAAACGATTGAAAACACGTTTTAACACAGAGAAGAGAGAAATTGTTGCATTTGATTAACAGTGTAATGAATCATTAGTTAAAACACGAGATAAATACATACTGGTGGTCCTGGAAGGCCTTGTCTCCCTGGCTGTCCCAACGTTCCTTTAGGGCCCTGAAAAGAAAAGATAATCTGAAAACAAAACAGCTGGACAGATTGAAAAAGCAGGAAAAACCACCAGTAACAACAAAAAACCTAGTAGATTGCTTTCGTGTCTTGACAGGTAACATTCTGTTCCCATCTTGGAACAAGCGCAAGCGGTTTTACTAAGATGAAATCGTTCCCCTAATCCAAGCAATTCGAGTTTATGGACGCGATGTGATACCTATTTGAACTTGACAGAACGAAAGGGATGTTCAATGTATTGCTGTTTCTACAGAGATGTCAGTCCATCAATTTATTTGAAATATTTATCGTCTTAAAAAGATGTAAAATCACATTAAATTCACGGACAATGAAGCAGCTCAGTCCTTCAACCTTGAATATGAAAAAAGATAGGTCACAATACTGGAAAACAATAAAGGTTTAATAGGCTCGATGAAGAAATATCACCTTGTCTCCAGGAAGGCCACGTTCTCCTGTTGGTCCTTGCCCACCAGGCTCACCCTTTAAATACAGAGATGAACAAATTAATGATATAATGTAAGCAATCCGTAGTGTAGCTTTGATGAATATTTTTCATATACCCTTTTATTACTCTTCCATTCAAAGGAATATATCATGAAAAAGATAGAGCTTTATTTTCTTTATGTTCTAAAAAATTTCATATCTCCCAAGGGACATTGATAAAGAAAACAAACATAAATAACGATCTCTAAATACTCAATCGATAACAATCGATAAATAACAATGTTTGCACGAAAAAAATGCTATTGTGTAGACAAGAGGAGTTCGTTTTCGCCTTAGGACTCCATTGGCAACATTCTCAATAGACAAGCGGCACTGATTGGTCAACCTCAACAGTCATGTGCTCGCGTTTCTGATTGGCTAATTTCGATCCACAACTGGGTACCTATATTTCCTAGCGTAGAGTTTTCGATCTATGTTCTGACATTTTAAACTCTGAAGAGTGTTGGACGAAAAGCTTTAGTTTACTCAAACGTCTGCTTTTCAAAGCCATTTTCAAACATAAATGAGCTTTATATTAATCCAAACACGTCCAATTTAATCAAACTTAAGTCCAAGCAGCAAATCCAATAGCTTAAGCTTGAGAAACTTTTCGATAGCCGGCAAAAATGAATTTTGCAAAATGTTATTAATACACAGACGAAATGCGTCCAACCGAGCTTCAAAAGTAACAATTTGGGATACCTTTATACCAACATTCCCTGCTGGACCACGTGAACCTTGAGCCCCTTTGAGACCCTAGAAAATATCAATAGATTTCAGATGGTGGAATAATAAAAGCTCCTCCACAGACACATTCATAAGTAGGACACACATCAGAGATACACAGGTCAAGGCAATGAGATCCACTTACAAAGGAACTTAATTTGATTGAAGAAAAAACGGTCGACAAGTTTCACCTGTATTCCCTTGTCACCTTTCGAACCATCAATTCCTGCCTCCCCTTTGTTACCCTAAATAGAATTTGCAGAAAACAAACTTTATAGAATTCATGCATAATATATGGTCACCATGATTGTTTGGAAATTTTATTACATCAAAATTTCTTCGGCAATTGCATTAAAAAGTGTCAACAAATATAAGACATATGTCAATCATGATTTCAAAAATACATCACAATTTAAAAATCAATGCTACTTGGAAAATGTTACAGGTATTGGTATTTGTATTGTATGGTATTGTCCCATGCTAGATCATACGTGCATCGTAACCCTAACATGCAACATTTTTGTAACACACAGCTAACAGAAGCTCTAACCTTTTCGCCAGTAGGGCCAGGTATTCCAGTTACACCTGGAGGACCCTGCTGTCCCTAAGGAAACAAGATGTTGTTTTAAAAAGAGAAAAATAACAACAGTGCAGATAGAATGATGCACACAAGCTATTAAATATAAGGATTGTCATTTTCTGTTTGTTTACTTTTTAAGCCTAAATTCATAATACGTAATTTTGAATAATCCTTTCTCCTATTTCTCAAGGCTCGTATACATTGAATTCAAAAAAACAGTATAAACATCAATAGATTTATATTATCGGGTGCAATTTATATAAATTTAAATTAATAGAAGCATTTTTTACCAAAAATCTTCTTCCGTTGCATAATCATATGAAAACTATCGAATGCTTTCCTAAACAAACGGTGTCTTTAATACAACAACAGAAATTAAAAATAAACTAAAACGGAGATACTCACGGGCGGTCCAGGCTTGCCGTTCTTTCCTGGGACACCTGCATCGCCTTTTATGCCCTACATACAAATAAGTTATTTTTAAAAACTTTGTTATTTGAACTACTCATGGATGGAAATGATTTACGAACCAATTCATCAATCGAATGAACTACCACCGATGCATTTATAGGAAATCAAACATTATTCAGGTACTTACGGGCCTTCCATCCTTGCCATTTATACCACGAGGCCCAGGAGCGCCTTGCGGACCCTAGAAATAATAAAATAATAAATCAAAACCACTGCAGTCAAATCACATAACAGTACAGGTTAACTTAATGATCATACAAAAGTACAGGGCTTTATTGAAGAATAAAGTTAAGAAAGTCTCATTTGGTAATACTGATGCAAGATACTGTTTAGATATTCTTGGTGCTAGTGTATAAATGACAAATAAAAGGCAAACGAAACGATGTTGTGCAAGTCACGTATCTTGTAGATAATATATAATTGTATTTATGTGTATACCTGAATTCCCGGTGTGCCACGAGGGCCGGGGGCTCCTGGGTCGCCTGAGGGTCCCTATCAACAACATTGTGAACTGCATTAATGAAAACAGTGTGCATCGAATTTCATAAAAAGTATCAGACGTGCAAAACAAAGACAATAGCAAAATGTTGGCATAAATACGACGCCTGGTGTCTTTCAACTATCTAACAGCATTTCTAGAGTCTTATGACGCTAAAATCACCATATTCTGAGTTAACTTCCCGAGGGGCATTTGCTTTGGGTCTCATATCAGCGTCATATCTGCGGGATGAAGATCCATGATAGCAGCGCCTTTAGTGCTGGCTTAATAATATGACGCGATCAGTTATTCGGGTATTTCATTGAACAGTTCAAGCAAAAATTGGGATTTAAGTTTATCTGACCTGCTAAAGTAAAATCTTGATGAAAAGAATTCAAAATCACAAACCTCAGGGCCTTTGCTGCCTGGTTTCCCTTCCTTTCCTTTAATTCCGTCATTTCCCTTTAAAAACATAAGCCGCTGTAGATATGAATAACCAAATTCGGGAATTTCTTATTATTTAAATTTACCAGCAGATTACAATAGATAACTAGATGAAAAAATACCAACCGGCATTCCCTGAGGACCTGCTGGACCTGGTTCACCTTTTTGGCCCTAAAGTGGAAAATGTATATTGAGTTATTGTACCTAACTGAAAAACGGCGTTTGACTGTCATCTCGAAATACGTCATTTACTAGGAAACCAAGTCAAGATAACTTGGTCTCGCTGGCAGAACAAACTAAGGCACTTCAGTTTAACAAGGACGGTCTCTGTTAAAATCAATAAACATCTATAACAGATTTCCCAAGCAGCATCGTTCAAATCGGGCCATGGCAAATTTAAAAAAATGTTCAACACATCCTAGGATTGAAGTTGAGTAAAAAAGAAGTCATTTTGGATTATGCGAATAAAGAAAATCCACCCGAGTATGCTGAATTTGGTCAGGTCGAATACAGCCGTCAAAACCCAGCTCAATCAAGCAGTTTATTTGTAACCAAATTGATCCTCCGTCCTCCAACATGCAAACATACTAAAAATCAGTCATGTCTTTAATATATGTAGTGCATATGTATTCAAGAAATAAAAAAATTCATAGCTTGCCTCGTCTCCTGGTTTTCCTTGTAGACCAATGGGACCTGGGTCTCCCTAAAATGATAAATGAAAGCACGATATACATATACTGAACATCTCTCCTCACCTAAGAATGTTATCTTACCGTAAAACCTTGTTAAAACAAGATCACATTCTAGCCTGTATTTGTGATTTCTGACAAAAAAATCACGAATTCTAGCCATTTAACTAACCAAACATACAGAGATTACCTTATAAATTGTCCTCAATCTAAAAAGTAGAATTTTACATGTAACGCCATCATTAGACATAAATTCCTCATGAATTGGCACAAGACGAACAGTCGTTAATAGCTAGAAACATACTCGAGCACCATCACGACCAGCTTCTCCTTCTTCACCAGGGTCACCACGAGGCCCCTACAAAAATATAAAAAGAACGATTAAACAACCTTACTAGAATTCAACACCACTTGAAATTTGACAACCTCATTTCATTTCCATACATTGAAAAATACCACATAATTTACGCACGTTGCATGCGACTTGCAATTAGCAAATACAACCAAAGGAATTACCTGAAACAAAATTTTCAAAGCGCTATCGATTCCATCATTTCGTGTAAGAATTGATTCATAAAAAAAGGTAGAATTGACTATGCATATATAAAAATCACTGCTGTCTTTACTATCTTTCAATGATTAGAAATTTTACATTCCTGCTTGCTCATTTTATTTATCTAAAATTGCACATGGTTTGTTCGCAGCAATCAATTCTAGGTAAAAAAAGAACCAGCTCGAACTGAAGTGTCTTAAGCTTAACGTATCAAATAAATACAATTTGCAATCGAAGTTGTAATCAAACAATGCATTCAAAATGCTTTTCAAAAAAGGAGCTTCAGCAGTCACGTATGTCTATTACTGCAAACATGTGTAGTCTTGCAATCTTTTACACGAGGTGTAGAAGTCTCATTGTCGTGTAGAGATGGATCTGAAAAGGAGGCATTGCCATGCATTTACCTGATTTCCAGGTTCACCTCTTGCTCCCGATAGGCCAGGAGGTCCAATAGAGCCCTAGGTTGGTCAAAAAACAAATTCAACTTGTAGACAATGAAATGAAGGATTCTAAATTTCAACTTAATAAAAACATGTTATGGTTTTAAACGTGCCTAAGGCCGCTACATTCATGGGCTGCTTGTTTATTTCATCCTACTGATAGAGTTAAGAAGGAAAGGAAAGCACTGTTTTCCCTGGTGTTGAATATACTCTTCAATTGGATTTTTTCACAAATTGAGTTATCAAATTTTTTACAGCTCTATATAAGAACATCAATGATTAGGCCTTGGTGAACGGCAGGCGGGAAAAGAGAGCCCCAAACAAATGTGATGCCGGATTAATGACATCACTAGTCGACGAATCATAACGCATGATAAATACCTTCCTTCCAGAGGGACCTGGTGCTCCAGCTGGTCCAGGATTACCTGTCTGTCCCTGGAAAAAAATTTATAATGAAAATAAATTTGTTCATTTTATAGAAAAAATTGTCTTTAGTGATGACTACAATGTTAATGAGGTATAAAAATGTTATCGGGTAGGAAAATGTTTTCAGAAGGTTTGTTTATTCCACAAAAATAAGCATACAACATTATGATAAGTCATTTAAATGCAAAAGAATTGACTCGGAAGGAGGTTTTGATTAGTGCAGATGAACGAGCGGTAGGGACATTTGACAAAGTAGTCGGAACATCAACTCATTTTATCTCATTTTATGTCATCTTATCTCGCTGAAATTTATTCAAAATCGAACTTCTTACGCAATAAGAGTCAAATTTTGTCATCAATCTTTTCGATGATTGCAGATATTTTTAGTTGAAACACCGCAAATTCAATTTGTCAGTGAATCAGGAGAACCAAAAATATTTAATAAAAGTTTCTAATCTCATCAAAAAGTATTTCCAAATGTCGGATATAATCGCTATTCGATGAGCGTCTGGGACACTATCGTCAAGTTAGTTTTTTCTGTTCAGATAATTTAGGGCATTACTGCTGGATCCGCATTCTTTGAATCTTAGCAAAAAGAAGCTTTCAAGAAAAATCAAATGCTGTCTGCCTTTACTAAGTAGAGAAACTAAATCCAAATTTCCCTGCTTTGCAAAATAGACCGCTCTTTTTTATATTTTTAACTTAATTGCTGAATTACAATATGTGTATTTTTGTATATAGTCAAAAATATAATCCACGCACAGACTGCCAAGTTTAAGACCAGAAATTTTCTAACTGTAAGAGAAGATACAAAGAAGGTCGAAGCTCAAACAGTTTTAAGCGAAAAGCAGTGATAGCAGTTGGAAAAATCTGACGTAAGCGACAGCTGAGCATGAAAACATAGTAACAAAAGAATAGTAACGATTAAACCGTACTGTATTTCCTCTGCTTCCATGGTATCCTGGCGGGCCTGGTAAACCAACGGGTCCCTGGAGGACAAAAAATTTGCAAATTAAAAATTTAACACTAGTAGTAATACAAAATGACACTGAAAGGCTGTCAAGGATAATGATATTTGTTTCCAGTTAAATAAAAAACGAAAAATGCAAAGAAAGAAAAAGCTTTATTTACCTCTGTACCTCTGTCTCCTGGTTGCCCTTGAAGACCACGAAGACCAGGAGCACCCTGTGCAATAAGATTTTTAAGGTTATTTAAAGCAATTTCAAGCAGTTCTAAGCTTCAGTATAAAACCGAACAGCTGGGCCTCTGACGAATAAGGCAAAATAGAATAACTTTGGTACAAAATACTTTGTAACGAGCCTTTAAAACTTCTCTCTTGTATTATATCTAAAACCAATTTACAAATGGTCATGTCTGCTAATGAAAAAGGCATTTAGAGGTTAAAATCAGCGGCAGGAGAAAAAAGAGGACATTAAGTAACGGAAACAGCTTTGGATGAAGATAGAATAAGATCTGCAGTCAGCAACAAAATCTAAACAATGATTAAAGCTGGCACTGCTTGTTCGACCCAAACGTCAAGAAGATCATTGATGACCTGGCTTAGATCCTGAAGCATTTTAAATGGCTTTGGGCTCAAAATTGACATTTAGATACAACGATACAAAATGCATCCCTAACACTGTGGTCCTCACAGGGTTTCGACATTTAGAAGATGTTACATTTTATAAATTCCAGCTCTTTAGGCATTGCAGTTATTCAATCTATAACATTATTTATTACGATCCAAAAGTTAAAAGAGTTGGTTACGTCTTTAAAGCTCCATCTTATTCCTATCAAAGTCACCCTCTCTCCGGATCATATCCTGTTAAACGGGCTACCATGGCAATGAATTCTCTTCCACTCTGCGAGTGCTTGGGGTAAGGAAGAGGGAATCTTACTTGGCAGGGGTTACAACACCAGAATTGGCACAAAACAGATAATCAACAATTTGGTACAAACCATTGGCCCCTTGTCTCCTGGAGGACCTTGCATCCCTTTGTCTCCCTAGAACCAATAAAACAGAAACTTTTCTATACATCAGTGTCTATAAAAACAAATAAATAAACTAAAACAGCAGGATGTTACGATAAAGTGAAAATTTTTGTTTGCAGTAAAACATTGCTACCTTTCAGAGCTCATCGCAATAATTGGGGCGCTTTTTCCCAAGGTGTGGGTATAACTTGGATCTTTGCAACTGAACCTTACCAGAATCTAACGTGAGATCTCAATTATTATCTCTTATATAGATAGCCGAAGAGTTAACTTCGTTTATCAACAAACGTTGATCAGTAACAAGAGCAAAATTAAGAAAGAACTCCAAACAAAACTGCTGTGTATTGGAATTTCTGTTGTGTGAATAGCTGTAGAAATTTTTTCGCAAGAATCAAGGAATAAAAAGCAAACGATTCCTCTAGAAATACAAACAAACTACATGAACTGATACACTAGACTTTAATAGTAAAAAACTGTCCTTTAAAATCGTAATTGTAACTACGGTTAGATCGTATATTTTGCTTCACCAGCAAAGAACATAGTGTTGCAAGAATCTTTAACTACCTAGACGCTAAATCTCTAGCATACCTTGAAACCACGCACACCATTTTCTCCAGACTTCCCTTTGGGGCCTTGAGATCCCTGGTATATCACAATTAAAAAATCATTCGACCTTGTAAACATTGCTTGGGATAAGGTAAATAAGAGCAGTAAACATTGGCTTGAACATCCTAAAAGATGTAGCTACAAGAAAATTGCTTACAAGAAAAATTATATCTGAGTACCCGCTTTAACCATAAACGACAAAACTCTGAAAAAGACAAAACGTTTCATCACCGAGTAAACATTGCAGTAGGTATATATTGCTTTTTATGAATACCTTCTCTCCTTGCAAGCCTGGCGGTCCAGAAAAGCCATCCTTACCCTGAAGAATAAAAGAGATAATAAACATGCAATTATTTATTGCACAAAGTCAGATCTATAGATTTTAGTTGTGCCAGGATATTCATCATATTAAGACGATCATCGTGTACTATCATAGCAGATTATTTGCCTGTGGATTAGAAGATCGTACCTCAAATGGGAAAGTTTAACATGAACCTAACTCAGGGGGGGGGGGAGAGAGAGGGAGGGATGGATTTAACTTGTAGAGATCAAGTTAAAAGGTAGGAGCATAAAATTTTAAAATATAAGTTTTGCATCGATTTAAGACAAAGTAATACCTTGTCTCCTTTCTCTCCTTTTTCTCCAGAAATTCCTGGTTCTCCTGGATCACCCTAAGATGAAATAATGTTTGGACATAAAGCTGAGGGCAAATAATATATTGGAATATTGTTTAACAAACAGCATGTTTTCACTATATGCCAGCATTTAAAAATCAGGCTACACGCGTGCTTATAAAGTATCAATTACTCTTTCGAGCTTTTGATGAATTTTATTTTATCATGCATATGAAATAACTCAGACGGTTGTAGTTATTTCTTTGAAAATTGTGCAAGTTGAAATGCTTCAAAATTTTGCGAGGGAAATTTGTTGTTAGCACACAAGTTTTGAAAGGGAATATCTGGAACAATAACGAGTTAAGAGTGTCGACTACCGTCTTAAGGCCAAGTAGTAACAGTAGAAAAAGAAAATACGTAACTCGGAATGTAAAAGGATAATTGGTCGGCTTCAAATATATTTTATACTTGGTTAGAAGATTGCCATTTAGATGGATTGTAACGGGTAACATTGAAATTTCTATCCTTTCCTACCATCAGTCTTCATGGTTAAAAATATTGGTTGACGGAGGTTATATTGAAATTTAAAATTTTTTGTAACGCAATCTCCAAACACCAGCTCTTTTCATCAAAACAACGTTTTTTATCGAGTTTAAGAAAGTCCCGTTTGCTCAAAATTTTCTCCCATTTTTTCTTTAATAACGTGAACATCTTCTTCAATGCCTACATGTTTTGAAAACGTATACACCAACAATATTTAGATATAAAAAGATATTTACTGAACACACCGATTATTTGAACTTTTTGAATGTGTTATCGTTTCGGTAGTAAGATCATTTTGCTACAATTGTGAAGATTCTCTTACCTTCAAACCGTTTGTACCTGGGATACCAGGTGCTCCGGGAAATCCTTTGTCTCCCTGAGATACAAAATATAGTTATCATACTTGGTTGATTCAATGATAAAGCTAACTAATATCAAATGACTGATTGCCAGAGTTATCTATTACAATTCATTGTATTTGACAAAGCTATTATATTGCGAGATAAGCGATGTCATAAAAGCGCTAACATGAAACACAGATAAAATTGGATCAGTGTAACAGTTTTTGCCACACGGCGAAGTGCATTCTACTTGACTGTTACGAAATCAACTTTACTCGCTTAAAGGCAGTTAAGTGTTACTCAAATAGTTAAAGCCACCTGTCAATCAAAAATTGGCCAATCAACGAGCATGATAACAGTTACACGCCAATTGATTGGCGAATATCAACTGATAACTTATCTGTCTATTGCCTTTAAGAAAAGTCAGCAATCAAATAGAGCCTTAAGTATCTGAAAGGACTTTTCAAAACTACGCAAGGAATTCTTCAAGTTTGCGCACAATTTGGTTTTGAATATTGAATCTGCTGCCAGCAGTCCATCCAGGTAAAGTCCAGAAAATTCAAAGGCTAGGCAAGTAAAAATCAAGTTGCTGTTCTCATACCAGTCAAAAAATCTAATTTTGGAGGCATGTTTGCAACAAGAAAAGATTTGGCGAAACAACTTTAAAGGCAATCATTAGACAAATCATGTGATTAAAGATGTACGTCAAATTCTCATATTTGGTTCAGAGGGTTTTTTCTTTTCTAACCATCTAAATTCAAAAGCTAGTTTTGCTTACAAAGTTCGAAGCACTTTTCTCGCAATTATAGATTCAAATATAACACAACCAGTTCTCTATTCTCACGCATGCTTTATCAGTCCTTTTTTGTATTTAAGATGGCGTAAGTACTACAATCGATTCCAGTCATAATCATCGATTGACTTCTTGTTGAAGCTCTGGAGTTGCACAGAAGAACATCTTTATATGTACACAAACAATGGTTTTCGAAATTCTGCGCCAGGAAACTAGAAACAATTTTCTTACCTGAAGACCAGCAGGACCCTGTCTTCCAGGGGGACCACGGTGTCCTCGTCTTCCCTGAAAAAGTTAAAAATAATTACAAAAAAAATTAGAATAATATCAATTTACGAAGGTGAGTAGAAAGATTCAACACAATCGTGAGATTAATTCCAATCGACATACAATCACTGGAATTTTGAACTTCTTGCAATTTTCTTGAAGCATTATACAAGCGGAATTTTAGGCTAGGCGTGGGCATTGGGCTGTAGCCACCGTAAAAGAGGGGGGCTTTGCCTCATTCTTTATCTTTCTAATCACAACGGCCAGATAAGAAGGAATCAGCCCTATTCAGACATTATAGCAACTGCAGCTGGGTGTCTATTTTGATTCTAGTTGATAACCAGCATTGAGCCCAGGGCCACAGTACTTTGTTGGCAAAATGAGTCACTCAAAGGAAACTAGCAAACAGAGAAAAAAGACGGTAACGAAAATTGAGTAATTATGAACGGTTGACATCTTAAATGAACCGAAAGAAATTGAAAGCGCTCATTTTGAGATTCAAAGATAAGATTTTCATGAAGTTTACACACCAGTGGTCCGTCTTTTCCTATAGGTCCACGTTTTCCAGGTAAACCAATAATACCCTGCAAACATCAATAAATGTGTGATCATATAAGGGCCACCTTAATAAGGTGAGCTTGTTAGTTTAAACAAGTCAAGATGGCTGCATGGATTCTCGTTGATCAAAGTTTGGTGACCGCACATAAAACAGCGAACAGACGTGCAGAGCATGAGCAAAATGTTTTCTTCAACATCTTATGGAATCTATAGGAAACTTAGAATATCTATAGCAAATGTATTCCTCATGCTTTCGTGGTGAAGGCCCTGGAGTTAAACAACCTGCCTTTTTCTACTTTTAAAAATAGGGATTTGTGGTTGAAATTTGTTAACGGAAGGATCGGATAAAAAACGCAAGAAGATGTGGTCTCACGAGCTTTCGCGAGACTTTAACAAGGTTTTTGCAGCTGTCGAAAATCGGAGGAAAATGCGATATGTCTTTTCAGAATCTCCAACGAGAATGCAGTAACTGAAGTAAGTTCAATGGCTGTGCATTGTTTGGCGTTGAACGCTAACAATTCAGGATATTTTATTCCTCTCTTCATCGTGATGACCATCGCTCCATCCTGGCAGACTCACATCAATAGCGCAGTCAATTCCCAACATGAATTCTGCAGAAGGTTTGTCACATATGATCATGAATCGCAAATGAGACTTGTTTTAAAAATTTCCAACTCTTGTAAACCGTTTCTACAAGTCATCAAAGATCAAGGACGACTTTAATGACATAATGAAGCCATCAAAATGTAAGGATCAAGAAAAGTGATTCATACTCGGCTCCCTTTTGGTCCAGTGGCTCCTTTGTGACCAGGTTTGCCATCAGATCCCTTAGAGAGAAAAAAGTAAATATATTCACCTACACAAAAAGAAAGAATACGGTTGTATGATGCAGCTAAGTTTGTGTGACTTACCATTTGATGAAGGGCTCGATAACAATGTATGATAACAAAGGGATGATAACAAAATAGGTTTAACTACAAACAAAAATGGAATTTCTAGTTCCAACAAAGTCAATATGGGTGACACGGACTGCTCACTCGGACTCGAACCTGGTGACTCTTACTGCTCACTCGCACTCGAAAACCTCTTAGGTTTAACAGCCGAATCCGATCCTTCATATTAAGAAATTCACCTTGGGTAAAGATCTATCAAAAAAACTTCGAAATAAATGAGTCCGCACCAACGTCACTTGTTCAAGTGCGATTGGTTGTCGGCTTCTAGAGATGTGTCAGATGATTGCTTACTAGTTGCTTTGCTACTAATAACTTATCATTGTGCTTACGATTTAATTATGTACTGGTAAAGTATGGACTACTTCTATTCTATAAGTATTTGAAATACAAAGATACCGACATACCGGAGTTCCTTTTTCGCCTGCTTGTCCAGGTACACCTCTTGAACCCTAAAAATCAGAATCAAAATTATATTATATTTTATAGAAATTGTAACAATAAAAAATTAATTAAAGCAAAGATAAGAGTAAGATGACTTTCAACAACATCTAATTAAACCGATAAATTTTTGGATAATATCATTGATAAAAGTTTAAAAGATAATAAATTTGAGCGTGGTATTAAGGGACTGTCATCATTAGGTCGGCGTTATATAGGCTGTAGTCTGGCTATTCTAAATAAGCGATAAATTTGTAGTATATGGCAAAGAAGCTCTTCGTCATCTAATTTCGTCATCTAATACAACTTGCATTGTCTGTATTCACCCCGAAGTTAAGAGTTAGGTGACTTCCCTTAGAAGCTATTATGTGGAATTCCAATAACATGGATGGGATAATAGCTCATTTATGTCTGAAAATGGGTTACCCTTCATTCACAATAACGTCGCAAGGCAGTGATCATAACTGAATCTTGAAGTGTCTTGTATAGTATTATCCAACTCTCGTATGCTGAGAAGTATGACACAAATTCATAACAAAGTCGGTAAGCCTTCTTTCCTTAAGATGTTTTATCGACTTCTTGTAAAAGTGGTTGGCAACCAGCAACAATTCGAGCACCATCACTGTTTTCAAGACCAAAGTAGCCCTCTCACCACAAGAGATGTCTAAAGAACTAAATTAAAGAGTCTTTCCTTCTAACATACCTTTCTTCCTTTGTATCCACGATGGCCTTGCTCTCCAGACTGTCCTGGCTTCCCCTGCAGAAAATTGCAAAATGGCTTTACAAATTAGTCACAAATATGGTTATATGAGGTTGAAAGTGACCGTGTCTGAGGGAAATATTTGCTTGGATAATCAAACCAAGCCTTTGGTAAAAATATATGACTAAGAATTTTTCAATTATGCCAGTCCTCTGACAAGAGGGGTGAGCAGAGGGGAGGGGTGCCCACATCTATCGTTCCATATCCTCTGTTATTGATTCTGAGAGGTCTCATTCAAAGATTCTCAATAGAATACACACTTGAAGTTTCTAATTACAAAAAGTATCAAATGTCCCACTCATAAGAAATAATTCCAATGGAGCCTCGAACAAATTTCAACAAATCCTTGCTTTATTTATCTGGTCATACATATGGGCAGATATAAGAGCCAAAAATCAGAAAGTATATCTAAAGGTTTTGGAAAACTATTAAAACCAAAAATTAAACTAAACTCACTGGTTCACCCTTTTTTCCGGTTGGTCCTTCTTGTCCTGGGTAACCCTTTATGGCAATGAAACATGCTTTAAATTGAAGTGAAACTACAGATATATCTACAAATCACAGTATCTTCCTTTCCTAATATCCTTTCCTCTTTGAGGACAGTAGCCAAGGTACGCACATTCAGTCGAGTTAATACAAAATTTCTCTATTATGCATGACTGAAATGATATAATAACCTGAATTCTAACTGCCGCTCGTCTTGATTGAACTTAAAAAGCATTGATTGAACGTAAATCGGTCCTTCAAAATGCTGTCTGTTAATGGGGGGAGGAGGGGTTGGTGGGGGCAAGAGATGATCATTTTTCCTTTCAATTAAACTTCAGCCATTAACCTGGATAGTTCATGATGTCAATTGCCACTTGCAATGAAAAGTTCAACTGGCTGCTGAGAAAAATTACACGCCATGTAGCCCCAAAATCTTAGCAAGTTATTGCAATCATTTGAGAGAATGACTTGAGCAAAAAGGCAGGTTATAAAATAAGCAGCAGTTCACTTGACCTCAAGCATGCGCACATCATTTGTAGTAAAAATTATCACAGGGGCCCTTGCATGAACATTAACGGAATTTTATTAGGTCATAATCAAAAGCATTTTTTGCAGAAAAGTAAACTATGGATTGGAGATATCAACTTTTAATTTAGAACTTAACTTTAAGTCTCAAATAAACAAAAAAACCAAACAAACCAAAATCAAATAAAAAAATGGGTAGGTACTACAGTTTTGCACAAGTCTACTAGCTGAAAAACAATCTCATATTAGTTAAAAGAATCTTTATAAAACATACCGGTCGACCATCGACTCCTTGATACCCCTGTGGTCCTGGCGGGCCCCTGTCGCCCTGCATAGAAATACGAAATCTTTAACAAACATCCCAAAATGTAGCTTGGTATACGAATTTTATTAGAATGAATGACTGGAAAAGACAAAACTAAAATTGATTTTAACCGAGTTGGGTGGTTCCTTTTGGTCCAAATTACGATAAAAGTTGGCCGGCTACTTTTTTGCTAAGTGCATCCAAAGTACCAAATTGGGTAATTATCACGTCTGTCGACATTACTACGTTGCCAATTGGCCAATAGTCAGCAGTATAGAGAAAGGGAGGGCAGTTCAGCCCAAGGACTCGTGAAAAATTCACACATGTAAAACAAAATATATCTATGCTATCTTTGTCAAATGCTACCACGGATCAGAACTGGATCTCGGTGGCCATTCACTTCATTTCTAAGACACAGTGACAAAAATATATCAGCATATGGACTGCTTTTCTAGGTAGACTGCCGAGGAGATGGTGTAGGAATCCGTAGAAAGGAATAAAGGCCACTGAGTACGTTTGGAAGGCCGGTCAATGGTTGCATCCAAGCATCTCTTTTCCGTCTTCTAATTTTAAAAAGTCTTAAAGAGGTCAAGCCATTTTTGTCAAAGGAGACAACATGTGAGTAAGTTTGTCCGACGGTTATAAAATGCATTGTGGGTGTATGGGATTCAAGCGGCCAAATGTTGTGACGTCACCCATGACCCCAAATTGTAAAACGTTATGGGCTTTCTGTCGCTTTGGAAAAAAGTATTTTTGGCTAAAATCATCCCTGCGGTAGTTTTAGCTTATTTGACCGCTTTAATATTATCGCTTAAGTATTAGGGCTAAGGCTTCACGCTAAAAGCATTACCGCTAAAATCTGGTAGCATAAATTGGTCCTTTTATGAAGTTACCTTTTCTAGACAACGAAATACGATTAGCGTTTAGCAAAATATTGCAAAGGATTATGAAAATATTGTGGTAGCGGAAAGGATTTATGAATTTTGAATGGTTTTCAAACTTCAAAGACCGTTGTGTGCCAGAAAGACATTTATTATATATAATCTTTGTCAACCATTTCCTATTACGAACAAAAGTAACTGTACAGCGTATATTGAAGAGGACATAAAAGCATAGGAAGTAATTTTCAGCGTCTTTATAACATTTCCTTTGTAGTAAAATGCCCTTTTAAAGAAAAACGAAAAGGTCCATTGTCTAGTAACAAAAAACCATAGATTATTGTGGAAAATGAAGAAAGTCGTCCTTCAAAGGCTTCCATTGGACAAGTTACCTTGGACTAGACGAGAACTTCATAATCAAAATAAATTGCATGTGGCTGAGCTGATGGAAAAAAGTTTTCACTGAATCTATCCAAAAGGGTGCTGGGTGCGACGGCCTCTTGGTGAGGTCAGCGAAAGGTTAAGATATACCGAGCCTTTTGTTTTGGCCACGCCTTCTTGGTTAGTCTGCATCCAAACTATGGACAATTTTGGCCTATCTAATCCAGATATCCTTAGCAGTGATACGTTCTCTGACACGAAAGTTCTAAGCTTCCCTAGCGTTTTGATACCACAACTTGCATAAAGAAATTTTTCGACAATGAAGCTAAAATGATCCTGCTGTCTAGTTTATGAAAATTGCTCCCTAATAACTTAGTTTCTCGTACACTGTAAGAGGGTGTTTTGTTCATAGATAAAAACTACTAGATAAAAACTACTATTAGATAAAAACGCAGCGTTGCTCTAGCTCTCTGAGGCAAATGGGATTTCAGAAACACATACCTTGGTTCCAGTTGAGCCTCTATCACCCTTAGGTCCTGGAAGCCCCTGAATGGGAAAAGGAAAACGTAACTACCAAAATAGAAATTATTCTTAACATAAATCAACAGGGAGAAGGAAGTAATACTGCCGCCCCTAAGAAAGATATTTTCAAATTAAAGAAAATTTTATTCGAAGACTTGATCTTTACGGAACTAAAATATACTTCTTATATTACTACAGAGAGGTGCATAAGATGGAGAGGAAATTTCATCAAGGTTATTGGACCTGACACAAAAAGGATAAATAATCAAGTGCTTATTGAAATCGCTCTTTCTTTGCTGCTAGCGATGTGAATATGACAGCATCAATGTCAACATCAATAATCTTATCTCACCATTGGTCCTTGTACTCCAGGAAGTCCAATTGGTCCGGGAGGTCCTTGAGGGCCCTAGAGGAATCGTAGCTCGTGAGTTTTCAAAACATTTGCGAAAAGTACAACGAAAACATTTGATAATTCTGTCAAAAGATTATAAAACAGCATAGAATCAAGTAGTTTATGCAAAAAATCTAAAAAAATAAAGAAGGTGAAGCAAGCCTTGCTCAGTTTGATGTAAATAAACTAAATGTCTCGTGCGAAAGGGATTCTATGCAGTTATTTTGCAACGAGGAATAGCAGACTACCCAGTGAACCATATGGCCGATTCCTATATCAGCAAGGGAAGAATGGAACGATGTCCTTGAAGTATTTTGGTGTTTCGTGTTACAGAATAATAAGATATTCACAAAGGAACATGTTCGTTACAGACAGAACATTGTCAGCTTCACATCAAAAAACAAAATAAGCGATTGAAAATATAAATCAGAAAAACATAAGGCTCTAGCTCAAAGATTTGCCTCTATCGTATTCTCATTCTGTCAGATACAAATTGATTTAAATTGCTGTGTTTCAAGTTGAACGAAGAATGATTTATCGATGCCTTTGACCAAGAAAACCGGGGCATGGTTTTATGTACACAACAAATATGACCAAAGAAGCAAAAGTTCCAAAAGACATGAACCTCAAAGTGCGAAATCGTTTGTAAATGCTGATTCACTTAAAATAAAAAAAGAATAGTACGTACAACTGGACCAACGGGTCCTTCCGGGCCTGATTTACCATGTGGACCCTGAAAAACAACCAATAAGGAACTGGTTAGGGGAAATTTACATTTCAAATAAATTTGGCTTAAAAATTTCACAATTAAGAATTCGACAATTCTGCACCTGCGACTTTCCCTGAATCAAGACAAGGTCATGCAAATTATGAATTATTGGCTCCTTTGTCAAAAAGTTAGGTACTGAAATGTTTATTAGTGCTGAAAAACTTCTAAAATTGCAAAAAAGCGGACTCGTTTTTCTGGAATCTAAAGTTCTTTATACATTAAAATCTGCACAAATTGGTATAGGTATTTTGGAATCTGTGAACATAAACAAACAAAACATAAAGAGATGGTTTGTATTCTCACGTGTAAATCTTCAATTAAGCTTTTTGGTTTGTATTGGCTGGAAAATTCTCTAAAACTTATCGTCAATCCGTTCCAAAGCATTTGAAAATTACCGGCCACCCTCCCTTCAACATTATTATAAAATTATGAAATTTTAATGATTTTTCCATTCTGCTGTTAAAGCTATGAAAGCGGTTTCACTTCGCATATAAGAGGGGGGCAGAAACTGGACAACAACTGTTTTAAACATTTAATGAAAACGTTTTTACATTTTATGCCCCTTCCAGAACCACAAATATGTTGGAATAGTTCGGATTCCTTCTTCAAGAGACAGTTGCGTTGCCAGCCAGATGGGTGTAGTCAAATTCTGAATAATGTGGGTGTGGCCAAATTCTGTCGCGCTCAATTTTTGAGCTGATGGGTTTCATTATTTTCATCTTAAAGAAAACTATGAAGGATCATGAACATATCAGGCCTTTTCCTCTGAATGTGAAGCTGCTTCTGGCTTTCTTGCCTCTGAATTCACATTCACACCAGCGCAAAATGAATGGAGAAAATTTATTATAACGTTGCAAGGAAAATGTTGAATATTTTATAAACAAAGTATACCTCTGGTCCCTGCAGTCCCTGTTCGCCATCGATTCCTTGCTCTCCTTTGATGCCCTGCGGTGGAGAGAATTTAGTTACATGCTAACATAATCACTGAAACAATAAATAATTTTGTTATAAATTCTTTTACGGAAATTAAGTAAAGTAACCAGCGGCATTATCATTCCTTTCTCTAAAATCCAATCTACAAATTACAGAAACCAACGTTGCAGAAGATTTAATGTACTTGTGAATAACGCAAGTCGTTGCTAAAGCTATAAAATGCTACACTGATATCATATTACAGACCGGTTCTCCCTTCTGGCCTGGTAAACCAATATTTCCTGCGTCTCCCTATAACGAATAAAAACAATTATTGGCATAGGCGCTAGGTTTTTGTTGGCTTATTGTTCTTTCAAGATTTGTCCCGAATATAGTGATCATTTTGCCAGATCGCCAGTTAATTGTTGGGAAATTTTTAAAACTGCTATAGCCTCACATCATGTTGCCTTTCTATGTCACACAATGATTATAGGACGCCTATATCCAGTGTTCTCACTTTTAAAGAGATTTCCTTAAACTTAGGGATTCCTTAACTTTTTAAGGAACTTTTCTAGGAATTTCAGTTGCTAAGGAAATTTTAAGGAATTTTCAAAATTTTGAAAATAATTTACTCTTCTATGATAAGGGAAATAAAATTTTGTTTACTCTTCTATGATAAAGGAAAATTTAACCTTTTCAACAAAATACAACATTGAATTAAAAGCATAGCGTTTAGACGAGACTTTTGGACGAAGAAACTTTCGAACGAAGAAACCTACGGACAAATAAAGTTAAAAACGTATTTTGGTGCGAAGCTCTCGGATTTTATGGAAACAAATGACTCGATTTGGCATTTTTTACATGGTCAATGTTGTGTTGACCAAATCTTTTACAAAAAGTTAGGTTTTTGTAAATCAAAGGAAATTTTCCAAAGTCTGAGGAAATTTTCGTGCGAGTTTAAGGAAACTTACATAAAGCAAAGTGAGAACACTGCTTATATCGTTTATATCGCAACGCGTGTTTAACTCAAGATGTACAAAATCAAGTTATAGATGATTGAAAATCAACTTAGACATCAGAAAATCAACATATATACGTTGCTCTTTGCATATGTGCTGTTGTACATGAAAAATTGAAAAAAAATTTGTCTAGGGGAAGCAAAAAAGTAAGATCGACAATTCCTTTTTTGGGCACCAAATTTAGTGATTATAGAAATATTTTTTTTTTGCATAGAAAATAACGAAGAGGCCAGTGAAATGTTTTCCTTAACGGCCTGCAGAACATAGGACTGGGATTTTTCTCTTTCTCTAAAAGAGGGTAGCTGCGCCTGGTTTTAATTTTGATATTCGAAACCGTTCAACATCAATTACGGTAGCGCTGACAAAAGAATAACAGTTAATAACAAACACCAACCGAGAATCAAACTTATTTTCATGAATAATCATACTTAATAATCAATGGCTGTTGAGGATTATCAGACAAATAATATTTATGATCTCCGTATATACGAGCTGGGACGGGTACAAGAAACGATTAATTAACTGGTCTTTTCTGAGGCATTCACAGATACTTAAAAATATCAAATGCGATACCGACACCAAGAAATATCTTCCACAGTTCATTCCCTTAAACACAAATACACGACTTTCTATACTCTAGATTACAGTCTCTTATCCGTTGTATTAGGCGCTTCCTCAACTATGGCTTCTTTAATGAAATCCTATTTCAATATAACAAATCATGACCCTAACCTACAAACATCTCATTGGAAAGCTGATCATGAAGACTAAATTCTGTCGAGACGAGACTTATGCGACAATGTCACAGTTAAGGATCTTTTGCAACTACCACAATCATTTTTTACAAGAAACCGTCTATAAGAAACCGCCTTAAGAAACCGTCTTTAAGGAACTTTCTTTAAGAAACCGACTATAAGAAACAGTCTATACGAAACCGCCTATAAAAAACCGTATATGAGAAACCGTCTAAAAAAACCCATCTACAAGAAACCACCTGTATGAAACCGTCTATAAGAAATTTTCTTTAAGAAACCGTCTAAATGGACCCATCTATAAGAAACCGTCTAGATTAACCCGTCAATAAGAGACCGTCTATAAGAAACCGTCTATAAGAAACCGCCCACGAGAAACCGTCTTTAAGAAACCGTCTATAAGAAACTGTCTATGAGAAACCGCCTATGAGAAACCGTCTATAAGAAACCGTCTTTAAGAAACTGTCTATGAGAAACCGTCTATAAGAAACCGTCTATAAGAAACCGCCAACGAGAAACCCTCTATAAGAAACCGTCTATAAGAAACCGTCTATAAGAAACCGCCTATAAGAAACCGCCTAGAGAAACCGTCTATAAGAAACCGCCTGAAAGAAACCGCCTACAAGAAACCGTCTATAAGAAACCGCCTACGAGAAACCATCTATAAGAAACCGCCTATAAGAAACCGTCTATAAGAAACCGCCTACAAGATACTGTCTATAAGAAACTGCCTACGAGAAACCATCTATAAGAAACCGCCTATAAGAAACCGTCTATAAGAAACCGCCTACGAGAAACCATCGATAAGAAACCGCCTATGAGAAACCGCCTATAAGAAACTGTCTATGAGAAACCGTCTATAAGAAACCGTCTATAAGAAACCGTCTATGAGAAACCGCCTACGAGAAACCGTCTATAAGAAACCGCCTATAAGAAACCGCCTACAAGAAACAGTCTATAAGAAACCGCCTACGAGAAACCATCTATAAGAAACCGTATATAAGAAACCGTCTATAAGAAACCGCCTACGAGAAACTGTCTTTAAGAAACCGTCTATAAGAAACCGCCTACGAGAAACCATCTATAAGAAACCGCCTACAAGAAACCGTCTATAAGAAACTGTCTATAAGAAACCGCCTACGAGAAACTGTCTTTAAGAAACCGTCTATAAGAAACCGCCTTCGAGAAACCGTCTATAAGAAACCGTCTATAAGAAACCGCCTATGAGAACCGTCTATAAAAAACCGTCTATAAGAAACTGCTAATGAGAAACCGTCTATAAAAAACCGTCTACGAGAAACTGTCTATAAGAAACCGTCTATAAGAAACTGTCTTTAAGAAGCAGAGACCCAAGTTAACAAAAATACAGAAACCTTAGTACTGATCACACACAATATTTTGTAACTGCTCAAAAATCCTTTCTTTAAATTGGATAGAAATGATACTTTTCAACAACAAGGCCCCTATTTCAGTCAAATTGACTTCCCTATTTCAGATAAACAGAAAGATAAAGTGCCCTTTGAGACTGAAAGATAAAGAGCCTGTTGTGACTTATTAGGTGTTTTTTTCATGTTATCTCGTGTTACCTTTTTGTGTTTTTAAAAAGTAGCTCCTCAGCATTTTGTATTCAAGAAACCAAAAGGGAACTTTTACCCCTGAAACCAAAATCAATTAAGAAACTGGCTGCTAATCACGACCTTAATTTCTTACAAAAAAAATGATTGTATTCCCGCTATCAGTTAACAATATTCTATTATATTATTTAGTATGGCTTGATTTAAAAAAAAATTGCAATGTTTGTTCATTACTGGCGACAGTATTCTACAAGATTCAAAAGCAACAGTTGGATGGCACAATATTGATAACATTAGAGTGCTAATAAATATATCTTCCGGCATCACTGATAATGATAATAAAATCAATACCTGTTCGCCATCTGATCCTCTCTCCCCAGGAACACCATTAAGTCCAGGTCTACCCTAAGAAAATAGAAAAAAATTGTTTCAATGATCAAAAGGACAAGGCAAGATACCAGAATTTTGATGAGAAAAGCCTTCCCCCTAGTCCACAAATGCTGTGGCAGCAAAAATCGGACCTATTCGCCATTAGAATTAAAAAAATAACAGGAACTGATTTAGATTGCTTCAGTAACAAGGGATAAATGTCAAGAAGCAACTCTAGGAGAATTTATTCTTAAGTCGAGCATATGCGACTGAGACACGCCATGATTAAAAGTGTTCGTTTATCATTCAGTACCAGCACAACATTATATTTGCCTAACAAATCCAGTGTTTGATGTATATTATTTTCTTTTATCACGGTGAAATTTATCATGATTATCAACTTTAACAAATACATTAATAACATTAATCTTTTAAAACAATACAACTCTTTGATTGCGATATCTTTTTTCTCAAAGATGGTTTTAGGGGGGTCCAGGGGGCCATGGCCCCAGGCCCTGCACTTATGGTACCCAAAAAGGGCCCCTAAGAAAAATTATAGAAAATGTACACAGCAAGGGCTCGCAGATGTTTTCAGCCTCGGGCCAGGCAGTCCGTAAACCTCTGCTATTTTTACAGTGCAGAGTTTATTGGCAAAATAAAATTCTTCAATATAGGAACAAACAGAATTTACGTTGAATACAGTTTAAGAGAGGAACGCAAGGTTTACAGTAATCTTTACCGAGACAAATTTCAAGTCTGACATGCAAAGGCTTTTGTCCTTGTCGTTTTGATGAATGTCTGGTCTAGATGCAAATAGCCTTGTTTGCTCAACCTGTTGCAGATAAGGACAACTGAGCCCTTAAGATGACAATACTGTCGTGTAAAATAGACCTATTTATTTCAATTATCACCAAAACCCTTTGACAACCTAAATTTAACCTGTTACCCTTTCTTTGATAAGACTGACGATAAAAATTACTGATAAAAAAGATTCGGTTAATTTGTCTGCTCAAGACCCAGATAAAGAGCTCGAAACTGTAAAAACAAATAAGGATGAAAATATACTTCGGCGGCACTGATTGGTCAACCTCAACAGCCACGTGCTCGTGTTTCCGATTGGCCTATTTCGATCCACAAATGGGTATATATATTTCCTAGCCTAGAGTTTTCGGTCTATGTTCTGACGTTTAAACTCTGAAGAGTGTCAGACGAAAAGCTTTGGTTTACTAAATGTTTGCTTTTTCAAAGCCATTTTCAAATATACTTCTATAAAAAGTTGCATTTCTTAGGAGATGTAGGTGAGCAGCTGTTATCTCTCCCTCGAAATTCAATACAGTTTTGAAGTTTTATTTCAAAATTGGATATCTCGACCAGGGAAGTTGAAAAAAGGTCCCTTGAACTTATTAGTGCTTGACTAAGCTCGAAAATACTGCTTCCCAATTACAGCACATTAGAGAGTCTTGATTTAAATGCTAGATTAATTTAACTATTAAACATATTTAACTTGAATGGACAAGAAAAACTGAACGAAATTTATTTCGAATGTCTAGTGAAGCTGATAGGGATTTATCGATAAATTACATGATGATAAAATATTTCATGGTATCTCCTAGGTACTGTTTTTTTCTATAATGTAAAGGACATACCTACCCTCTCGCCTTTTTTGCCAGGTCTGCCAGGGAATCCGTCAAGACCTCTTGGACCCTATATATCATCAATAAATTCAAAAATATATTGCCTATATCCATTTTTTTAGGACAAAACTCTTGATACTAGCTACAAATTTAGCTACACGATATTCAGAGACATCCCACCCTGCACTCCAAATTATCATTCCGTCCCTATTATTAATTCGAAGCTTTCATAGGGCATAAACATGTACATTATGTATATCGAAAAAGAGTTGCATTTCTTTAATCTGTGCCATCCATTATTGTAAAAAAGCTGTGACACAAAAACCATGCACGCTTAACAAAGTTTTCATAGTTTAGCAACTCTTCAAATCAGTGCTTTGAAAACAGCAAAATTGGCGTTTCATAAGATGGCCTCAGAGAAAATCTGAACCCTTAAAGAATTGAGCGAGAAGCATCATACAAAGCAGAAAACATACTGGTAATCCTCGCAGACCAGGAAGGCCAGCCTGACCAGTTGCCCCTCTAGGACCCTAAGAATTAAAGCAAAACCTTTGAAAGCATTCCACAGTTTAACAAACTTCAAAGCCATTATATATGGAATAGCCTTGTTATCATTAGCGCAAACTGCATGAATGAATCATTTTAAAGTCTCAACCTACAAACTATAATTGACAGTTTAATGGTTCGTTGGTCACTAAGTGATCAGAAACTGTGTCTCGGTTTTTTTAGACTTAAGCTGCAACGATAGATAATCAATTGGTTTCGAAAGTCATCTTTAAATTTAACGGCAATAGAAAAATTAAATAATCAACAATCGGCTTTGAACGACATTGACGACACAACACTAATGCTGCAAATTATCTTTTCACTGAAATTACATATGTAATACCCATTTTAAACAAACTATGAGTTATAACAATTTCAAATAGACTATGAAGCATAAAGAATTAGCACTGCTCAACTCAACATGAGCTATAACCAAACTATGATGAATATTTATTTTCCTTAACGAATACCACCGAACAAAAAACTATTGGTTGCAGGGCTTCTTTGTGGAACAAGTCGAACATACCCAGTTCGAGATTTTCTACTAGTACCCCCAAAACAAAGTGTAAACATGCTATTGGCAGGAATTGGCGCAAGTCAAGAGCTCGGTTCTGGTTTTTACCTGTCTACCGTCTTCACCAAGATCACCTTGTGGTCCTGCTTCTCCTTTGTATCCCTGTCGGCAAAAGCAAGACATATAATTGATAAAGAAAACCACGGACACTGGAGCATTTCTAGAATACAATTTTGAGTGGATATGTCTACGACAACAGTCTTGAGAAATCGATAAAAATTCAGGGCTGCTTTTCTTAAAACCTACGGCGATTAAAGTTTTAAGATTTCGGTGTCATATTTTCAAGAGAAATGTGCAGCAATCTTCAGCAACCAACTACAGTAATTATTCAATTATCCGACCCACGATTTATCCGGACCTCGATTATCCGGTCCGTAAGAAATGTAAAAAACCTTAGGAAACATTTTCGGCATTTTTGGTAATATATCGGGTGCGCTTTACTTGCTTTCTATTTGAAATATTTTATGAGTATTTTCAGAGTATTGGGTCACTAAATTGTAATGCTTGCTTAGAAATAAAGATTCACAACACTCGTCTTTTTTATCTATGCTTTTTTCTGCCGTTATTCCTATATTTTCAATTATCCGGAATTTCGGATTGTCTGCACGAATCTTGAAATCCCGTGTCCCGAGAAGACCGGATAATTGAATAAGTACAGTATCACAATAAAATAGGCAATAGGCTCTAACTGAATTGAAGCTCTAGATAAACGAAGTATAGATAATACTTAGATGACATTTGTACAAGCAGACCTTCCTTTCAACATCGGGAAATATACTTGAGGAAAGTAAAAAGTCACATTCAATGAAAGCGTTGATAGATTTCTAACTCTGTAGTGATGTTCCTGAACAGAACACAAGAAAAACTAAGCCAACCCATAACAATCTTGGTTTTTTTAGGTTAAATTCCGGCGTCATAGAGAGCGAAGATGGCTGTGTGTTCAAGGGCCTAAGCCGCTTAGCTTTTGCAAGAAAACGTGAATGCCATAAATATATTTCAGTAAACAAACCTTCAGCCAGGTTAGACTTCTGGGCAGGAAATAGACAAAAAATTTCCACTTACAAGAAAATTTTATTAAATAAGAGGAGTTTGTTTGAGAAAGTGAAGATTATGGCGTTGGTTTGAGAATTAAGGTGTTTAAATAGAAAATATTAGTTCAAAGAATGGTTAGATCATAACCAAGTTAAAATCTACCCATATACTAACCCTGGGGCCGGATGGTCCCCTGTCACCTTTCTGTCCTGTTGGCCCTGGGGGTCCCTTTGAAAAAAGAGGGAAAATGAAAGTCATCGAATTCTGCTCGAAAAAAAGACTGCATTCAGCTAATTCTACAAAAAATAATGGTATTAACTATTTTTTATAACTAAATCAGCAGTAAAAAGCAAAATTACTTACGACAATTTTCATAACTGGCGCGGAACAGTTTTTCTTTAGCCTTTCACTGGAATGACCAGTTATGTTAACCTTGAAAAGTAAAGTTTAATTGGGTAAGGCAAGTTAGGATTAGAAACCGCACACAGCACAACATTGAAGTTCAGCCCAGTCATGATAACTAGTGCAACAGGGCAGCAGAGACCCCGAAAGTCCAGCTCCACTTTATACATAGGGGCTCTGTCTAGAGCACAAAATCAAGTTTCAGCCCAGTCACGATAACTAGTGCAACAGGGCAGCAGAGACCCCGAAATTCCAGCTCCACTTTATACATAGGGGCTCTGTCTAGAGCACAAAATCAAGTTTCAGCCCAGTCATGATAACTAGTGCAACAGGGCAGCAGAGACCCCGAAATTCCAGCTCCACTTTATACATCGGGGCTCTCTCTAGAGCACAAATTCAAGTTTCAGCCCATTCACGATAAAAGATGGGAAGTAGAGACCCTTAAAGCTCTTTGTGAAAGCTTTAGGCAAATGAATAAAATTTTTTTCAAGGTCGATAAATTCTTAAGAGCATTCACCACAGCACAACTTATGTTTTTTTAGGTACACAAGTCCTTCTAACTTTGCGAATATTGGCTTTCTTCAGTGCCTATTTTGGTCCCAAAATACCTGCAATCTAGTTTCTTGACATATTTGCACTTTGATCAAATGAAAATTTTTTTCTGTGTTTATTTATGACTGACATCTACATTCTTTCTTTAAGAACAATTTTATAGGGATCCTCAAAATTGATCAAAATTTAAGAACAAATTAAGAACATGCTGAGGCTGAGCTACAGTAAAATGTAATTTTAAACAACGTTTCATCTCAGTAACGAGGAATTTTTGCCATTTATGGGTGCTTTTTCGGTGAATTTTCAAACTTGTAGGCAAATGAAGGCTGTCTCAGTCACTTTGTAGGCAAATGAGGCCTGGACACCTTCATGTAGCGAAAAAGCTAGCAATTGCGCTGCTTACACCCTATTGATTTAAGATCCAACCTCGAATTTTCGAAAAAATTTAGAACAGTCAGCCTGAACTTAAATTTTCTGGTTCTTATAATAAAAAGAGTACAGTTGTTAATACCAATAAAGTTTTAGATATTTGATATCGTTGCAACGGTAACGATATGGAGAAACATGCAAAACCTTTATAATCAGTATTCATTTCATAATAAGTTTACTCGAGTCCAGGCTAACGTTTTTAAATTTCTTCACCATAAAATTAATGATTCATGATTTTGCATGAAAAGGGTCGAAACTAGGATCACCGCTTGCCATAGCTAAAAAGGAAAATACAAAACATATGAAAAGCCATCAAGCAGATCTAAAAACATTCCTCATCTCAAAATCAAGGCTTTACACTTTTCTTACATACTTAACAGAAAAACCGTGGGTATCTCATAGTTGGACACAGCAAAGCAGTAGCAAATATGCAATGCTGTGTGCAGAAAAAATAAGATGAAAAAATTAATTATAAATTTATGTGTCATAGATATAATAGATCAATAATAAATCAAATCCTCTGAAATGAAGAGCTCCTCGCAAAGCCTCTAAAAACTCCAGTCGTAAAAGCTTCGTAGAGATCAAGATGCCCCACTGTGTTGGAGCAAGACCTTTTGTTTAAGCGACCTGATCTTTTCAATAGACTGTAACTAATAGATTCCATTACTTTGACTGGAAATCACTATTAATTAAACAGTGTTTTCTAGCTCTCACTGAATTTGTGAAATAAGCATTGCAGTTGGGATAAACTATGTGTGCTTTGGATAACCTTCACATGACCACTACAATAACTACTGCTGGCAATACTTATGTTTTAAGCCTTGTACTCACCAAATCATTCCCACGCAACGAGTCTGATGTTCTCTTGGACTTCTGTTGCCATTTTCCAATTCTTTTTTCTATACAATACTGCAAGCCATGCTGCGGATCAGGACTAAACTCGAAATTTTCGACCTTAAAAACAAAAGACTTTGCTCTTGCCAATAGTACAGCAAAAAACTTATCATTGCGTGACAAATAGGCCATGTCTCAGACATAAATAGTATCATCAGTGTACTTTTTGTGATGTAATCCTATGATTTTTAAACTGCCTTTACGTAATCAAAAGTAAATCACAAACGTTCCCTGTTGACAAAAAGGCGTTTTCTATATGTAAAATGGAGATGGCCTAAATGTATATTTAATACCCCAAGGGCTTAGTGGCTGGCGCCGCCATTGGCGCACAGAACCGTTCAGGGGGAAAGAATGCGTATTCTTCGCCTTCGTGCGCCCTCGATTGCACCTTTACAGCGGTTCCGAACATTGATATGGAGAAACCAAAAGGGCCATTTGGAAAACACCAAAAAAAAAACACAATATATTATTGCATAAAAGCAGGGCCGAAAATTTTACCGCCTTTTTGTCGACCCACCTGGATTATTTGTGACCCAACATGGTAAGGAGGTGTGATGCTGGATAAATCTGAGCCATGAAATCATGCTGTCATTTCATATTGGTTTGAAACGTAACAAGAAAACATTTAGTTTCACCTAAACTGAGTTGGATTTGCTCTCTGAAGAAATCCTTAAGGTGGATAAATATGTGGTCTTCATTCGATCAACAAGTCTTTAAAAATAGGATATCACCAAACTATCAAAGTAGAATTGAGTAAAGATGTATTATCATGATCTGAGATTGAATGAAGGCATCTTTTATTCCTTCCATGCTGCAAAAACTATTTTAACAAGAAAACGCTCTATATTCTTCACGGTCACCAACAACACTGTCAGATACTGTTTCCCGCTTTGGTCTATTAAGATAAAAACATACTTTGATTCTACTGTTATAGTATGGCATAGTAATACATTTATATTCTGCCTATAAAGAAACTACCTTATTCAACTGCTGTGCTCCAACAGATAATGACCCTGCCACCTCCATCAAAGTCGGAAAATCACTTGGCTTGTCCATACTTACGAACTTCTCACAGTTAATAGAAACACTAGTTTGGTTATCGCTCACAATCAGAACAAGGCGGAACCTCGTTTTCAGCGGGATACTCATATTGAAATTGATCGTTCGAAATGAGCCATTGCTACTTCTGTAGTTCAAATTCACCTTTGAACCAAGCTTTGCTCCCAAAAAGACCGACTTTTTTGAATTAGTCAGGCTAAAGATATGCTGATCAGAATGTGTCTTCATTTTAATCACCAACATTACAGAAAACTTTAATGGCCATGTTGAAGCTGTCCCGAGGCTACGGAGCTCTAAAAAAGGAAAATTGGCTTGCGTGAATAAATACTGCAAATGAATAAGTCCATTGCCGAAACAAAAAGCAAGGGCTTCTAAATTCTATGATAAAATATACAACTTTAAACAATATTAATAAATCTATTTAATAACATAACTATTGATTTGTTACATTTAGTCGATTGCAGCTAATGTAAAAAAAGACAATATCAGATAACTTCAAAGGTTTTATTCAAGCAAAAAAGACTTCAAATACAGAAGTTCCAATTAACTTTATCTACTTAATTAACATTTCATGAAATATAGCGTTAAGGGAATATCTCACATTAATAATTATTCTAATTGACTCGTAACAATATATACAAAAAAGGGACGATTAGGTTATCTTTCATAATGCCGCAATAGGTCATAGATGCGAAGATTCATCGATATCTCATAGGCAGTTAAATTTCTACTCGAATTCAAAGCTTCCATGAAACACCGCATGGAGTAAATATCGCATGACAGGCAAGAAGATGGTTTTGTGGTCATTCAGCAGTTAGAAGTATATTGAAATTTTCATATAGATATTTCCAAAATTAAAAAAAAACGTTCATTGCTTTCTCCTCGATTGATTAAGCAAAGGTTACTTAAACAAAATATTCACAATACTGTTATCCTTCCTTCTGAAATCCGCGTGCTGAAACTAAACAGAGTTTCTGTTCCTAACAATAAGACTATCAGCAATGATCGCGGTCTAAAAGGATAAGATTTAAAAGATGAAAAGCTTTTCAGATCTGTGAAAATAGGTTAAACTTTAGGGCAACTTGTATTTCCGTTCCATCAGCTGATAACATATCACCTCTGAGCCACAAAATAAGCTGCTATTTTATCACATTCTTCCATTTTGCGTTCCCTTATAAAGACAGAACCATGACAGGGGTCTGATCTTTCCCATGCGAAACGAAGTTTCTTTAAAATTACTTGAAAGACCTACTAAATAAATTGAAAGAGGAAGCCTACAAAGACATCATTCCGTTCATAGTCAATACCTGCAATTTAAAGGAATCCAACCTTTGCAGAACTCTAACCTCTTCCAAAGTGACTTAAAACCTCCGTAAATGTGCATATTTAGCCGGATTAATTCTCTTACTTGTTCCAGAAAAATATTAAATAGAAGCTGATTTGGGCGAGGTGCAAGTTGATCCGTGGCCCATTCATTCTTTGGCATTAACAAGCTACAAAATGCCAAAATAAAAGTGAATATATGAATACGAGTTTGTACAGCCCAGAATTCGTCCAACAAATAATAGGCTTCTTCGTGAAGAGGGCCTAAGTTACCTGCAATCTCTCTGAGTTTTAACAACGGAGCTGAGCCCCCAAAGCCTTCCTCACTGCTACAATGAACCAAAATTCTATAATCATGCTGTCGGTGACAAACAATAACAAAGGAGAAGTCTAAAATTTCTCTTTTTAAACATGACATCGTCAGTTACGAATAGTTAGATGACGAGAAGTTTTAAAACCAACCCTTAATTAAAAAAGGCCTTCCGATATTTTGAATGTTATGCCAAACGAGGACCCCGAAACATGAAATTAGTGCTCTTACGAACAAATAGTACTATTGATCCAATTTAGAAAATGTTGTCCTTCCGAACAGGGAATTGCAATTTAGCAACCTTTTTTAATATGATTTTTTAAACTCACCACCAACTTCCAAAACCACTTCAAACGGCCCTTTGAAAGAAACATAATGGGAACCCGACTAACCGAAATTCTGCCTATATTAGGAAATTGGAAGTTACTACAGCATATATCTTAAAGTTTCATTAAACCATAAGGAGTTCGCAAAATCACTAACAATCAAGAACCCCTGAAGATCACTGATCCAATTAAAATTAAAAAAGCTTTTATAAAGAAAAAGAATTATTTTTTACATAAGCATAAAACAAAGAAATATTGCGAATATTCCTTACATTTAAAAAACAAACGGTGACATTCTGAGTAATAAATCACCCTTTCTAAAAGTCCTTCAAAATCACTCGGCACTTGGCAAAGGACAAAGCAATCCTCCACAGGGAATCGCACTTAATTACATTTGGTCCAGATATCTGGGCACTTGGTACAAACGGACCAATTATATTTATTATTGCTCATTATACATGAGGAAACAATGCTACACAGCCCCTTGCAGTGAATGACATTAGGTCCAGATATCTGGACACTTAGCTCATTAGAGACAGGTCAATCATAGTTGCTCATTAACAACGTCTCAATTGCAGTTATTTGGCAAATTCATTTATTGATTGAGGCTTGGAGGATTCACTTACTTATAATCCCTACAGTAAAGCCTGGTTTCCATACAGCTCTTTCATGTCTTTTCTAGTTCTTTCTAGTCTTTTCTAGTCTTTCCAGAGTACGAAAGACAAGGAAAGAGCCGTGTCTTTTCTGGTCTTTAGCCTAGTTTCCATTCAGCTCTTTCTTGTCTTTACAAGTCTTTTCTCGCCTTTGTCTGCCTTTGTCCCCTCTGGCCTCTGGTTGTTTTGTTGTGTTTCTTTTGCAATCCTTTTGGCGCGTATTTGAAAGTCGTATCAATAATGGCTGCCATAAACAGAAGATTTTTATTGGAAGCAACTTTGTTTGTCCTGATGGCAATCATACGTCAAAGAAGCCAGAAAGTTAGAAGAAAGAAGCAATTATCTTTTTATACTTGTCTTTGAAGTCTATGCTGTATTTGTTAAACAGGCAATCATACATTTCAACTTCTGACATTAATTTGGCATCAGGCTCAGATTCATGCGCGCTTTCGGCCATGTTTCTTTCTAAAGAATATGTGCGCAAGGGATCATGGGACAGCTCTTTCTGGTCTTCGTATATCTTTGATCTGTTTCCATTAATTTTTCTGTCTTTTCTAGCCTTTCTTGACACGTTTCTGGTCTTTGAGATAGAATGAAATCTATCTCAAAGACAAGGAAAGACACCGCTCTTCTGTGTCTTTTCTTGTATTTTCTTTCCTTTTCTAGTCTTTAGAGGTTGTTTCCATTCAGTCTTTCCTTGTCTTTCGTACTCAAGAAAGACTAGAAAAGACAAGAAAAGACAAGAAAGAGCTGTATGGAAACCAGGCTTAACAAGGCTCCAACATTAAACCCAATCGTTAGGCTGCGCTGACGAAGCACAGGAATCTAGATGGATCTCATATATCCAGTATCGAGTAGATTTGTTAGGGTACAGCTTAGATGCATTAAAGAACACCTACGCGGCGCATACGGTCCACACGAAGCTCCTATTTTTTTATTCAAAATAATGACTGCATTGTACCTTATTCAGATTTTTGAATCAAAGGGGGCAATCTTTTTCAATGAGATTTTTTAAACTCACCACCAATTTCCAAAACTACTTCAAACTCCCTCACTCAGGGCCTTGGAGTGAATGACATTAGGTCCAGATATCTGGGCATTTGGCTCACTAGAGACATGTCAACCATAATTACTCATTGACATCGACTCAATCAGAGATAACTGAATTGCAACAGTCTTTCTGCGTACATTTGAACATTGTGACCTCCAACTAAGATCGATTTCACAGGTACAGTAGAACATGTCATCCTTGAGCAAACACAGCAATGAATTACAACTTTGAACAACCTTCTTATTTATAGTTATTGATATTCAATTGCCTTGGTATGCATCGAAGACTAGGCCTTTCTTGGAGAACCCGCCAGGGCGGTAAGAGCGGGTGATGTAGAATGTTGTCGTTTCCAACAGTGGAATTTAGCAACGTGATTATTATGAGATACTCTTAACTAAATACTGATTTCGAAAAGCACCTCCAATAGCCTCTTATAAGGTCCCGAACCATTGCTACTAAGAAACGATAAATTAGCCAACTAACCGAGATTCTACCTCCAGTATTAGCAAATTCCAAGGAACGAGAACATATATCTTCATGTTTTATCCAATCATTATGGCTTTGCAAAATCACTAACTCTTCAAGATCACTAAATCATTGCAAAATCTTCAAGATCAAACATTGAATACACAATCTAAAGAGCCTTTATATCATACAAAATTATTTTTCTCAATGGAGCATAATACAAAGAAATGTTGCGATTCGCGAATATTTCCTACATTTAAAAAAGAACAAACGGTGACATTCTGAGTAATAAACCACCCTCTCTAAAAAGCCTCTCAAAATGTATGGGCACTTGGCAAAGGACAAAGCAATGCTCCACAGCGATTCGCACTTGATTACATTTGGTCTAGGTATCTGGGCACTTGGCACAGACAAAGGCATTATATTTACTTGGCACGGACAAAGGCATTATATTTATTATCCCTCAACATAAACAATGCTACAATTTACCAGATATAGTAGAACATTTCATTCTTGGCCAAATATATATCAATAAATTAAACTTTTGAGTTACGTTCTTATTTATAGCGATTGACAATTTTTGCCTTCATATGGAAGGAAGCCAGATTTAGCCTTTTTTGGAGAGCCCGCCAAGGCGGGTTCTTGCAAGCCCCTCTAGCCCGAGACTTTCCTCTCTTGAAGAGCCCGCTAACGCGGGTTCTTGGGTGGACCGCCCTCCCGCGACACGACGAGCCAGTGACCCCCAAGCCCCCCAACCCGAGGTGCAAATTAGCAAAAAACGAACAAACGCCATCCCCAACACACAAAACCCCCCTCACACAAAACCCCCCTCACACAAAACCCCCCTCACACAAAACCTTAACATACACAACCTGCCCCCCGCAGAGGCGTGGTTCCCGCACAAAAGAGGCTTCCACCAGAAAGGGGCTGTGGTGTGGTCCCTCGCAGAGACTGCGAGAACCACGTCCTCTGCCATCACAAAATTCTTCCTCAAAAAAATGTGCAAAAAACCCAAGTCCACCCAAGAATCAAACCCTAATGAATCACAAGTAGAATAAAAAATGCCTTATGACTTTTAATTTTCAGAGTGTATTCAATTACCCCTGAAAAACTAGTTTCCGTTTAAGTGAACTGGTTGGTATATGACAGGCAAGGATAGAACGAAACACGGAAAACCTTCCCCTAAGTCGTAGTCCTATCTATTTGTACGAATTTCCACAAGAATGGCGGCCTACTTCAAACCATGTCCCTGGTTCCCTGTGTCCCTAAATCCTTTGGTACTTCCAAACATTCATTTCAATTAATGCTATTGCTATCCAACTATTGATCAGTCGCAGATCAAGAGAGTAGGCTTGAAGGTGATTTTTATTGTTATCTTAAGAGTACTGACGATTATGGCGAAAGTAAACAAAATTTACTCCTGGCTATTGCGAATGGAAATGTTTTCATTTAAAATCCCCCCATACCCGGTCGAGTTATTGAATAGTTCGCGGTTATTCTTCAAATAGTAATACGTTTAAAAATGTTGTGAAAAACGACGCAGTATACAAAGCGATTTGCGCGGTAGCAAACGAAGCGGCTTGATAGCCCTTATGACTCCCGAAGTTACTAGAAATAACTTTGACATTCAAGGCATAAACTTGTTTGTGTTATGTGAGAGCGGCGGTAGAATTAACTCCAAGATTTATGAATGCCGTCTTTCAGAGTATATGATAATGGGCATAAACAGGGCATCAATGCTTCGGGGTGCGGAGGACTTTGTATTCCAAAAACCCCTCAAGAAACGAGCGCAATCTTTCTTAATTTGGCTTAAAGGTCAACATTTGACTTGTTGCCTACGATTGTTGGTCTTCTATGATTAAAAGACGCGGCAATATTTAGATTGAGTTTTTCCATTGATGTCTGACGATCTTCAAAATTTTCTCGTTGCCCACTTTCTATGCTGTTTGTATTGGAAGGTACAAATCATCTTTAAAATAATTCATGTTTACGAAACGAAAACAACTATTTGTGCATAGCCATGTACATGTCGTAATTATCTGCATTTAAAGAAAACGCGTCGCTGAGCAAAACATCAATTTTTTCAGTGCTTCAACCCTTTCAACCTCTTAGTCAAGACCATTTGTCTTCCACATTTAATAATATGATGATGAAAATATTTCAAAGACAATCATCAAAACACTCTTCGCAAACAACCATTGGCGAAGAGTGTTGAAATTTCGGAACTTCGGATCCTTTGCATATACAATTAACTTGGCGCTGACAAATGAAGTACACACTTAGTGATTAATGTCACTATACTATTTTATAATACAATCAAATTGATGATCCTCGAAAATGCTTGAAAACAAGACAAGCAAATGGAAGGAAGCTTGGACGGGAAAACAAGATTCCCAATTTGTCACAAATCTTGTCAACGAAGTTCAACAACCATAATGATTGATGATAGCCAAAAAGAGAAGTGACAAGACGACAAGAATGCAGCACGCCTACACCTTCATATTTGCAAAAAGCTTGGTTCTCACGAGCGAAAAAAGCAGAAGCGCAATCTTCTCTTGCGTTTGTGAGAATCGTCAGGTCAAAACACAAAAAGTTTGTAAAGGAAATGCAATAATTTGTTGAACTCTTCAATAAGTTACTGTGAAAAATTTTGGAGCGGTCGTTATATCTCCAAACATGGTCCTCACTAGTGATGCCAGAACAAACAAACGCAAGCAAAGATCTGATGCGCTTATGGGGACGGTTAAGGTACAGACATAAGGCTAAGCTCTACACTCTACAGCACTTGCGCCTGCGCTTCGCGTGCCCTTACAGAAGAAATTACCTTCAAATGGCCAAATGCGTAAGAAGAAAGGAAAGTTGTGGTATCCCTGTGCTTATGCTCATGTCGGGCCCGACCTTACCTGCCCATAACGCCCCCTGCTTTGAGTGCAGCCGGGCCAGGTATGATGCGCAGCAGTACCGACTGGATGGAACTAATCGCGGTTGGCAAGGACATCCTTATTAATCGCAAAAAGTTCCCGGGAGGGAGAGGCGTTCCTAGTCAAAACTACGGCAGCAGGCTCGACAATTTCATAATTGCATTTTAATTGAGAAAATATTTTTTAAGGATTCTGTGAAAATATTGTCTGGGCGATAGGTATGGGTAATAATAAATAAATCATAAAGATAACAGTAGCTAGGATGCTTGCAGACTGTCTCCCAGTTATTTCTTTTATCTTATATCGGCAAATATTAAGATCGACTGGCTTTGGTATCTTATGATACTGCTGTTCTTTGGTAAATATTCTGGAGCTTTCGGATAATAGTATTTTGTCCAGCCCCCTCCCCTCTTGCGCCCTCCTCCACGAGAAACCCTGTACAAGCAACATTGAAAAATGATTGAATTATTATAAGAGCACCGTTCACAGTCAATGTTCCTCTGTAGCACGGGAGGATGCGAACTATATGTCACTTTGTTTTGTTGATTGGTGGAAATTTAACATATATAAAACAACACTTTGCTTATTAAAAACAAGCACAAAATCCAATATATTCGATTAAAAACCTGCATGCGGTCATGAGGGACTAAATAATTGTTAATCAAAGCAATACAATGTAAAAGAATCAAGATAAACATACCCTTTGATCTCCGTACGGGCTCCGTCTTGCAAGATATCGGCGATGATAGCAGGGCAAGAAAGACGCCATATAACAGTAGATTCCAACTGAACAGGTCATTACATCGAATCTGAGAGACTTTAGATAAATGGGCAGAAATAAAATTTTGCTCCATTGCTCACACAGCGTTCCTTGTCAGGGCATGTCATCCATGAAATATATCCAAGTGCCTTATCAGTGCATAATTAATCACAGTGAACCAGTGCCTGAAGACCTCGTTCACTGGACCAGTAAACAAAAATTAATGGTTTCAGTTTAGACGAAGCTAGTTCAGTGTTATTCGACATTATCCTAAGGGTAAAACCACATCGAAGTCACGCTGGGAACTTCCGGTATTAACAAACGCAGACCACGCAGGACAAAGTCTGTGTTGCAGTTGTAAATTTGAGGTGTTCCTTCGTAGCGCTCTATACTCCGTCAAATTCATTCAACCACTGCTTGGGCAATTACAGGCAAGTCTTTGTACAAAACAAGTGTGGATGGCAATAAATTCTAAGTATGATTTTTATAATGTTACCTCTTGACGTGACAACTTATTCACTTTAAACCCATTACATGGCATTCGGATTTCAACGGAAAATCATAACCTGATGATAGATATTTGGTTGTTCTATACATTGCCTCTCTCTAAATTCGAGAGAGAGACAAATGCTCGTATTCCAGGCATGGATCTTTTCTAAACAAATCTTGGTATCAGTTTAATCTCCTTCGTTGATCATTCCTTACGAACAGTCAGCCTAATCACTTGGAGAGTCCTTCCCATTCGCGGTCGCATCACCCCATTATTTTTTCTCAAGGGGTGCAGTGGAGGTTAAAATTTAAGGGACTTAGAAATGAATGCTCTGTCTATATAAGTATATGTCTATATGAGTAGCTTATAAGCCCCCTTTCAGTTAAGCCCTGTTCTGTTGCGCCCATGTTTTGTTGCACCTCTGTTTTGTTGCGCCCCTTGTTCTGTTGCGCCCCTTGTTCTGTTGCACCTCTGATACAGCGCCCACGCCACCAGGGGGGGGGGCAGAGGGGCCATGGCTTCCCACTTTTTTGCAAAGCAAGTAGTTTTAAAGCTGCAGGAAAGGGGGGAAAAGCCTTGGCCCTCTACTTTTGCTAGCCTTCCCCCCCCCACTTTCAAATTCGTAGCGTGGGCCCTGCTATATCATCTAAAAAACTAAGCAACTATTCACTGTTCTTGGTTATGTTGGAAAATGATTTCTCAATTTTTTTATCAAACATTTGTGCAACCCTCTCACCTTCTATTGTTAGAACCAGAGAGATTTGAAAAGGATGTGAAAAGTTGTTGAGAATAATACTTCCACAACCGGGAACAGGCATTACAACCGGGAACAGGCATTTCCCCAAGACGAACAAATTAACCATTGTTGATACTCTTTTCAATTCTGTTTGGGTTAACTCAAATTATAGCTGATTATGGTAAGCTCTAATTATTTTTACACTTGCTTTATACTTGCTAAGCTACGCAGGCAGACTCATTTCTGTAATAAAAAGGCCTTTCATACACCATAAAACTTTGAATTTACGCACATGACAAAGAAATCCTCCCCTGAATCAATGCCTTTTCAGAAAAAGTTGATTTCTTTTTTCACGTTCCCTAACGATAATCAATGGAACAGTCTTAATTTCTGACAAGGTGATGAAAGTATCAAGTCAGTTTTCCCATCATGACGATCTAAGCATTTCAATATTTTCATTTTCTTTTCGATGCATATTCAAAATCGTTATCAGCATCTTTGTATGAACTATCTTGACATCAAAAACCACCTAGACCAGCCTCTATCTTCGCTGGTGGGCGTGACAGCATCCCAATAACCTTTTCGCCAAAAAGAACTTCAACCTGGATTGATGTACGCTTTAATTAAAAAAAAACAATTCAAACTCCTTTGGTCCCGTTAACATACGATATTTCAAAGTTACCTGCAATTTTGAGTCGCTACAAACAAGAACATAAAACCTCCAGGCAGTTCTTCCATATTAATTAAAATTTAATTTAAAAAGGTTTTTTAATGAATTGATGCTAAATGTTGCAACATATAAGATTGCAACGGTAACTGCATCAATCGCTTCCGCCAGACAAAAATTTACTCAACTTAAATGCGAAGAGGAAAAATATATTTGTAAGAGTTCCATAAACCTATCTAAGAGGTACGGTCAGACTGTTCTAAATGCAGAGAGTCTATTTCTCAGGAGCAAATAGCTGAATTACGCATTTGTTTCTTAATCGAAATTGGAAATACCCAATTGTATTTGCAACTTAAAGCGTGGAAAGATTGTGCAAAACTAGTTCATGGGGTCTCAAAGCATGGATGAAAACTTTCAAGACATCAACTTGAAAGACAATGAATGGTTCGCTGGCGAAATTACCAAATGTTATCCTGCGGTTATAATTGAATTATTTATATCAGCCTTGATTAAGTTCCTTGGTTACAAAAAATATCATTCGTAGAGGACTCTCTATTTTGAAAACAATCTTCTTATTTCGGTTTGAATCTATAAAAATACGCATGCTTTCCAAGTAGAAAACATAAAAGAAAAAACAAGCGCCAAGTTTGGATAAATTTTCTTTTGGAAGGCTGGACAGCCGAAAAATATAAAAAACTTAAGAATTCTGAAATTTTCCAGTTTCTTAAGAAATCTTGTTTCTTAGCATAAATTCGCCGAACAAAACAAATATTAAAAGGAACTTTCTAAAAACAAACAGCGATAATGATACAGAGATAATAGGATATGGTATCAAGTATGAAAGTTTTTGCTATGCCATTCTTTCTATTTGATCAGAGTTCCTTATAAAACATTGGTCAACCTTTTTCCTCAGTTATAAGAAACTGGACGGTCTGATTCGAAAACTGAGTTCTTTGTTTGCGGGTTTCGACTTTTTAGAGAGAGTTGAGAGAGAAAACGAAGGAGCAGAAATGGATGGATAGAAAACGAAGGAGCAGAGACGGATGGATGTTACCCTGCATGCAGATTCTAACCCCTACAAAAGATTCTGTATTTATATCTGTATATGATAACGCCTTTTAGTTCGTACATATTTGATAGGAACCATTTTCCTACTCGTATAATAGCTCATTATTGCTAACACAACTATTAACCAAAAGGCTTTCTGAAACACCATTTATACTTTAATTGCAGTTTCTTTTTTGTCACTTTTACCATTCTGTAATATTCTACCAATGTGCTTTTGACTGGACGAGTGGTTGAAACTAGAAGTCTGTGCCTTCTAGCAATTCTCTCATTTTGTGATTGGCACAGGAAAATAGTTAAACATCAGAAAAAAACATAATTCGGGTGATGATAAAAAACTGCAATCGACCAAAGAAAGAGCTGCAATTGAACTCACGGAAAAATTATGGTCATAGTCAAGGGTCCGGCAAAGGAGATAAATGCTCACGAAGCCACAAACAGGCAATACTTTTTAACTTGCTTTCAACCAAAAAACCACTTCACAAGAAAACAATAGAAGGAAGAAAGAGTGACGATTGGTATTATGTTACCACACTCATTAAGCTCTTAAGTCTAACTGAATAGCTTAAAACATGAAATCTCCACTTGCAATGATGGAAAGGAGATCCACATATGGAACGTGTGTAATGACTTCCACGTGTGGATTATAGAAAAGGATATCTATATTCTAACATGCGACATATTCAAGCTTGACTGTTCCATGTATTACAGATAGCCAATCAACCCACATTTTTCACTCAAAAAAAGAGAATCGCCTCTGGATACTTATCCTAAGCGCTTGCAAGAATAAAAAAGGCCACTCTTTACTGAATGTTGTTTGCCACTCTTTACTGAATGAATTCCAGCATGTTTTAATAACACAAACGTCGTGAAACCCAGGGATTTATAAGGAAGATGAAAGAGTAACGTGGAAGTGTAGATAAGGCAGAAATTTCCAGTTGTTTATAGAAATACAATTTACATGATTTAAGATCACACTTTGCCAAAAATTGGTACAAAATAATTTGAAGCATCTATTAATGAAGATTGCTAGCTAATTCATTCAAGAAATGAAGAGATTAAGTCCTTATCTGAAATTTTCCAGCTTTTGTCATGTATTTCACTCCCTTGAATGGTTTATACTTCTGCAAATCAAAGAAAAAGGAATCAAAAAAGCAATTCAACAATCAAGAAATTCTTGTAGGACTAAAAAATTAAGGCACGAATAATTATATGTAGATGCGCGTTTTCGATCTCGTTTTAGAGTTTGGAGCAAAGGCCTCGTTTTGCAAAAGTCTTTAACCAAATAAAGTTGAAAGGCAAGTGAAACAATGCATATTTTCAACATTAAATTACCATTGTTTAAATTAAAGTTTTTTATTCGGTAAATTTCATTTTCAGGAAAAGCTTCAAATGTTTGAGTTAGCAGCAAGCAAGAAAAGCTTGATAGAGTTTAAAATGTTTCCAGCTAACAACCTATATAGAAACTCCGAAGTAAAAATACGAAGTAGGTTTTCAGCGAAGCTTTCGAAAGTGGCAGGCCCGTAAAACCTACGGCGGAAAAAAGGACGAAAGTTTGCTTCAAAGCAGGTCCATATTGAATGAGTCACGGAATAGGACAAGTCGACTTTATCGCGTACGCGAATCAACTTTATCGCGCAAAACATTAATGTGATTCCACAGGATTACAAGCCAAGTTTTGAAATCTTAGAAGCAAGGTGGGATAAGGCCTCTAAGGATTACAAGGCAAGTTCAAAAACGTTACGAGCAAGATTACGCGAGGCCAGTTAGGATTACAAGCCAAAAACCTCTTGAGGTGAAGTTTGAGCAAGGATTTTGAAACTTGAAAATGCTAACCACCGATGTACTAAAAATTTCTGTAAATGATTAAGACATATTTAAACATATTGACGTTCTGTAAAATCTTTCATAAAAAACAGTTTTGTCGAAGTACAGCATGTCATAATCCAGAATTCTTGTTGCTTGTTTTAGCTAATTTTCATGAATTTTGTTGATTCGACGTTTAAAAAACTTTTAAATTTCAGCACTTTACAAAGTTTCAAAAACTGCAGTTTCCCTATTTTGTTTGCATCGATGCTTGCTATTTGCCTTTTCGTTTCCTTTCTAAGAATCACAATACACCAAACATCCTATTGTTTTCATGTCAATGTCATAAAATGGCCAGGAAATACAATCGCGGCAATTAGACAATACGAGCGCCCAGTAACCATATACCTAATTCATGGGTAACTGAAAAAAAATATGATACTTTAAGTGCCTACCTCTCCATAGACATCCAGTCTGCTCACCTTCAAACCTGACACAGCAAGAGTACTCACAGAAAAGGCTGCCTAAAAGGTAGCATAGCAATTAATTAAAAAATGAAATGCACGCAATCAGGTGTCACCTAAGTGTCCCTTGATACTGGCTTCACTTTCCATCGTACGCTGTGGCAGAAACAGACGTTTCATACAGGAAGGGACAAGTATCATTATTCTGAGAAAGCCTTGTATGCTGGGGCTAAGTTGTTTTATAGTACATCACTGACACGAGCATCTCATCCATACCTTCTGTAATACTGATAACACAAATTTAGTGCTAATATCACACACTATAGCAGTTTTTGAGTCCAAAATAAGAGAAGATGGATTCTTACTGTCACGATCGGAGCTTCATCTGGAGGCGGGACGCCTGTTTGAACAGATAACTAGAACAAAGAACGATCATAGCATAAGAATAATAATAAAGTTATTTGAATTAAATGGGGGGTGTTTTCTTGTACATTAAGGAGATCTATGCAATGGGTTGAAAAATTGCAACCCATAAAATTATTTTTTTGGATAAAAAACTCAAAAAACTATTTTTGGGGATAAATCAAAAAATTATTGTAACATAACAAATTTTTCAAAATCAATTTTGCTGTTTTTATTTCTTCTGTAAATCATATTTCCTTGAATTCAGAGATATTACAGCATTTCAAGGAATTAAAAAAAAAACAATTGAACAAGTGACTTTCTAAACCCAAAAAAGTACCCCGAGCATTTCTATCCCAAACTTACCACAGCTGAGGACGGACCTGTCAAAATCTCAAGCAATTTTCTTTTCAAGCAATTTAAAATCTCAAAATTAATTTCCAGAAAAATTGAATAACTTTCTTTTTCTCTCTTATCATGACACTATCTAATATAAATCAAATAATCGCTTTTACGTAAATAATTACGACTACTTTAATTGTTTATCTTACTCTGCTGGAGCTACATTCGGCTGTTATTGCAATGTTTTCATATTTGATTATCAAAGAGACAAAGATACAGTTTATAAAGAGTTTCAGTGACATACATTGCCGCGTAGAGTTACCGGCTGCTTTTGTGGCAAAATCTTTCCAACCTGCAGTAGAAAGCAAAATTAAATATATAAATATATAGGCTTTTAGTTTGTGATGCAAGAGAATCAAAATACTTTGTGTCCTATCCTTATTCGTTGCAGTTTGCCCCGTTGGTTCAAAGGTATCTTCGTTGCTTCTACGCAGATGGAAGCAGCAACTTCATCAAAGTGCTGGATTTCTTCACTTGATAACTGAAATATTACAGGTACAACGTCATCTAGATCTCTCATAGAGAAAAATAATCACGACTACGGTAGTCTAATACGGGATCAACTTCATAATCAACAATACCAAAAATTGGCAACTTCCCAAGATTACTGATAAATACGTTCATTTTAGAAATTACAAGCCGCACCGCACACAGAGGCTTGTAGATAAGAAAACGGTTCTCCTTTGGTCTAAATGTTCTTGTATAAACATTGATTTAGTAAAGGTATGATTTAATTGAAAACGTGCCTTGTAAAAAAAGTGGCGAACATACACTTCTATTTGGTGTTGCTAAGTAGTATTTTAAATTTCAAAACAGAAACGGGAATAAATCTACTGCATTTAAGAAGAAAAGTTAATAGGCCAGATTTAATCATCACTTACATCCCATTTGAGTTCCTTCTTAACAGGGTCGAAACTTACTTGACCACCTTGAAAGAGAAGATATAACATTTGGGTGCATTTCTGGTTTTATGACACTACTCTTATGTGCCAAATGAACGATCTATCTTTGAAAGCATTTATAAAAGAGGAGAAAAGAGATGAGGTTAGTGTTGAGCCGACTTAAACTATTGAAAACCTTAGCAAGAACAAGTGGGTTAAATAATTGTTGAGATTTTGTATAGATTCGAGAGGCTTTACGTTGAATGCTTCTTGCTATTTCAGAATCATAAATGACGGCTAATGAATACAGAATAACAACATGAGATCACTCTGTATGGAGGTTTGAGAAACAAACAAACAAATCTTTAGACAGCTTCAAAAGAATCGTTGTTTCCTCGCTTCGATCCTGCAGTTAACAAATTCGATAAAGCGACTCTGGTCCGTATTCCTTTCTCAGCACATTTTTAAAAAAAATTCATTAAAAAACACTACAAAAACAAAACTAGATAGCATTATTCAGCTAAAATGATATATTATGGCGCATCTTTCTTTGCCCATTCAGAAACAATTCGCTGTCGCGTATTGCCTTTTCCTTTCTGCACATCTTCTTTCTGTTCCAGTTTCATAGAGCATTTTTAAAATGTATCGATTTCAACACCGGAGCAATGCAGGTCTAACACAACAACAAGACCTTAGTAAATATGGCAACGGCATTAATAGCATCAATCAAGATGTTGCAGGCAACAAGGTATTAACCACAATAGCTGGCTTCAAAATATAGTTTTGCAAGTCGTACAACAAAAAGGTCACCTGATGGGGTCAGATTACAATTCAAAACCTGTTTCGGCATCTGCACAGTTATAACAACATTTTCAACCTAAAAAAGATAAATTTTCAGCCACATGATCCACAAAAATTACTTACAAAGAAATAAAAAGTACTTCGAATAGCTTTTGTAGAGTTCTATTTCCATACTATGAACTATGAATTGAACTATTAACTACATTTTTAAAAAGCTTTGACTATTTTTCTCATCCCTCCTGGAACAAAACAATTTATATTCTCTGCCAGGAAACGTGATATAAATTGACCACTATTATTTATTCTTCAGTTATTCATTAAATCGCATAGTGATAAAGTATTTTCCAGAAAAACCACAAGTATGAAAAAAATTCTACTTTCAAAAATATGTTGCTAGGAAATCTAATAATCTTTCACTTGAATCAGGTTCGGTGTTAGTCTGCGTAGAGACCCAAGAATTGTTGGAATTTTTCCGATATTTTCTAACAAAATTTAATTCACATATGTTTGCAATGAAAAGTAATCATAATATAGGGTAGTTGAGGCCTAGCATGACTAAAACTAGCGCGGAGAGACGCATTTTGTAACAGAACAAACCACATACAGTAATTGGACAAATTTTTCACTAATTTTTTTTCACTTCATTTCTCTAGAATTTTATCTGAGGTTTAGATAATTTAAAAGTTTACTTTCGCGTATATTGAACATACTGCTAGATTTCAATATACTAATTGCGTCGAAACGTGGTTTCAAAATGCGAATTTCAAATCTGGTTCAGATAAAGGAGCGTGACGTCATGAGCTGTGCAAAATGTGGCATAGTCAACAAATATGATCAAAACGATAATATAGTTAGCAAATTAACGATAAACATGATCTTAGTTCGAAATTCTAACCTTTTTTCATTAACTTAAAGAGAATATAAACGATGCAAATTAAAATTGTTTACAAATTTCATCTACCAACCGCTTTTCCCAAAGCCTGCTTCAATCCAACCGTCAATTCAAATCTACCACTGCTACCCTAAAAAAGAGCAGAAAGGGTTAAACTCACTACAGAGTGTTAGCGCACAGGTATCTGTAACGTGACCACTGCGGCATTACGCCTTGCAGGTGCATTTAACCACTCGATGGGGTCCCCAAAAGCCTAGCAACATACTGAGATATATATTCGATTAATGTGATTCATATTATAACATTTAACAAAAAACGCTATCTTCCTTACATTTCAATATAATGGATGCCCCCAACGTGGTGGAGTGATTTCCACAAGAATCACCGTAATGATTTCTAAACATCTGTTTTGGTATAGCATATTCAATCCACGCTAGAAATATTTGCAATTTTATGTTCGATCGATTAATGTAAAAATACGGTCCGGTGAATTCTTGCAAGGCATGTTCAACAGACTTCTAAATTGTTTCTACTTACCGAAATGAAAGATACGGATGGCCTTATGAAAATTGGAATTGAAATCATTCTGTAAACACAAAATTATGACGGGTAAATGATGATGTAATGACTTCTACATAATAACAAACGATATATCAAAGTAGTAGCGAAAACGTTAAAGTAATGATTGAAAAGAATTCAGTCAAGTTAACTATTGAGCTAACAATTAAATTTGATATCAGTTTTTATAAAATTCATGAAAGAATTTTCAGAACAGAATCATTACTTTATTTGATATACACAATACTTTCGGACATTGTCAAGAAACAGGAATTTACAATGTCACTTTGTTTGATATACTTTGGGACATTATCAAGAAACAGGAATTTAAGATGAACCAATCCAGATTGGATTATTAGATTAATTCTATAACCTTGGCGGACTAGTTGATTCTAGACCAAAAACTGAGACATACTTGAGGAAAACTATCATTGCAAAATATTTAAGAAGCTAAAACTTGTTTAACTGGAATTCCTTCGCAATTTTATCAAAAACCAGTTTATCTTTAAAAGGATAAAATTCAGAAACAAAGCAAAACGGCAACGAAAATCCAATGTTGTGAGATAAATTTTTCAAAACAAATTAAATTACACGAATACTAATATTTCGCCCCGGCATACAGGGCTTCATCAGAGTAAATTAAACGAACCAACGGGGCGAAATATTAGTATTCGTTTAATTTAATTTATTTTGGAAAATTTATCTCACAACATTGGATTCTCGTCGCCGTTTTGCTTTGTTTCTGAATTTTATTCTCGTATTCATATTATACTAATTGCAAGATTCACAGAATCCGGCGGACAGCCTATCCTGCGGCTCTTTCTTCTCACACATTATCTTTGTAAGCTCGGTCAGATCATTGGTTTGTACATGAAGATATGTTCACTTTATCAAAAGCCCTTTAGAATCTTAGCTAAAACGGACCAAAATTACTTGTTATTCCAAAACTGACAGCCCTTTAACCCCTAGGTGTTTCAACTCAAGGATTTTATCGAGATTTTGAACTCTAGATTAGATGACGATACCCGATAAGCCAACTTGAATAAATCAATACAACCATAAGAGCCAACATTTGATCATATTTCGATACTTCATTTTCAACTTCTTTTGTGTTTTCTTTTAAAGAGGCTTTACACCAAACTGCTATACCTACGATTCGATTAGATCGAAGACAAAATTCCAAAAAGTTAAAGTTCTTTCCGTTAGCTAGTACCTTTTCTCGTAGCAATCTTGAAATATTACTTTTTATTTCAGCACCGCAAAAGCGCTAATTTGCTCTACAACTTTTTTCACATGCACCGAACTATATCATATCATTCAGTTTTGTCCTTAGATACAGTACTATAATAATTTACTTAAATCAATCACGGCGACCATAATTTGTTTGGCTCATCTTTGTCACTATGCAAATACTGCTCATCATATTAGCAAAATGAAAAAATAGCAGGTATGCAGTCACATATGCTTGTACCATGGAAATGATTTTCTAAAGGTTTATCACTACTTCGGGCTTGATGATTTGATTCAATTTTCAACGGTTCCTTTAGGTTCTGACAATTTGACTATCTAATATTTTTCTGGAAAAATGAAAACCTGCGAATTTTTTCAATATAGCCAGAAATTTCCAATCATTATTTCTGTTTAAAATTTCATATTCAATAAAGATGAAGCTAAAAAGAAGTACAAAACATTGAAGATCACTTACGAATTGGTAATATGGTACGAAAGAAGGCAGAAGTTCCCATCAGGTGGAACAAACGACAGCACCTTTTCACTCTACAATGAGACAAAACAATAAAAATTACTAGAAAGGAAAGGTAAAAATTACGCTTAGAGAATCTAAAATATGCTAAGATAATTAATCATGCCGCCAAATTTGTTTATAACAAGTACATACTTCTAAATTACATGACCTACTCTGTTTACCAATCATCCTTTCTTTCGTTGGAGACATTAGAAAGGAAAAAACATTTCACAAATTTGTCATTTTGCACCCACTGACTTCGTCTATGTTTAGAAGACGCGTTCTCTTAAAAATCGCAGAAATCCTTGTGAATTTTTTGGTAATGGAAATTAATTTTTGGGTCACTAGCAAACTGAAGAGTTGGATCTTTTGAAAAATATATTTTTTGGATTTTAGGATTCCAATGAATATAACGCAAGGTTTCACCCAGAAACAGTTGTGGTTGTATGACTGGGAGTTGTGACAAAAGTGAGTGAACGAAAGCAAAGAAAATAATGCTCCAAAACAAAGATGATTCTTGTCTTCCTGTTTTTAAATAATGAGCACTCTGTAGGACAAAGACCAGGTGACTTAAACGAGGGTCTTACCAATGAGGTAGCGCGGTTTAGGGAACATTAGCTTGAGAACTAAGGGCTCCCGATCAACAAGGGCCCCCGATTAACAAGGGCCCCCAAGATATTTCAATATTCATGTTATCAAGACGTCGCTCAAGCTCACCTTGTTTTCAACAACTTACAAAGTTCTTTAAATAAAGCATGCAATTCAGGTCATCATAATTGACGAGATGTATTATTATTTTGTATCTTGCTATTCTGCTTAACACGCATAACACCATCTGACGGGACCTTCTTGCAGTCTGCAGCTAGGGGTCCCGTTTCAGTGGTGTTCCTGAGGGGCCCAGGTACCTCTGTTATGCCACTGTTTCTTACGTGACATTACATCGAAACAGCAGAAACTGCACAATTCATATATTGATAAAAAGAAATCTTTATAATCAGTTAAGGTTTTGTCAACCCAAAAAGGAGCTTACTTACATCCCATCGTTTCAAGCGAATACACGGGTGGAAACTGACGTCATCAAGAAGCCTTGGATTTACAAAACACATGGTTAGATCTAAAGAAGCAGAGAAAAAACATGATTATTGTGGGTCAGCATACATTCTTTGTACACACCATATTGAATACACCAGATTTCATCTGCACCTAGCAAAGCCACTAACTAATTTAAACTATAGTTTTTGGTTCCTGACTAATATGTCACAGTGGATGATCCCGTAAAGAAAGAGAAGAGGAAGATTCTAGGTTGAGACCCTGAGCTTCACGCCGAATATAATCATGAGGCAAATAGGTGCTAAACATTCTCTCACTGTTTGAATTAATGGATAGGTAGAATTTCAAATACCATCTTCTTTTATTGCAAAATTGAATAAAAAACGAAAACGTAATACAAAGTATCTGCAGGGTTGAAACGGGAGTTCGAGTTGGGGAGGGCTTAAATTTTCTCAAAAATGCTAAAAAATGAGCAAAATCATGAATCTTAAACGACAGCTTTGGTGCTAGCAAAATACGACTTTACATGGTGGGAATATTTATTCAAAATAAATGATTCACTTGTAATTATAAAAACACTTTGAGGTATTTACCTGGCATTCCTGTCAAACGACTCAGGCATTCAACCTGTTCAAAAAAGTAATAGAAAACCTGATCTTATTTTCTTCGAAAATTACAACTGCAGTCGTGATGTTACTAAGCGTGTAAGAACTCGCACTACGCCTAGCTGCGAGTGGCTTTACTTGAGAACGTGCGAAAAAAGGTGCGAGCTGCTAGCATATCCGAAAAAAGGTCTCAGCTCCGAGCACATCCGAAAAAAGGTCCAAGCTCCGAGCATATCAGAAAGAAGGTCTCAGCTGCGAACTGCAAGCCAAAATATATATCTTTGTAGTTTGCTAATTCTTTAAAGTAAAGCAAAAGTTTCAAATAGTTTCTTTATAAACCGATAACACTCTGCTCTGCCTCCATCACTCGCAACATAACGAACCGGGGAATCATTTTTTCAACTCAGGTATCTCCAGGTATAATTCTCTATGAGGAATGGGGATGCCAAAAGGTATATGTTGGTAAATTATACGCGAGGTTATTCTCCATCGTTTTGTTTATTCAAATATTCAGCAACAAAAATTTATTTCATTTTCTGCAACAATTCACAAAATAGTATATCAATTCGTAAAGTTAATATAAAGTAATTGATGCAGTCAAAATAATCCTAGATTTAAAAATAGAAAATTGTCTAGTTCACTGGGAGGAACCATAATCCTAGCCCGCCGCCATCGGAGGCCCTGTTTTGCAATGATATACTGATATTTAGAACAACAAGTAACGGTACCAGAAAATAATTTAGATAGATAAGTAAATTAGAGCAAAGGGTTTACGAGGTATAAAAGTTAAAAAGAAAGAGAAAAATATGTCTTGGTTTTAATTGTTAATTTGAGTAGCATTTTACTACCAGTTAGTGATAAACCAATTTTTAGAACAAAAGAGAGTTTCAAGGACCTGTTACTTAACACAAAAGGAATGCTTTAGGAAGTAAACGAGCGCGATGTGTGAGGTAATTTTTTGTCATATGAGCGAGTGAAGCTCCTTTGGTTGCGAGTTTGATAGCCTAAATTGCTGCGTAGCTGGGCGCGAGTGCAAGTTCCCCAACCTGGGATGTCAGACTATAGGCGTGGAGTTTTCCACAGCTAAATAATTACAATAACAAGTGGTGATAGTATACGATAATAAAAATGTCCGTAAGTAAACAAATTGTCAAGCTAAGATGTTAATGAGAGTTTTTCACTAAGTGCACAGATACACACAAAGGCATCAATGGTCAGTAATCAGAAAATATGTACAAAATAGAAAATGGAAAAAAGCAAATATCATTAACATAAAAATGGATATTCCAAGAAAGTTGCAAACAGTCTATTTCTGTTAGAAATTGGCATAGCTGAGACTCTTTCGTATCAATGAAATAATAAGACTCGAATATATCTCAAACTCGATGGCATTTTTAAACAAAACGAGTTAATGTAGATACCAATGATGCCTCAAAACGTTACCATAGAACTGATGGAAAGAATGAACAATAAGAAACTGAACATACCGTCCCCTGAATCTCTACAAATACGGCTGATCCCTAGCAAATAAAGAGCAAAACAAATTACCAACAAAAAAATGAAGATATTGCAGAGAATGAAACAAATATTGCGGAATTTCAATCAAAAATGTTCATAGTGTGATGTCACTAATGTACTTCAAGAATTGTTTCACATTTGAGCAAATAACCGGAGAGAACAGCATGATATCCAATTGAGTAAATCGTTATGCTATATGAGTTTAATAACAAATGAAGCTTCTTTGTGACAATTAATACTTTAAGGAATCGTGCAGACTCTTCTGCTAGCTCATTAAAGCCCAGTGCAAAGCCGGTCATTATCATCAAGAACGGAGAGCTCGGTTCCGAGCAGGCATGTCCTATCCATAAGCTTTACATTGTTCCGATTTTGTGTAAGTCTGTCAATCCCCTTCAGTGTCCAATCGCAATTTTTTTCAATGTGGTCACTGAGTCGATTTTTTGGTTTTCTTCGTCTAGTTTGCCATGAATCATGCCAAGGAGGAAAGTCTTTTCGAGGCTGTCATGTCTCAAGGTGTGTCCAATGAAATTTAGCTGGCGAGCGTAGGTCATTTTCAGCAGTTTGGTTTCGGCTTGACAATTAATCTTTTGCAACACAATTAATCTTTTTGCAATTAATCGTTAGTCTTCTTTTCAGAAAAACTGATGCGCGGGTAAAAACAAAG